GATTACCGTTGCTTAGGGGTACCCGCATCATAAGAGTAATGCTGCGAGTGTGCTGCTGGCCTTTTAAAAAGGAATATGTTTATTCTTGAATGTGCAGTGTCGAGAAAACACTACTGCTGGAAGTTAGTTCTAAAGTATCGTTCGGCGTGGAAAGATGTGCTTAAAAAAGCATAACAGTTAATGGGGTTGAAATAGAAATTTAGTTTATGATTATATATATTATTATATATTTTATAATTGTAATATATTTTTTGTTTCACTTTTGTTTTATAGAATGTTCTTTTTGTTTTTCACAATACATGCACGACTATACACGGTATTTTTATTTTCATTTAATTTTATTCTTCTGAATCCAAGTTCCATAACAAAACCAGCGACCAGCAAGGAGCTGAACACAAGGTAGATGATTGCTGATGAAAGGAAGAGACTTAACAAAATGCATTACTGTGTACAAGAAGGTTAGCCAAATGTTTTCAAAAATATAATAAAGTAGCCTTTACGAAAACTTTGATAGTACACTTTTTGATTCATCAAAAATCGATTGATCAACTTAGCTCTTAAAATTCCCACGTTTGCTACTTCGATCCCGGACAATATAGACATTTTTATAAACTTGAGTATATGTTTATGCTCATATTAATCTGGGTATTTATATATATATATATATATGAACATTACAAAAAATACTTTTAAGTATCTACCAAGTATGGCTATAAAACAAGCTTTGCTTAGTCTGGGCTTAGATAACTCTACCTATGCCTATATTGTATGCTATTTTCGACTATAATAGTCACCGTGTTATTTCATCTAGATAGTACCAAGTAATCAATCGTAAAATGTTATGTGTCGCACGCATATTAAAGGCAGCGAAAGTTAACAAAATCATTATAATTAACTATAACCAGTGAAAAAATGTATGCACAATAGAACGGAACCAATAGAAGCGTATATTTAATTAAAAATTAATTAAAAAGACACTTGTCACTCGATACAACTGAATACAATTATTTGGTCAGTACACTAAAAGAAAAAAACAGAATTACAGACTAACTCTCGTAATAACATACAAACAGGATTGGAAATAAAAGTAAATAAAAGTCTGAAATTTTGCACAGTGTCCAAAATTTCGCTCAAGAAAATATCAATTTTGGAAGTTCTTTTGTCTTAATCTAACCCTTTGCTTCTTATTTATCCTATAGTATAGTATATATAGTCCTTATTTATTCTTATGCCCAAAGCTCAATTTGGCAATTGCGACATCTACGAAATAATTCAGTACCTACTCTTAATGATGACAATTTAGTTTTTTTTCTATACCATTGAGATGACAAACAACAAATAGGACTGTCATCATTTTCCACCAATCTCAATACGATTTTCAAGCACCCTATATTAGAAAAAAATCCGATAAAATGTTATGAACATTAGCAAAATATAAACAGATAAAGGTGAATTATGACAACACATTTCGTTAATAACAAACTTGTATCAAGTACAATGAACTATAAGATAAGGAGTGTCTATCTAGCTAATTTATCCGTTTTAACACTCATTGTTATGCACTAACAATCACCAACGTCAAGATGTAAGAATTTATGGAAATTCGTTGGCATTTTTATAAGATACTTGGAGGATATTGAATTTATCTTCTACAATCCAGCCTATTAATTTACAACTCTTTATGTCACCAAAAACAAAATGACAATTAGAAAATTCAAGGGAAATACATAAATACGTAATGTTACATATATATATATATATATATATATATATATATATATATATATATATATATATATATATATAGATATATATATATATATATATAACATAGTGTACAACAAAAGGCGGTCATATTTCTAAACAATATCATCCAGACAACCCTTGGTTATAAAGAATAAAAAATTAGGGGCGCGTTAAAAAAATGTACAGCTAAACATATGTAAATAAGCACAATTATATCCATACATAAATCTAAATATATACATATTTAAATGTATACATACACAATATATATATGTTCTATGAAACAAACTTACTATTTTAAAAATAGTAGTATAAAGTACAGATTAAAATATATACATAAAAGTACAAAAGGCGGTGTTATCTTTAGAGCAATCACTTAGAGACAACCTTTGGTTAAAGAAGAACATATAGAGGTATATACGTGTAGCGCCGAAGAGTTTTGCAGGATTAATGGACTGACATTCGGACCAATCTATTTGGGATCAGATCGTAATCACATTACATTACAATAAAATAAAATAAAGACTATTAAGAATTATTTGCTATCTACAATAAGTTAACAGTTAGTATCAACAGTTACTCGACAAATTCATTCGTAATAATACAACAAGACTGAAAAAATTATACTTAGAGTGAATTCTTCTGAAAGTGAACTGCGTTTTTTTTTATGGGTAAAAATGGCATTGTAACCCCGCTTGCGCTAACGGGATACGCTGGCGGAGCACCAGTGAAGGGTGATAGATGAGAATGAAAACAGGCCATGAATTCATCAGGAATTAACCATGATAGTTTCCAGGGGGAACCGCGAGGAGGTCGACCTGGTTGGGTATATTGCTAGCAATGGGATTCTCAGTCTCCATTACTAGCAATCCCTTTTCCCCCAGTGAACTGCGTTAGGAGATCAAAACAATTTGTCTACATTGTTTGAAGGATACCTTCAATTATAAAACCTCTTGGAATATGTGGGAGGAGAGTCAATATATAAAAAAAAAAGGATGCCGCCCACCGCTTAGATATTTACATACATAAAAATTAAATTCTATTTCCTTGGTCAGACCATAACTTGAGAACGATTTAACAGATTTCATTCGTTCTTTTTATGTTTTTTAATATTTTGTAGAAGATTCTGACGGAACGAAAAACTAAGAAACTTGCACAGAAAATTGATAAATTTCAGAAAACTTAACGACTATTTTAAATTCGCGCATTTGATGAATGTGAGTTTAGCATACGGTTGCTTTTTTTATTTTTATGACATGACATTTGTCGTGTTAACTGGTAACGCTATAAACATGTGCATTTTAAGGAAACTTACTGTACTTTAGGTGACAGTTACATTTGGCATTATACCAACTGAAATTTCAAATTCCACGCTAACAAACAATAGGGATATTGTCCCCGATAGACAAGCTAACGAGCAGATAGTTCAATGTACTGTAGTGGTGACAAGACAGAAGTGGAGGTGAACATTTATACATCAACTGTCCCTCGGCTTTGCCCGCTTGAATCTTTCAATAAGCTGTCCTATTTAAATTTAGAATGTAACTTATCTATATATCAAATTTAACTCAATTTAACTTTCGCATTTATAACAGTAATAGGAAATTTCTAAACTCCCCTACAAGGCATTATTTATTATTGGCATAATTATGATATTATCAGTTTTTTTTTTTTTTTTAAATTATACATTTAACTAGCAATAGAATTTCCGTAAATAATATATGGCCTATATTACTCGGTGATCATGAAGCATTCTTTAGGTGAAAGAAATTTTAAAATCGATTGAGTAGTTTTTGAGTTTATCTATCACAAACAAACGATCAAATCTTTCTTCTTTATAATATTAGCATAGATTGATGATAAAATACGATGACAAGATAAAACTACAAGATGGAATAATTCAAAAAGAGTGTAATAAGGTCTCTTAAAATACACAGTATCCTTGGCGTTTCTATTAGCTACTGTAACCGATTAATAGGTGTTAGGCCGTATACTTATATACCACCAAAGTAGTATATAAAGAAATATGACCATATCTATCCCCAAGGGACAAGTGAGACGCGTTTACTACAATTTTATAAATATTTATCATTTTTAAAATATTACGACTGAAAGAAATTGCTGCATTTTAACATTAAACTCTAGATGGCGCTGATGCCATACAAACCATACGATTCAAGCCCTACATTTTTACATGGTATCCAAAACAAAGACACAATACATTCAAATAAATACAAATTTAGCGATAAGGTCGCCCATTGTTGCCTCTTTACCTTGCTTCTTGTAATTAAGATTTTTCGTGTTCATATTGTTAATTTATGTAATCTGTAACATCCTTTGAAAGGAATGATAGAGTTTTTCATTCATTCGTTCATTCATACAATAATGTTACCAGTGATTTCAAAAGGTATGCACTTAGCAGTCGAGTTTCTTGTAAGTTAATTCTCAATAGATAACTTTCCGAATCTACAGTAGAATCGTAAGAAAATATGACGATTTCAAAATGTAACGTAAAAAGCTAAATAAATAAAGTAAATTTTAATTTGAATTATGTATAAACTAGTAATCCGCCGCGGCTTCGAACAACGACGACCTGTACATACGAACCATCCATAAAAACCATAATAAAACTCATATCCAAACCCGTTGCATGGTATTAGAAGAAGTAAACGGAGAAACTGGCAGACAGAGCGACTGCTTTTGGATATTTAGCATTCATAATTACATTTTAACGATAAGAACAGCTTTTGCATGACCTCAATTCAATTATTAACTATATATTTATTTTAAGTTTATTGACCTATATAATATTGCACAAAAAGCGAAATTAATGTTATAGGTATTCTCTATCAGTCTTTAGGATGTGCAGAGATAGTGGCTAGTGGTTAATAATTTATATTTTACCATACAATATGTCAAATTACATACATACAAACATAATGAATTCACATCTACATATAATAAACTATATACGTGTGTAAATATATATATATATATATATATATATATATATATATATATATATAAGTAAGAAATAAGTGCCACCCAATTACACCGATTGCTTAGTCATCAAACTGTGATACCATGTGTTATGAGAAACCAAGCAACGAACATCCGAGGATCCGAATTGATACAGAAGAGTTCATTTTCTAACTTGGTCCGATCGAGAATAGAATTCGGGACATCACTACACAAAGCAGCGTACCCACCATTGCACCTCAGAGTTTTTAATGTAAATAAATAATCATATTCACCTGAGCTGAATGAGATCCCCGAGTTCCGCTGGCAACGATCTCAACTTGTTGTTGGAGACGTCAAGTGTGTGCAGATTGACCAACTGGCTGATATCCGACGGGATCCGTTGCAAGGAGTTGTCGTTCAAATACAGGGCAGTCAGGTGCGTCAGTTGGAACAGCTGCGGCGCCAGGGCGCGAACACCTCCTGTTACCTGGAATGTAGAGATTAACTAGATAAATTCCTCATATACTTATAAAAATACTATTTTATTATTATTATTTCAACCGTTCACCGTCCACTGTTAAACATAAGCCTTCCCCATAAGGAGAGTTTTGCCAGTAATTGCCACACTTGGCAGACAGGTCGGCAACCGCAGTTAGTCTGGAGATGTGTTAAGTGGGACGGTGCTGCCCATTTCTCGAATATTAAAACATCACCAAAACCTAAATACAGTTGCCAACCCGCCTGTCAAGCGTAGCAATTACTAGCAATACCCCCCTCCCCCTATAGCAAAGGCAGTCTATGGGAGAGGTTTTTGCACAGCAATGGACAGTGGCTGATATGATAATGATGATGATGAACGTACCCATCACTGTACCACAGAGGTCATCATATATGTATAAAGATATGACATATAATGGTACCTCATAAAAGTACCATGACCACCAATTTTAGAATAAGAAATCTTAAGTATAAAAGTATGTTTCCACCACGCGTACTCACGCGTAATTCGAAAACAATCAGGTGCAATACTACTCATGTATTAAAATATAAATATTGCAATTATGTCGTTCATTTTATTAATCAATCTATGGTATTTTTTATGTTTTTATTTTTATATAGGTTATTGATAAATAAGAATAGTACCACCATAAGCTAAACTTGATAAATCTACATCACAAAATGTATATTATATTGTTGACACAGAAAAACAGAAATTAAACATTTTTCTATTTCTGTAAGTATAAAAACACATTTTCACGTCCTGTTTGTTTAGATTTTATTTCTGTAACAAAGCTCCATTTACTGTTTTATATATTTTTTTTACAATCTAATAAAATGTGTTCAGTTGAAGAAGGGAAAGCTAAATATAAAAGCTAGCTAGCTTTCATAAAGCATACCAATATGGCCGATTTTTATAATTCATATTTTAATTTAAATTACTTAATCCATATTACTCATACCTACAGTTTAAAGAAGTAAATTTTTTATGGAACGAAATCTTATACAACAAATAAACAGTACATAAATCATACTATAACTGATAATAATAAGGTTACACTAATAAAACACTGATAAGAATAATTTATATCAGAAAACATAGTAGTCCAACATTTATTTAGTTATTTCCTCATTTACTTCAACTACAATTTAACATATAAATATGAAATCATAAAGCATAATATGATTCTTGTACTGGGCAAAAATAAAATCTTTAGTATTATTTCTTTATACATTATTCTAACAATGAAATTGAAAGTTTTTTTTTTTTTGTTTATGACAATTAATTAAAAATGACACGTTCATAGAGATAAGTATTGCCTTTCGCATCACTGCAGTGCACGTATAGTAATTTCTTATGTTACTTATGTACGTTATGACAGACAATAATTCTGTATTTCACCCATACATTAAGTGACTCTTTTTACTTATTATATTTATTAGTACAACTTGATGGTAATAAAGAGTTTATGTGTCTATAAAACGTATTAGGCTCGCGGCCCTTTCTGTTTAGTAGAAAGTACATAAATGTAGATAAAAAATAATATTATTTTTTAAACAGTTACACAAAACATAGGACTTTGAAGGGTCTTAGACATTCTAAAAAGTTCTTAAATGACAATGTTTAGGGATGGGATAAACTCATCTACAACGGTGGCAGACAACAGGCAAGACTCATTATGGATGCCCTAACTGGACATATGCCAATAAGGCATATACTACACATGATGGGTCTATCTTCGGACACACTATGCAGACTATGCGGGGAGACATCGGAATCCATGGAACACTTGATGTGCAACTGCGATTTGTTGATAAGTATGCGTATGAGTCTACTGGGAACGCCTTCTCCAGAACCAGGGGACTACAGATATCTTAAACCGCGGGATATCGTTAGGGTAACACATAGGATCTATGAAATGATGATATAAGGCAGGGGGAAGCACAAAAGATCCGTATAGGTGGACGTGCATAGGCTTAGCTGACCCCATATGCGAAAAATAAGATACACAAAACATTATATATTTTCTAATTGTATGCTTTTAGTTAAATGATAAAATAGCAGCAGACTTCGGAAGCGCCTTGGCGGGGATTTGTCTTTGACATGAGATGCTTTCTACGATAGCTTTGTTTTGTATGCAACTTCAAAGGGTAAACAAATTGACGGTTCACCTGATAAGAAATGATAACCGTCAAATATTTTCAACCGAAAGAAAACAAATATTTTCAAAAAGAAGGAAGCGAATTGCGCTTGTATATATATATTTTTTTATGATGTATATAACTCATAACTTTGTCAATTCTAAACCGGTTTATATTTGTTTTTATCTGAAAGGATATAATGTAAGTATACTATTTCAGATAAGAGAAGATTGGTCCCATAGAAATTTTACCAAAATCGTTTTAGTAGTTCAGTTTTTAAATAAAAAAAAAAAACTGATTTTGTCACAATTGAAGTCAGTATTTTGTGAGATATGATCTTTCGTTATTTAAGTAATTTTTTTAGACATTTATTGCATAAGCCTACAAAATTCACCTTGCATATATAAGTAATAAAAAAATAATTTATATCTCTTCCAACACGATTACACCTGAAAGCGTGGCCTGTATTTAATCTCCACCAGCCCTCTTCCAGCGATAACTGTACACATTTATTTGTCGATTGGCGCTCAAATTGTCATCGTTAATCTTAATACATTAGCTGTGCCCGCGACTGCGTACGCGTGACCGGAATAAAAAGTAGCCTATGTCGTTCTCCACACCAAACACTGTGTACACGAACTTTCACATTTATAGTGTTACTAATTTTAATCCGCGCCACCAGGATATAGTGATTGGCCGAGATAATAGTACCCTATATCCTTCTCCCTCTCAAGTTCTATGGGTATGAGAAATTTCATGAGGATTTGTCGAGCCATTAAAGTGCTTAGCAACTCAATCTCAAGACGCCAAGAAATAACAAATAAACTTACTCTCACATTTCTATTATTAGTAAAGATTGAATTTTGCTTTACACAGCAATGCATGAAGGATAACATAGGTGTTAGAAAAAATTAATAGGTGTTATTTATGGCAAACAAGCTGACGGTCCACCTGATGGAAAGTGTTAATTTTCGCCTATAGACATGAAGAGCTCCATGACATCCCAGAATACACTGCAATACGCATGGCACTTCTCTACCTCGCCATTCCCGAAGACTATGTGTTATGTGTCCATACTCTCTGTAATTTCATTGCTTTATTTCACCCTTCAAACATAGTTGTGTAAACACTGTTGCTTCGCGGCAGAAATAAAGGTGAGACAAAGGTATGCCCGAGTACCTTTTGTAAAAGTCTCCTTTTGGAAATTCCACTCTAAGTTAAAAAAAAAATAACAAAAATACCTCAAGCGTGGTCCAGCCCCCACGGCGGCCAGACGCTCTCTCCGCTTCCGACATGATGTGGTATGTGCGCCCGCTCGCGCCCTCATGCTTGTCTTTGTTGCGAGACATTCTGACACCTGTAAGATTCGTATTTTATTACATACTAGTTTTTACCCGCGATTTCGATCGCGAATCTGTACATCGACCAAGATAATAAAATATTGTGTTCCACAACGAAAAAACGACTTCAATTGTGGCGAAACCAGTTATTTTGATTTAACAACTAAATTACTGAACTGATTTTGATAAAATTTCTAAGTATATCCTTTCAGATATAAACTTAATATTTACTACTTAACAAACAAAAATTTACAACTATTTTTCTAAACAATCAATTTTCAAATTTCAAACGGGATTTCAAAGAGGAAACATGGCTCTGAGAAAAAAAATACCATCTTAATGTGTTGCCAATAAATTCTATTCATTTGGGACTCTGAAAACTGAAACTGACAAACTTAAAAACATAGTGCAAAATTTTCCTGGGGTAAACTTTGAACTATATTACTAGAACCGGAGCGGATCTCACTCCGGTTCTAATAGTTCTAGGGTTAAAACAAAAAATATTCTAAAAAAACTATTTGTTAAATACAAATGAATGACTTTTTAGAAAAATATTGAAAAAATTAAGTGTTATTTAATTTAATAAAATTTAATTTGTAATAACTATTTACAGTTTAAACTAGATACAGACTATGACTTACTAGGTACATATTATATTAAAGAATAATTATTACATTAATCTATATTAATTGTAATTTATTAAAATGTTAATTTAATTTTATTATATTATATTTTTTAACTAATTTCAGTAATTTTATAAAAGTTACTTATTTAAATACTGTGAACTTGTAATATAGATTGTTATAGAAGAGTTATTTATTTATAAAAATAATATATGTTAAAAATTTTATTATAGTAACACTATAAACAATGGTAAAAAATAATAATAATATGGTGATACTAAATAACTATAGTCATTACAAATCTTTGAACAATGATCATTCTGTATGTAAGTAGGTCAATTTCTAATCCATTCTACTCATACATTGTTATTGTTTACAGTTTATTTTAACTTCATCTTGTAGTTTCTCTATATCTGATAATATGTTTATTTTAATTACATATTCAACCTTATTTTTTGAAATAACAAGGTTTGTATAATAGTTATATTATAAAGAAATTTGATATATAACTTGATAAATTAGTTAACAATAGCCCACTAGATGGAAGTGCGTAACTCCAAATAGGCAGAACCATTGATATCACAATATACTGGATTGCCCTCTATCGAGTGAGCCAGTTATGTGTGAATCGCACCTCAGAATCAACACTTTTAAGTAAAATATATATAAATAAACACTGAAATGATATTTTCGACATTAACATTTCGTTCAAATATTTTGAACATATAAGAGAAAAATATTTTTATACCAATTTTTTTATTTGATAAATTTTAATATATAGAGAAACAATATTTTAAAAAAATTAAAAATGTACTGTAATAGCCCACCACTCATCTATATGATCAGGATGAAACTTTAGTTTGTGGCAGGTTGTATGATAGTGAACATCAGCAGCAAGCATTAATCCAAACAATTTGAACATACTTTACTACCTTAGTACATAGAGGTAAGGTCATACTTCCCTAAACTAATTACGATTAATATTAAAATAATGCCATCCTTCTGGCATATATAAAAACATAAAAAGTATTCTGTATTAACTTACAATATGGTTGATTTATTTACAAAAACTCTTTTGAATCCCTTCACTATTAAAGCATACATCTTTACAATATTTCACATTTATTTTAATACATCATAGTACAACAGTGACTTATTTTTGTAACCTATAGGTACAAAAATAAGTCAAAGCCAATTCTGGCTCTTAAGCTCAGTAACTTCAGGAATAAACACTTAACCCTTATACACAACTTTGAGACAAGCCAATTTAAGCATCCAGCATCATAAATTTGTTCAATGTAACACCACCCTAGGCTGATTTGGTTAGATAGCAGGGTGGAAGTTTGTAATGGAAACTAACTGTCCTATTGCTAGCCTGTCAACTTTTACACTCCCTTGAAAACTATTCTGGTGAATTGTCACAAATGTTCCGATTTCATACTCATTTAATCCTCACTACACTTCACCGGTATATACTTTTTAGCACAGATAGCATGCTACTATTATTTATTTTTGCAAAAAAAGTCTATTTAAATTAGAATGAAAACAGAATTCAGTGCCACATTTATGTAAAGCAACATGTTTTCCATAATGCCATATGGTTATGTATTGGTATATATTAGAATTAATTTTATTCTAAAATATGAGGATTTGAAACTGTCATTTTTAATAGCATATTTTGCTTTATTTTTAATTTTAATGTGTTAGCTTTCATGCATTTGACTCTATTATTTACACAACTTTATATCTACAATCTATACTAATCTGAAGGAAAAGGTAATTGGAATAATATTAACCTATTTATTTAACACTCAATTACATTACCTTTTACCTTTAAATAAACCTGATGTTATTATTTTTTGATTTTATACTTATCTAAGTAAACATTGATAATGATTGTTATTATACTTATAGATATAAAATTTACGAGATTATTATGTTTTTAAACAATAAATGTACCTTATTAGCACAGCGAAGGACCATTAGGTGTGTTAAAAAGACTATGCTCAATAAACAATTTTCTTCCTTGGAAAAATAAGTATAACAGGACAGTTCCATAACCTCCGACGTTCGGGAGGTAGACCTAGGAAATTGGGTTAAATAACAATCACAATATGATTTCAACAATTATAGATGGATAATTCCATTGAAATACCTTGGATTTAATTCATTACATGAACGATTTACAAGTAAATGCGTAGCATCTTTGTGTACAGCTGACAACTAAAAGATGGGTCGACTCGACGCCTAGACCAAGCGCCAAATCACATCGAAACTTTATAATGATAAATCAATCGAAATAAACATATAAAATTGTAATATATACCTTCATCTACTCCTTAAAAGCTTTTACTTCGTTATGGATTATAGTAACGGGAAATAAATCACTGTAAACACACAATATCACAATCTTGACAAACACCACATCAAACGTCCATTTACCGACTGCAGCGACAATCGACATTAGCGGTGAATTCTAGAACTTTTCTTTGTGTTGTGGCGATCATAGACAACAAGTCTTTTTTATATAAAATATAGTGGTCCGTCAACGTGTAATTCATCAGATTTTTAGGGAATAACAACATAAAGGTCAGACGCTGCCGTTTTCTTTTTTGTCAATAAGCATATGAGATTAAAGAAAATACCTGTGAAAAATAGGTATATGGTCTAATCAAGTTGCTTAATGGTGTGGAGATCAAAACTCTTCGTATTAATCTACTGTAATTTAAAACCAAAGAAAAAGAAATATAAAGCATTAGCCTTCAAGCTATCTATGATTAATCTTCATAGATTAAGATATAGATAGTACTTATGTATCTAGTATAATCACAAATTATATATAGTTAATAATGTGTGTTGCTCAACCTCTATGTACAAGCGAATTGATCAACCTTTTCGTTTTCGCATAACAGCTACTTTATTTACAGTTACTACATCAATACTTTTATTCTTAATTCGTGTAGGCTCAAAGATTTCCTTATTCTTAGGTTAGGCTATCTTACAAATAAAAAAAAGGTATTGAATGATAATATCGATAAAGTGAATTTATTGATATTTATATTTATATGTAATAATAATAAAATTGATTAAATGTATTAATCGTATTGATTTAAAATATAATCATACTTTGATGAATCTAATTAATTATGTTATTCTTTCTTTCTTACTTTATGATTACTGAGCTCTAAAATGAACTACATTTGATACTTAATCCGTGCTTTTGGACTAAATACTTAAGTAGAACTTAATTTTATCAGAGGGGGATTTTGTACAAAAATCGTTTGCTTGGGCACGTCTATCTCATTTGTGTTTTTACTGTGAAGCAGTTGTGTTTGCATGGCTATGTTTCAGTTTGAAGGGTGGGATACGGCAGTAAATTTACAGGGTACAGAAGAATAACACCTGAGTCCTCAGGAATGACAACGCATGGTAGGTGTCATGGGCGAAACAGTATATTCCGTTATGTCCAAGTCCATGGTACTAATCATGTCTATAGGCGACGTTTACCACTTTCCAACAGGTGGACCGTCAGCTTATTTGTCATTCTAAGTTGCATAAAAAAATACACGCGAATAGTAATTATTACAAATTATAAAACTTGCAATGTAAAGAAGAACAGTCTGAGAACATAGACAAAAATAATGATGATATGTAAAATAAAAGCAGTAATTAGTGTTTAATGGTGCCGATTAAGTGAACTTATCGATATATATTCTTGTCCATGGTAAAAAAAACCTGATGAAAATATAATTATTAACACATGTTCTCTTTTCACTAGCTAATATTTCTATAATGCGTGTGAGTTTGCTCCTAATTACAATATACCTCTTCATTTAAATTATCGTAATTTAAACTTTAAAATAAAATAGAATTGATAAATAAAATAGACTTTATGAATTGGCATTCATTAAAATTTGGGTATGGTATGTATGCCTTTGTATCCATTATCATCATCAAATATACAATATAAATATACACACTTTTCAACTTCTCTGACGCCATACACTCAACATACATAATTGGTCAATTTATTAGTTGCAATTGTTTAGTTTATACTTCAATATTTTTTCTTACTGCTTATTTTTTTTTCTAACTGTAATTGAAATGTTAAATCAGAATATACAAATTTATTGTGCTAGCTCTTGTACATTAGAAGGAACATTCTACCCTAATTTGAAAGCTAGAGTAAAATATGTAATAAATAAAATAAAAGAGCATAATATTATAATTGTGCATTACACATTACATAACAGCTTTGTTTCTATCATCTCAGGGTTTTTACTAGCTGATTTTTCGAATCAGCGGAGATACTTTATTCGATTACATTTTTAGTGTTTTATTATTTATTACGGTAGCACGGTTGTTATAGGTAGCATGTCCTCCAGTAGTCACTCAACGGCACATCCTCTGCTGAATATAAGCCTCCGGTATAGAAAGTAAATGCCACGCTTGGGAGTTGGGTTGACAGTCGCAGTTAAGCTTTGATTATATTTTAAGCACTATCCGTGCTACCCATTCCTCGGTCATTAAGTGCCCTTTGTTCTCTTAGGACGCCCACCAGAAAAGAAGGGATTGGCTACACAAAGATATAGACAGAATTTTAGTCGTTAATTACAAATGATGTGTGTTAACTCCTTTTCCTCATTTAAGACGCTCTTATCGGTGAAGGTTTTTACCATTTACTAAAAATTTATTTTCTTATAAAGAGTAAAATAATCAATTTATGAATATTATGTGATGTGACCTTTTCACTTCTTATTTATATATATATACCTGTTATCTTGTAAATATATTAATGTATATAAAATACAAACTGGAATTGAATAATATCCATTGTAGTCAATAGCGCGTTGATCAAATGTGATCTTTGATCTTTTGATTTTAATTACCATAATGTTTTACTTAGTGGTCAATATCGACGTTTCAAGTTTCATTTTATATCTGGTTAATGCTTATTATTGAGGCCAATTTAAATAGGAGATATTAAAACAAATTTAATTGTTAATTACTTTTATCTTAATTTCTCTATCTATTTATATTCATTAAAATGTGCTAATTTTTTTGCGTTAATTTGGCAATAGAAATAATTTTTTTTAAGTATTTTACGAAAGTGAAAATGGTGGAAATTAGTAAATTAATGTTGGACGAGTCAGGTTTGGAAATATTATCTTGCCAAGAAATATTTCATCCAGGAGTCGGTTGTATTAAAAGCAGTGGTATTATGTTTCTAGCATGTTTGAAAGGAGTTTCCAAGTTGTACGTACCTCTATACATAGTAAGTTTTAGCAAGTACTTATAATCAAATTAGATTTTATGTTTTTTTTTTTATTAAAGTAATATTACGTCTTACCAATGTAATTGAATTGTAACTAGACTATAGGTTTACACAGAAAATGTTTGCAAAAAAATAATAAACCTTTTTAATAAACGCAATAGAAACCAATATAATTTTTATAATTTTTGATTGTTTGTCTGCATTTTTGTTTCGACACCATGAAAAAACTACTGCACCTAATTAGATGCGGTTTTCAAAGTTGTATTTCTGTAGTTGTATACTTTAAAACTACACCAGTTTACTTTATTTTTATAAATCATATAAAAGTCTATTTATTGGATTTTCTTGCTAATATAATATAATAAAGTTTTAAATATGAATAGTTGATATCTATATATGAGATATTAAAAAAAAAAAACAATTATATGATGGTCTTAATAACAGTAATAGAAGTCAAAGCAATAATGTTTAGAATGTTTGTTGTTTGCCAATTTCATCATCATATTTCAGCATCACCCAAAGACTAGTGCACAGAAATTGGTTAGATTTCTACAGTTGTATTGCTACGGGTCTCACCTAAAATGTGATGTATGTTTTATCTTGAAACGCCATCTGGAAGTAATCATTAGTTTTTTCAATCTTACCAGTATAATAAAATTGTTACTAGACTATATCTATGCATAGAAGATATAAAAAAAAACAATGAGGGATTTTAATAGAAGAAGTTTTGTCTGTATATTTGTCTCTATGGTTGTTTCAGTATCATGTAAAAACTATTACATGAATCTAAATATGGTTTCCATAATTATGTACTCTTATTTAAAGTAAGATCTATGTATTATTTTGATGCACCATGTAGTAGTGATTACACAGCAAGTAATCACTACATTATAAAAGTTATCTCTTTAATTATATTTTTTGATTAATTTTTATTGCAAGAAATAATTTCCCACAGGAAAAATATTTTCAATAATAATTTTTTTGACGTGATTGCTTATACAGATTTATTAAACGGCCGACGGTAGGCTTTATCTTTAATAATAAATAGTGTTATTTCTATATATATATATATATATATATATATATATATATATATATATATATATATATATATATATATATATATATATATATATATATATATATATGTATATATATATATTATGGGCAAATTGCCTATTCTATTATTTTTTTGGGGCTATAGGGAAGTATTCAAAGTCCTAAAACTATTATAAAACGCTTTTTTTCTTTTACTTTGTTAATATAACTACTTTAATTTTTTATCTATTCAATCACATCGAATGAATTCACGCTGTATGATTTAGTTCGTTTGCTTTTCCTATTGTGAATAACTGAATACTGCTACTATTAATATTCAAAGGTTTTGTTATTCCTTATTTTTAGCACAAATATAATAATAAAGTAATATTAATTATTATATATCTATGACTTTCAGCCACTATTTAATTTTAATGTCAAAGTAAACGTCATACTCATAGTGATGACAGACTGTATGGGTTAGTTCCTTTGCCCTTCCAATTGTGGATAAATTAATATCATTACTATACTACTGTCATATTCACAGAGTACTTTTGAAAATTTTGTAATATACCAATATATTGTTATTTTATCCTTTAAATTATTTTTTTAAATTTAGTTAATGTGGTCATATAGGCAACGAACATTATCCATTAAAGAAATTAAAACTATTAAAATTCAAAGTTCGACGGGAGTGTATTTTCTTAATATTATCAAAGAAAACTAATCTTTTTAATATCCATCGTATTATAATATTTTAGTTCGTTGTTTTACATACTTAATTTAACATAATACCAGCTATAAACTTGTAGCCCTTGTTCTATTTAGTAATACCTTAATATATTAAATAAGTAACGGATGGTAATGAAAAGTATTACAATAACGGTATCGCAGAAAAGCATATATAAAACACCTCAATATTTTGTTGATACCTGAACAAAAACATTTCTTTAAAAAATAATTGGATTCTAATTTCAAATAGCTCAGGAACTAATGTCCATTTTGCTTAAGTATTGATATAACAGTTAAATTTGGAAATAGATTATGACATTCTAAAATTTGGTATTGTAGTGTTAAAAAAAAGAAAAGCATGGTAGAGGCAAGTAAATTTTGGTTTGAGAAAGCCTGTAGTGGCTGCCAATGTCAGGAGTTGATTCATCCTTGGACTAAAGGTTGTGCTAATGCTACTTCATCAATGTTTCTCAGTTGCATCAAGGGAAGTTATAAGTTTTATGCTATGGTTTATCTTGTGAGTATTTATGTATACTTTTTTTAATGATAGAGCTATATAGATTGCTAAAAGACTCCAGTGACTGACTGACTTAATCAGAGAAAGACTTAATCTATATTATTAGTGACTGAGCCTATGCCCAAAGTACCTACATACATATGTACAAGAGTACACTCTTAGACATGTATTTGAATAGCTTTGCTCCTATCTTGAGGTGGACATGGTTCACCCCTTCTCTCATTTAAATATGTCTATATACACAATATGATTAGTTCCTGTATGGTATATGGCCGTTCATACAATTGTTCTATTTAATTAAGTTAGCTTAAATCATACTAGATTATAAGATTATACATAATCATAAGAGGCAAAGGGAAAAACACAATGAACATCTTACTAATTCATGAGATGATCTACCACCCAATCAAAAAAAAAAAATATAAATAAAAAAATACAAGAACACAATAATATATATATATATATGTTTATATCTACACCCTTGTCTCTGAAATCCCAATTCATTTGTATAATACTGACATTTGTAATTCTAATTTTTATTCTAGGATAGTAAAATGTAATCAGTTGTAATTGATAACATACCATCACTACTCCATGTACATTCCACAACACAAAAAAAAAATAAATAAATAAACATACACCTATATACACACTACACCTCACCATGTTCAATAATAGCAACCAATCACACTATTCCCAAAATATAATAATAACATATTTTCCAATCTCCCATATACACCCTTCATGACAGACAGACTGATCGCTATAAGTAGTAAACACACTAAATATACCTTCAAGCACAAAACCAATTACATATACCAACACTCAAACTAAAATTAATACAAAAACATAATTTCCAAACCCAGCTCCACTTCCATCCCAAATAGTAAACCCCTACCCGGGTGAAAGTGAGTGTAGACAGATAGCACACATATGACTCCCTAAATAACACACACACCACAAAAAATGAATAATTGAAATAGTTTAGACCAATTATTAATAATAATATATCCTGTATATGTATATATAAACTGTACACTAATGTACAGTTTTATTGTAAAAAAAAACAGTATCGTATACTTCTTAGTTCTATCCAATACTTCTACTCATATTATGCTCAATATTAAAATACTATATTTATTTTTGTGAGAGTATCATAACAGGCTTTTTTCTTAATTAAAATTGTTTTGTTTAATTCTGCTACCATTAGTATGTGTGTGATGACTAACATTTGAGGATTGACTACTATTATTATTAGTAGAAGTACCATGACCACTCATATTAGTCATCAATCTCGAATCCTTCCAGTGAATTAGACTTTTTTTTTATGCAACTTAGAATGGCAAACAAACTAAAGACCCACCTGATGGAAAGATCACCTATAGACATGAACAATACCATGGACATAACAGAGTATACAGTTTTGTCCATGATACCTTCCACACATTGCCATTCTTGAGGACTCGGGTGTTATTTTTCTATACCCTGTAAATTCACTGCCATATCTCATCCTTTAGACTTTTATAGATTTTTTTACACCTAATTTTAGCTTTATGCTATATGAATATTGGCTGTAATTTATATTTATTTTATGGTATGTTTGCTTTATGCCTGTTATGTGATTATGTTGTTAATTTATTAAAATAGATTTCAATTATTATTTTTATGATTTATGGGTAAATTCTATCAACTGCAGATGATTAGATACCTCCCATGTTGGAATATAATACAGCTGTGGTTGATATTATATTTAGTTTATTGTATATTTATTTTGTATCTATTTTTTTTTGGCAAAATATAGTTGTTATTGCAGTTAATTAAGTTAATAATAATATAGTCAGCAATATTTATTTATTTATTAAACTTCAATGCATAAATAAAAATAACAGAAAATATAAGTGATGATGTAACATAGCAAATAAATAGAGAAAAAAACTAAATAGATAATACTTGTATAAAAAATAATAAAATATAAATACAATATGAAATTTTAATGGGTTCCATTGTACCTGAAGCCCTCAGATGTTACTTCTAAGTACACATATAATGATGTTGCAAAAGCATACTATTAATATTTTGTTTTGTATCAACAGATTCAAATATTAATGAAAGGCAAGAAATTGACCAAAAAGGAAGTGTTGGAGCAGTCCAAGCTTTACTTGAAATCTGGAATATTTGGTTTGACAGTGGCCGGTTCATTTGTAACATTAAATTGTATATTCAGGTAATTGAATTTTATTGTATATATTTATATTAAATAATTATAAAATAAAAAATAGTAATTTATAGGTAGATAAAGAAAGAGCTATAAAGGCTTTTGGGAGAAAGTGGCACATTATATCTAACAGTGGACTGTTATGGGTTGTTGATGATAAAATATTATTTTATTGAAACTGTACATAAAGGATTATACATAGCATGTTTGAAAATAAAACAAGAATGCCAAATATCATGTTTAATCTTGCATTAATCTTGTAGGCACTCTGTTGTACATTGAAGGTGGTAACATAAGACTAATTAAGAAATGGGATTTCCTATTCCTCTGATAATCTTCTGGAATTACTTTAACTGGTCGAGATTTGCAAAATGTTGAAAATTCTAATGAACAAGTTACATTACTTGTTTTTTTTAGTATGCTCTCTAGTATGAACTATGTAGCTGGGGGAAAGGGATTGTAAGTAATTTAGGGTTTGACAGCTCTATTGCTAGCAATATACCTCATCAGATCAACCTCTATGTGTTTCTCCCCGGAAATCATCGTGGCTAATTCTTGTTGAATTCGTCACGATGGGCTAACTGGCCTGCTTTCTCCTCACCTATTATCACTCACTGGATCTGCCAGTTTATACTGATAGCGTAGACGGGGTTACCATTCTATTATTATCCATTAAAAAAAACTATACAGCTATCAAATAGGTAGGTTACGTTAACTTATTGGCGTCAAAGTAAGGTTTATAATTCTGTTAGTAAAATATGTTGAAAGTTGATTCTATTTGTAGTAGAAATAATTGACAACGATTGTGTAATTCTGAACGGAAATGACACCGCGATCGATAAAAACAATATGCAAATGCACTGACTTGTATTATTACGTACAGGTCAATGTACAAATTTTAAGTTCGCCTCGATTACCTCTCTCATTTACTACTGTCGCTAAGTCCAAAGTTGGTGCCTGGGGAGGTGTTGTTAGAAATGGGGTCCAGCTCGTAGTATACTCTAGCAGAGCAACTTCCACGCGATCCCCTTTGAAAACTGTCGTGGTCCGTTCGTCCTACGTTCTAACTTGAAGGACTTCAACCTTGTCGTCTATCACCTATCATCCCTTACAGTGAACTTTGTTAGTCTCATTTCATATCATTTAAAAAAGGAATTAGTTTAGCTAGCTCATCAACGTTGCACCATATGTCGCTAAGTCCAAAATTGGAGGGGGGGGGGGGAGGCATTATTAATAATGCGGGTTACCAGTCCCATTGCTAGCAATATATCCTGTCAGGAATTCCAGATATATTCATCACAATGGGCTAACTGACCTGCTTTTTCATTCTTATTTACTGTCCCTCTCTAGTGCCCCGTCAGCGTATACAAATAGTGCAGGCGGTGTTATCATTCCATTGTTATCCATTGAATAAAGAGTCCGAAATTGTGGTATAACCCTATGGAGATTTTGTATTATATTGTAAAATCTTTATTGTTCATAATTCACATTGAATACATTAAATGATTTAATATACAATGGCGGACTTATCCCATAAAGGGATCTCTTATAGTCAACCTTTGAGAAGCTGAAAGAAAGCTGTAGAATGTATAAGAGATTTAATGTACTTATTAATATTATAAATGTGGGGGGAAAGGGATTGTTAGTAATGGAGACTGAGAATCCCATTGCTAGTAATATACCTAACCAGGTCGACCTCCTCGCGATTCTCACTGGTGCTCCGCCAGCATATCTCGTTAGCGCAGGCGGGGTTACCATTTCATTATCACCCATTAAAAAAAATTATAAATGTGAAAGTGAGTTTGTTTATTTGTTGCCAATTTATCCCGATCAGTGAATATGTCCCGGTGCGTGGACGAAGTCGCGGGTAAAATCTAGTATTGTTATAAAATCTAATTTGCTCCTATGTTATTTCCAGGAACCTATTCTTCAGCCAGTTCTCATATTACAACACGGTCCTGCTCCCGTGCACCATTAGTGGGCTCGCAGTATATTTCGAGCCACCTCACAGAAGAATACTTGTTTTAAATCTTTTTGTCAATTTGGTAAATATCTTCACCATTAACATTTATTGTACATTTATATTATTATAACCTCTTTTTGTCGGGGGGAAAGGGATTGTTAGTAATGGAGACTCAGAATCCCATTGCTAGCAATATACCCAACCAGGTCGACCTCCTCGCGGTTCTTCCTGGAAACTATCATGGTTAATTCCTGATGAATTCATCATGATGGGCTAACTGGCCTGTTTTCATTCTCATCTATCACCCTTCACTGGTGCTCCGCCAGCGTATCCCGTTAGCGCAGGCGGGGTTACCATACCATTTTTACCCATCAAAACAAAAAAAAACTCATTTTCAAATCAAAACAAAAAACATTTAAAAGCTGATATAATGGTAATGATAAATTATTCTCTTTTCTTCTTTAAAACTGATTTCGACGCGTTTTCGTCATACAAACCTGATTACTGGTAACTGGAATGTACCATACCTAAAAAAAAATATAATGAATTATTGTTTGCAATAAATAAAATATTTGTTTATATAGTAGTGAGAACTACGGATCATATTATTAAATTCTTTGAATATCTCCATTTTGGAATCTATCATTCTGTAAGTGATACCTCATTTTGGGTGAATTTAGTTATTGCCTTTTTCCTCACAGATGTCGTCGAAAACCTTTTGATTTTAATAATATTTGCTACACACTATTTTAGGTATTCGAATATTGGGTGCGCACTCTAGAAATGAAAGGCTGGCTCCGGCGGTCTCCAGGCAGAGAAACGCTCATATTCATGTTTAGCAGCGCCGTCTTGTTCTATCTTATGCGGCGAGAAAGAGAGAATGATAAACGGACTCCAATTTTCTGGTTTGTATTACATCATTATCTTTAAGCTTATTACTCGCTTTGTTCTTGATTTTTTTTTATAACACATGGGGCAATCGAGCATGCGGCTCACATAATGGTAAGTGACTACCGCAGCCTATGATCACTTACAATACCAGAAACATTGCAGGTGTGCTGCCGGTCATTTAAAAACGAATGTATGCTCCTTTTTTGAAGGTTATGATGTCGTATCGATTAGGAAATACTGCTGCTGGAAGTTGACCCGAAAGAGTGGTTGTGCGTGGAAGTGTTGTGTTTACTAATATATTGGTATTTAGTAAACATTTTCTAAAGCACTTGCTACCAGAGGGAGATTTTGTACAAAAGTCGATTGCTTGGGTACCTCTGTCCCATTCGTGTTTCAACTGTGAAGCAGTTGTGTTTGCATGGCTGTGTTTCGGTTTGAAGGTTGGGATTTGGCGTGAATTTACTGGGTACAGAGGAATAACACCTGAGTCCTCAGGATTGGCAATGCATAGGGGGTATCATGGGCGAAACAGTATACTCTGTTATGTCCATGGTACTGCTCATATCTATAGGCGACGGTTACCACTTTCCATCAGGTGGGCCGTCAGCTTGTTTTTCATAGGTCCTTGTACTTAAGTGGCAGGGTGATAGTTATGATACATAGAATCGTTATTGGACTCACTTTTAATGCTGATTATACAGTTAACATAAAATTTAATTTGCAGCAGAATTGAAAGATATTTTAAAAATATTATGTTAATTATACCTAATTAAACTAACCCAGAATATCGACATTATGTTTTTGTTGTTGATAATGTTCGTGTGGGCTTTACCATCAGGTGGGCCGTATGCTTGATTGCCACCTCAGAGGTATAAAAAATATGTACATGATTCAAGTAAAATCTTCCATCAGTAGTTTTTGGAGACAAGTTTATAATAGATGGGATGTAAACGCAGGTTCTTCACTCCACCGAGGGTCTCTAAAGAAGTTGGAGAGCCGATCGAAGGATTTGAAGGCCGTAGTCACGCGTGCCCTCATGAGGAATCTTGTAGAAGCTACATTTTAAAGGTAAAATATTTTGTTTTACTAATAGGCACATAAACAATGGTAAACTCACTATGTTGGATTTAAGTATACATGGAGAACTATAGGCCTGTCGAGTGTTTTTTCAACCGACTCCAAAAAGGAAGTTCTTAATTTGTTTGTATTTTATTTTTATGTTTGTTATCTCATAACTCCGCTAGTTGTACAGCGATTTGGAAAATTAATTTTTTTCTGAGTAATAAAAAAAATTTGAAACTTCAAGCTTGAAATTGATTTATTTTACTCCAATACAATTTGAAAAAATCGCCAAAAATTTTGATTTTTTTGTACCCTTCTTTTTTTCCGCTAGTACGAGGTCTGTCCGGAAAGTTCGTATAAAAGTGTTCTGGAATGCGAGAAAGAGGAGTGGGGAGGCCAGGTAAGCGCAGGACCCCTTCCTTATGTCCCTAACAATGCTTCAGTTCTGGTCTGACCGCCGTGCGGTGCGAACTGGCTTGTCACGCCATCTGTGAAGTTACCTCTTAACGAAACCCCGTCGGCATGGAGCCCGCTTCCGTTGAAGAGCAGCGCGTCGTAATCAAGTTTCTCTCGAAACTCGGCAAGAATGGCCGTGAAAGCAAAGAGTGGAAGACATCCGGGGAACCACGAACAAAAAAATCAAGAAAATCCCGCTCAAATGTCAAGACAATGTTGATTGTTTTTTTCGATGTTCGGGGGATTGTCCATCAAGAATTCGTCCCTCCAGGCCAGACAGTTGATGGAAAATTCTACGTCGATGTGCTCAGACGCCTCAAAGCTCGTGTGGCACGAGTTCGTCCAGAATTGGCGCGAGAGGGGCGTTGGATTCTTCACCACGACAATGCCCCTGCCCACACCTCTCTTGTTGTCCGTGAGTTTTTGAGTAAAAATTCCATTACGGTGACCGAACACCCCCCTATTCGCCGGATTTGGCCCCGTGTGACTTCTTCTTGTTCCCAAAAACCAAATTGGTACTTCGGGGGCGGCATTTGGGGGACATAAATGAGATAAAAAAAGCTACGACGGGGCAGCTGAGAAACCTACAACCAGAGGACTTTCAAGGAGCCTTCTCACAGTGGAAACGGCGTTGGCACAAGTGCATTATGTCACAGGGGGAGTACTTTGAAGGGGATAAAATTGATTTACCTGAATAATTGTAAAATAAAATTTTTAAAAAACTTTTATACGTACTTTCCGGACAAACCTCGTATATGAGGATGTTTGTTCCAGGGCACAGCCAAACTGTTCGGCGTGGGCTGCGCTATGACAATGTTGCGAACAATCTTACCTAGAATCCTGACTCCGGCGAAAGCTTTTAAGTCTTTGAAATTGTCGCATCTCAAGCTCGGATTGTTCTTCGGTGGCTACATTGGTATTTACAGGGTGAGACATGTTTTATATACTTATAGTAAAGGAACAATTAGTGGTTTCAGCCGTTTGGCATGGCTCATACAAGATTATTAATATTTCAGCTTGTAACTATCTGCTGCTGATCATAAGCCTTCCCATGGATTGCTTCAAGGAACGGCCATGAGCCACCTGCATCCATTGACATTCCCTGCTCTGTAATACATTACAGATCGTCACCCCATCTAGTGCGGGGTTGTATTATATTGCGTTTACCTATACGGGGTTGCCAGATAAGCTTTCTTTTCTATTGTATTTGGTAACATGTATTTTGGTTGTAAAATGTGATGCAAAGAGTACAAGAACGCAATGTTGGAAGGCATTGGTGAAGGCTTATGTACAGCAGTATATAGATACAGGAATAAATTGAATTAATGAATGAATCATGGTGGAAATAAAGGTAATATTGTGATAATAAATATTGTGATATATATATATATATATATATATATATATATATATATATATATATATATATATATATATATATATATACATACACCTCATTATTTAAAAGAACGTTTTATGTTTCTTGGAGAGAGCAATTCTAATTCTTATTCTTTACGTAGTACTGACAACCTCCAACTCATAATTCCTACCCATTCTTCCTCTTTCTACTCCAAATCCTTTTATATATATATATATATATATATATATATATATATACACCTCATTATTTAAAAGAACGTTTTATGTTTCTTGGAGAGAGCAATTCTAATTCTTATTCTTTACGTAGTACTGACAACCTCCAACTCATAATTCCTACCCATTCTTCCTCTTTCTACTCCAAATCCTTTTCCGTGCAAGCAGTTCGTTTGTGGAACTCACTCCCTACCTCTATACGGTGCGCTCAATCGTTGCCCATTTTTAAAAACTTAGTTAAAGCCCACTACCTATCCTTATAATCACTTAGTCCTACGTATTTCCAGTTTTATGTGTGTTATATATATGTGTATTAATATGGTATATTTGTATGTATTTATGCGTATATATGTATATGTATGTATATATATTTATATGTGTATGTGTATGTATATATATATGTATATATATGTATATGTTTGGTTGTATGTGTTTATTTATGTATGTATATGTATATGACTATGCTGTCACAAATATTATTTTTTACAAATCTATCTTTTTTAACGCGCCACCTACCTACTTATGCTTTAATCCTTTCTACCCAAAGGTTGTCTGGAAGAGATTGCTTAGCAATAAGACCGCCTTTTGTACTACACTATACGTATTGAAAATTGTTTTAACAAATCATGTTATGTTGGTGCAATAAAGTGTTAAATAAATAAATAAATAAATATATATATATATATATATATATATATATATATATATATATATATATATATATATATATATATATATTAATGGGAGATTGTTATCCTTTAAAGTGATTTTAATATAATATTAGATCGACTTCTTCCTTCCTTATAGATCCCGTTGGAAACCATCGTGGTTAATAATTGTTGAATTTGTTACATTGGGCTAATTGACCTGCTTCATCTTCACCTATAATCGTTCACTGATTCGCCATCAGTGTACACTGATAGCGCAGGTGGAGTCATTATTTCATTTATACCCATAAAAAAAAAACTATAGTTTGTCAAAATCGGTCAAGACGTAATATTTAAATAATAAATTTTTATATAATTAAAAATAAATAAATGTAATAATAATAATATAAAGTAACATAATTGTCGTTACAGTTAGTAGTATGCTTACTGTGCCGGTCGCACGGCCGCGACAGCGCGCTGTTCGCGGTACCGGCGGGTTTCCTCGCCGGTCTTGCGTTCAGAGCAGCGCCCTCTACACCTATAGCGTTCGCGCCACTCACATCTTCGTTACAGGTTTGTTTTTATTTTCAAGTAGTATTTTTTTATTTATGTTTTCAGTGCTTTTTATTAATGTTTAGTATGGTCGTGTGATCCCGAAATAAAATAGGCCATTGGCGTGAATTTACTGGGTACAGAGGAATAACACCTGAGTCCTCAGTAATGGCAACGCATGGGGAGTATCATGGGCGAAACAGTATACTCTGTTATGTCAGTGGTACTGCTCATGTCTATAGGCGACGGTTACCACTTTTCATCAGGTGGGCCGTCAGCTTGTTTGCCATTCTAAGTTGTATAAAAAAATATACCACTTTAGGTCATCAGCTTGTTTGCCATTCTAAGTATTTTAAATGTTTGACAGATCTTAAGCTCGTGGGCATATCAGAAAGGTATGATTCCGAAGAACTGGCCGATAGTCGAGGTCCTGTACTGCCTGTGCCAGGGGCTGCTCTTCCACGCGAGGGTCATGCACGAGGATGTGTGTCCGCGGTACATCATCAACTTGATGCACACCGTCACGAGCTCGAAGTAAGTTTTTTTTTTTTTATACAACTTAGAATGGCAAACAAGCTGACGGCCCACCTGATGGAAAGTGGTAACCGTCGCCTATAGACATGAGCAGTACCATGGACATAACAGAGTATCTCTACAGCGTGTTAGTTGTAGTTAGTTTTGAAAAGAGAACTAAAGTTTTATCATGGTTAGGTCGCCCGTGGAGATTATATTTTTATTAATATTTATAAATGTGAAAGTGAGTTTGTTTGTCACCTTTTGACGCGTAATTACTTAACCAATTGTTACGAAATTTAGTGCATATGTTTGGCATGGAAAAGACAAACAAAAACTTTTTATCCTGAAGTCGCTGTTAATAACTAGTTAAAGAATATTTAGATATATAGATACATACTCTTTATTGTTTCTTATATATATATATATATATATATATATATATATATATATATATATATATATATATATATATATATATATATATATATATATATATATATATAAGTTTACTATTGTAATCTTTTGGAGGTATCGATATATATATATATATATATATATTGAGCCTATAGCGATATATATAAAAAAAATTGTTATTTTTTGTGTAATATTCCCTTTTGTATGTTATTGTACTCATGCTTTCCTGGGTGAGCGTATTGAAAGACTGTAAGGCTCACCCAGTGGATGTAATAAATAAATAAATACATATAATATGTCGCAGAGAAGGGATTGTTAAAATCAGGTGTAACTGCCTCATCGATCGACTTCCTTATAGTTCCCCATCCTCATTGGAAACCATCATGGTTAATAATTGTTGAATTCGTTACATTGGGCTAATTGACCTGCTTCATCTTCACCTATAAACGTTCACTGATAGTGCAGCTGGGGTCATTATTTCATTTATACCTATAAAAAAAACTATAGTATTTCAAAATCGGTCAAGACGTAATATTTAAATAATAAATTTTAACATAAATAACAATAAATAAATAAAAAGAAACTGGGAGATTACAAGTGTTCTCAGTCTAAACAATTTTATATTTAGAACAGATTTACACTTTGTATTTTTTTTTGTACAACACTTATGCGTCGATGCAAACTTTATTGGCTGATAAATTATTTAATTGTGTAATTATCATATAATTATGTTGTTAAAACTATATGTTTGCCTTAAATAAATAAATATTCTCTCATTTTCAGGGCGGACGAAATCCAAAGTGCTTTTATTGAGAAGATGTTGAAAACAATGTGAGTCTCATTAACATGCAATAATTTTGTACTAAATTACTATAGTGCAATTGGAACATGTTTGAAACCTCAAGACTGTGTAATATTGTTACTATAAGTACAATGAAGAGTGATCAAAGCATCATAAACTCTGACTGTTACCAAAAATCATAGGAAGTTTCAAATTAAAATAGAAATTTTTCAAATTCATGTTTTTACATGTTTTATATTATTTATATGAAAATGTTTGAGACTTCGACATTGTTGACCGATTATAATAAAAGTTAACACATGTATTATTCTTGGCTGGAGGAGGTTTTTTGCAACATCCATTTTGTTATATTACGCCACTAGATGGAGCTGCAGTAAAGGCATTTAAGTATGGAGAATATTTTTACACCTTATTGTCACTTGATGCTGATTATACTGTATAAATAACTAGTTGCTATAAAAGTTACGAATAAGGTAAGTTACCAGAATTTATCATAAAAAGTGACTGAACTAAATTGTGTTTTATTACATAGCTGAGAGGTTTCATTTTCAATTGAGTACACTCATTAAGTTTTATTAAATTATTTAGGTGCAAATCTGTGATTATTATATTAAGCATATTATTTGTTATGTGGAACAGGGTTGATTTAAAGTTATATTTAATTTCAATCTGTTATTAATTTTAAGTGGTTTTGGTTACGTAATTACGTTATCAAAGTGTTAGACATATCGTTTAGTGTATTTATGATGCGAAATTGACAATGTCTTTATTTTATTATTATTTCTATTAAAATACAATCTTAAATAAAGTTTACTTACTTTCAGTGACAATAAAAGTACTGGAAAAAAGATTTATAACACGAGTTGCCATTAACAAAAATAAGGAGTAAATCCATAATACATTGCAATTGAAATTTTAAATTTTGATGGTAAATATGTATTTGGCAACTGTATAATAAAAGAGTTAAATTAGTGACTAGTTAGGTCCAACTTGTTCTATGGTAATTGTTTTTGAACACAAACGCCTGTTTTTAAATAATAAGGCAGGTGTACTTGTTTTTGAAAATTGAGACATTGCTAGAGTTCTGTATGAATATACAGTTACTTTTATTTTTGTTCTTGAAAGTAATTATTTTTATTTATCAAAGTATTTTAAACATATACTCATTTATTTGTCGAATATTTTAGAAACAATTATATTATGGTGGTGTGGTATTATTGTATTATGAAAGTATAATGGGCTCTGTAGACGGTCAAGTGGCTTGTGTTAAACAGAAAAAAAAAATCTTTTCAAAAGGCCAGTAGCATACTTGCAATTTTTCTGGTGTTGCGATGCTTATGAGTCATTTATAATCTAGTGCGCCGCATGCTCGTTTGCCAGTGTTATAAAAAAAGTACTTCCGTCTCTGTTCTACAAGCAATAGACACATGCTTGAATCGAATTGCTTAAACGTTTACGGAGCTCATACGATTAGCCTTACAAAATAGGTGCTGTTGAAGCCAAATCGTAGTATTGTTAAACGTCTAACTTTAGTTGTAAGCACAATTTTTACTTAACACGAATAGGTGTTTGGTAGTTAGCAAATATTTTTTTTATTTATCAATAAAAATATACGCATAAAAGTATTTTTATGTTAATTTTATCAGAATGTGTTTACGGATAAAAACAGTATTTCCTTAACTTGATAGTTTTGAATGTACTTCATAGTTTAATTAAAATATCAAACAAGAGACAAAATGTGGCAAAATAAATAAGTTTTAATTGATATATCTGTATAACTCCATTGTGTTTTTGTTCGTCAATAACTCGAATTTATTCTTTACAGAATTTCGGTTTTATAATAAATAATATCAGCGATTTTAAAGCACATAATTATATAAATTTAATTGAATCTCCTTTTTTTTTATAAAATAGATGAATTTTTATACTGAAACGGAAATTGGCTTAGTATTTGTCGGAATATTTCATTTTTACTTTCATATGTTTATGTTTAAAATCTTAGTACAATATTTATAATTCTACTTATGGATAGTGTTTTGTCTTTATACAGGTTAAAATATTACTTTTTTTGAGTTTTAATGCTCTATTAGTGAAACCATATATTTAATAACCTTCAGACCGTCTCGCTACATGTTTTATGAGAGATGGCAATTAGCGATATCGATTCGATAACGATATCGATTCTCTAGACAAGTAGCATACGAATTCGTCGATGGAATCGACTGAGAGAGATAAAATGAGATAGCAACGCCGGTTGACTTATTCCAAGTCACGCACTCGCTAGGGATGGCCAATGCTATCGACAAATTCGTATGCCACTTGTCTAGAGAGCCAGGTTACACTGGCTACCTTCTACACACTGACAATGAGAAGAAAAAAATTCTGCCTCGGAAGCGGAGACATGACAGCGATACATCAGTCTACTTGTAACCACGGCCGGTGTAACACGGTCGAAACGTCGATATAATTTAGACAAATTATCATAGTTTACCTAAATGATCGCGTAATCTCGTTTCTTGTATAATATAAAACTGTATATTTTCCCTAGAGGAATATGAGTCGAGAAACGACAACACGATTTGAAATTCCCATACTAACACGATGAATTCTGGTGACAATTAAACAGTAGAAGATTTTTTGTCCTTTTTCGACGCTTGCTTCATTCCTGTACGTTAATTAATTCATTCCTTATAACTGGTGTTAGTATTTACCAATAGGGTCTCAAAAAATTCCCCTTAGTTGCCAGTCCTCAGGAATGGCAACTCATGAGGGGTATCATGGTCGAAACAGTATACTCTGTTATGTACATGGTACTGCTCATGTCTATAGGCGACGGTTACCACTTGCCATCGGGTGGGCCATCAGCTTGTCTGCCATTCTAAGTTGTATAAAAAAAATCTCATTGTGAACAATGTAAGATTTCGAAATAATCTTGACGTGTATATTTACAGAAGTAACAGTGTATAAAAGAATAATTACATTAAATATGATTTTCCATTTATTTATTATTGCTTATTATAACTTTGAAACTATTAGATTCGACAAAAAAAAGACTAAGTTTGCTTATTAATTGTGACAATTCTGATAAAAAAAGATTTCACAATACGAAGAATTTTTATCATTTTTCAAATCGATAAATGAATATGCCATTAAATATTTTAACTCAGTAATATGAATCCAGTATTCTCAGTATACGTATAATTTGTTTTAAAATGTAATATAATAAGCTTGTATTTCAATTTTGTATTTTAGAAGCAACGATTAGGTAAAAAAATTGTAATCGTAAGATAAAACGAATAATTTACATACATATACTGTTCGAAATATGTCTTTATATGCAAATATTCTTTTTAAGACTTTATTTTTATTTTTGAAATGAGTTATTCCCATTTGAAATATTTCCCTTTTGGAATGATATTTAAACAAAATCTAAGTCGAATACTTTTGAATTAATCGAATATGAATGGTTTCTATAAAAATATGACCTAGCGACAGAACGTGTTAGTTGAAAATGTATATTAATGTTTATTTTTAGTTTGTATGCCTGAAAGGCATCTATACTACTATAATAAAGAGCATCATATACGGCGCGAATAATATAAAATCTGAGTTTATCGTAAGGATCTGTACAATTTTATTCAAATAGGTCATTTCTACTATTAATATTGTAAATGAATACTGATAAAGTAGTTTGAGCGACTGTACACGTACACACGCACATACATACATACATGCACATGCACGCACATACACGCACACATATATACGCACATACCTATAAGCACACACATACACACGCACACACACACATCCACGCACACGCACACATACACGCACACGCACACGCACGCGCACACGCACACGCACATGTACATGCACATGCACATGCATACACACACACGCATACACTAACACGCACACACGCTCATACACGCACGCACACACATAAATACATACATAGGATGTTTTTATTGTAATTCAAGCAGCCCAATACTTGAAATACAATTTTATGTAGACATTGCAAGGTTGTATGAAGTTTTAAATAAAAAAAAAGGTGAAATATGAATTTACATGATAATTGACGATTTATTCCTTCTATGAAAAATATTGAACTGGCCAAACTTTAGGAGTACCACATATACCTTAATTATGTTTGTTCGTAGCTGGAAGTAAATTAATTTTTATGCACAAATTTTTGCAGAAAAAAATCTGCATCGTGTATGATGGTCTTAACTATGTATTTATTAGAAGTATTATTTATTATATTAATACAATCACACATGAACATTATTGTTTCCATTTTTTTTATTATATTACGAATGAATAAGTAATAAAAAAATGCCATGATAGCGAGTTTGGTGGATTTGTAAGGTTTTGTTAATTAAACATTGAAGCTAAAGAAATTTAAACTACAGGTAATTGTAAAATATGTCACAGAGTTCACTCTCTTTTGCAAGAAATTGCAATATTTGGCGGTGTTTATCGTATTCCTCCGAGTGAAACATCAGTTTGTGAAGAGTAGTCTATTTTGCATAAAAATGTGCCTATATATATTATTAGTTCTTATTATGTCAATTTTATTTTGTATAAAAATTCCATACTATTAATAAATTATTGCCATACCATTTTGTAGTAGGATAAAAAGGGCAATGTTGATATATTTACCTGTCTTTATCATAATGGCCCATTTTGAGCACATCTGCTTAATACGCTTTTCCACGATACAGTAACTTGTAATTACAATTAGATATTTCGAATGTTTGTTTATTTTTTTAATAAATAATAATGAAGAATTTAGATTTTTCATTTAATAAACTTCTTGCCCATTTTTGTTACATAGTTTTTATAAATTTTTTCATGTAAAGGTTTTTTAGTGGTGAGTCGTGTAGTGTAGAGCGTTGCTATTAGAGTTGTAGATGATTTTACTACAGGAATTGGATGGATTTGATTAATAATATTATTGTTGTGTAATGCAATACGAACTGTAGCTCACGGTAGCTCACGATCGTTCCTGATGGCAGTCTATAGGGCAGGCCTATGTTCAGCAGTGGACAGGTAACAACTGCTACGATGATTGTAGCACGAGTTACGGTAACCATGATAAGGAGAGTTTGTATAAAAAAAGACCGACTAAAGAGAAAAATAACAGTACAATTTTATTGCATAATTAATAAAGTTTAAGTGCATCAAAACATTTTTTTTAAACAATTGCTACATAGGTATGTGACATTTCGAATAAATTATTTTTTGTTAAAAGTAATTTTCACTGCTAATTTCGTGCTCATCAACATTAGCTTTTGTGCTATTTCAGTGACGAACGAATAGGAGTAATAACTTTGTTAATGGTATTTCTTTTCTTCAATCAACTTCTTCGACTTTAGGCCCTCCAGAGCTCTCCGGTCTAGAACCACTGGGCCCACCTCTGTTGGCTCCATGCAGCTTCATCATAGCTGGTTGACAGGTCCTTTGCGCTGCCTTCAGACGTTGTTCTAGTTCGGATTTTGAAGCATCAGGATTTCCTTCGAGCCACCGAAGCTGGTCAGTACATTCTGTGATGACTGCACTTCTTTCGCCTTCTGTCAGCCTGCTACTATCATTTTCAGCTGCCTGTAAATACATTGGTTGTATTAACTTAGAAGTATTTGATGGTATCGTTATTTTTTATAATATGTATGGGCATAAAAAGTGCATTTCAAATATAAAAATATTTTTTTAATAGATTTTGTGTTAAAAGCGTGAAAAGATTTGCACCTTGCTTACATGTCCACGGTAGCTACTCGCACCATTGAAAGAAAGTACATATCGTTATTGTGTTTATCATGTTAATATATTGTAGCTATTGACATTACGACTAGTTTATTTTAGAATAAGGTTTGTTCAAAAGTGTTCTTTTTCATTTCAGAACGTTAGGATGAATCAAATTTAAATAAAAAGTTATGCTAACCGTTTTACATCCGTATAGATAGCTTTCAAATTGATTTCTAATTTCGACCTTCTTCCTTACAGCTTCGTCTTCAGCTTTAAATTTTTCAGCATCATTTAGCATCTTCTCGACATCCCTTTTGCTCAGTCGGCCCTTGTCATTGGAAATTGTAATATGTTCAGATCTTCCTGTACTTTTGTCCTGAGCGTTCACATTTAAAATGCCATTTGCATCAACATCGAAGGTTACCTGTAAACGTCTTTCGATTACGACATTGACTCTTTTTTATTTAAAAAGAAATTGAAATTAAGAATTAACCTCTATTTGTGGTACTCCCCTCGGCGCTGGTGGTATACCTGACAAATTGAAGGTTCCCAATAAATTGTTGTCTCTAGTCATAGCTCTCTCCCCTTCATACACCTGTAATTGGAATAAAAATATTTTGACACATTGATGTACATGGAACTAAATTTCAAAAAATCTAGTCGAACTGTGTTAGATGAGTATCTACCATGATTTAATGTCCTACTTGTTTAAGAGCTTAGCTTGTGTATTATTTTATTCATCTTTACTTCAGGTTTTAGGGACACACACAAGTTTTCGAGAGCAAGATTTGTAGATAGTGGTTATACAACGATTTATCGTTACAGGTACCTGGATCGTAACAGCTGGTTGGTTATCGGAATACGTGGTGAAAATCTTTTTCTGAGCTGTTGGTATCCTTGTATTTCTTTCAACTAATCGTGTCATAACGCCTCCAGCTGTTTCAATACCGAGAGAGAGCGGTGCAACGTCCACCAATAAGACATCTTGAATGCGCGTGTCTTTTGAACCCATCAAAATAGCTGCTTGAACAGCAGCCCCGTAGGCTACTGCTTCGTCTGGATTGATTGATAGGTTCAGTGTTTTACCATTGAAGAATTCCTGAAATATATTGGTGTAAGAATTATCATGACATTGTTTTAAGTTGGTATGTGATAGTGTAATGTTGTATAATTCAATATTTAAATATTTGCTAATAAGAAAATTGCGAGAATAGAAATCTATGGTTATTTTTATTCTATGTAGAGAAATTATTTAAAAGATGTTCTGAGAATATCTAAATTTAAGTATAAATTTTGACTACAATACATGGATCTTAAAAAAACAAATCTTAATGCAAAATTAATATACCAAGTACCTGTAATAATCTCTGAATCTTTGGTATGCGTGTTGAACCACCGACCATTACAACATCATGAATTTCTCTCGTATTTAATCCTGCATCTTTCAATGCTCTCTCAACGGGACCGATAGTTTGACGAAATAAATCCGAACATAGTTCTTCGAAACGTGCTCTTGTAATTTTTGAATAGAAATCAATACCTTCATGCAATGCGTCTATCTCCAAACTTGCTTCTGTACTAGATGAAAGTGTTCTTTTCGCTCTCTCACAAGCTGTTCGAAGTCTTCGTAATGCTTTAGGATTATCTTTTAAATTCTTTTTAAATTTCCTCTCAAATTCCTGTGTAAAATGATCGACCATTCTGCTGTCAAAATCTTCACCACCCAAATGAGTATCGCCAGCTGTAGACTTTACTTCGAAAAGAGATCCTTCAGCAATTTGAAGAATTGAAACATCAAATGTTCCACCTCCGAGGTCGAAGATCAATACGTTCTTGTCTCCCTTCAGGTCTTTGTCCAGTCCATAGGCAAGCGCTGCGGCTGTTGGCTCATTGATGATTCTGAGAACATTTAATGCAGCTATAGCTCCAGCATCCTTAGTAGCTTGACGTTGAGAATCATTAAAATATGCCGGTACGGTTATTACAGCATCTTTGACAGTTCCCCCTAAATAAGTTTCAGCGATTTCTTTCATTTTTGTCAAAACCATTGAAGATATTTCTTCTGGAGAAAATCTTTTTTTCTGTCCTTTGTATTCGACAATTATCTTTGGCTTTCCACCATCTGATACTACTTCAAAGGGCCAATGTTTTATATCTTGCTGAACTTTTGGATCGTCGAACTTACGTCCGATTAACCTTTTGGCATCAAATACTGTATTTTTTGGGTTCATAGCCACCTAAAATAAAGAATCGGGCAGTTTATTCAATTTATTTAGGTTCCTATCCGATGTGCGTGTAATATTGAATGGAATGTTCAATGAATAGAGAACACAGAACATTACGTGATGTTGGTCTCACCCATATTTACCATGTGTTCGCTGACCTTTCATGCTTCAATAGTTTTATTTGTATAGAAGTGACCCAGGAACTTATATTAACGAAGTTCTTTCAAAGAGTGACGGGCAAAGTTGTAATAGTTTCACTAAATGGGCACATTCTTGCATTTCAACTTCTCAAGTTAATGAACCGACAATGTCGGAAGAAAGTTTGTTTTGCTAGCAGTTCCGACCTAAGTACTTAGTTTGTTTAAGTGAGTGAGTATATTTATTTGTTATATATTCTATTTGATAAGTTTTTATTTATATAACTCCTTAAGTTTTTATTAAGTTTTAACTAAGTTTTAATGTCTCGTTGCTTGCTACTATTAGCACTCTTACTAGTATTTGATTATCTTAGTTTTTATTAAAAAAATTTTGTAAGAAAAAAATGGTAATACATTGTAATCTCGCTTCGTTATAACTCAGAAAAGAAAAGGGCATTAAAACAGGTTATTTAGCTACTAATGTTTAATAATAAATTGGATGGCCCGATTTCGAAAGACATTGATATACAAAAAGGTGCTGTACTTGCTCACTTGAAGTAGTTGTTTTTATTTTGAAGCAGAAAAGTGCGTTAATTTGTATAAATGAAAAACAGATGTTTGGAAAATTGTCATCAGTTGTCATAAAATTTGAAGACAATGATATGATTATAATATCTATAGTAGCAATAACAGAATAAATCAGTTATACAAAAGTATCCACCAAAATCGGTTTATAATAGACAATTACAAAAAAAATGTGTACGGGATATCATAAATTCGATTGAAAAAAGGGTAAATAAAGTCGGTTTAAAATGAATAAAAATAATATAAAAAAATATATATTTTTTGAAGTTGCTCTAAAAACGCTATATTCATCACCTGATTTTTAGCTGGGTCCCCTATCAACCTCTCTGTATCGTTGAAGGCCACATACGACGGTGTAGTCCTATTGCCTTGATCATTGGCTATGATTTCCACTTTGTTGTGTTGGAATACGCCCACACAGGAATACGTCGTTCCCAAGTCAATACCCACAGCTGGGATGGTCATGTTTGCTCATCCAATTCTGGAAATAAAGGTAAAATTTACAGATTTAGATAGGTCGGCAAATTAGTTTAAATTTATTTGTTAACGCTAATTGTTTAGGAATGAAATGCTTCTCCTGCTTCTGTATCCTTGGAGCATACTATAAGGGGCTTTTCAAGTTGATGGTGAACAAGTATTTCAGGGTAAGTGTAGTTTATGTGTAGCGTCAGGCGAGGAAAGATGATGTGTAAACTCATTATGCAATAAAAAATATAGTATCATATTCAAGTGTTTCGTAAAAATACATATTGCAGTTATTAAATATGGCAAGTTTAAAAAATTAAAATTAGGTATACCCATGGAATATTATCTAGATAATATTTATCAATAAGTACCTACCTATGTCTAGTAGGTACGTAGTGACTTATATATCTCTATTTAACCGACATCAAAAAAGGAGAAGTATTTAGATTCGGTTGTATTTCTTATGTTTGTTACCTCATAACTCTGTCATTTATAAACCGATTTGGTAAATTCATTCCTTTTGTGAAAGAATATACTTTTAGATTGGTTCTATAAAATTTTCCATCAAAAGCAGTTCAGTATTTTAGTTTTTAAATCAAAATAAAATTTCGTGTTCTTTTTGTGGAACAAATACTTAAATTATTTTGGTCTAAAAATTAATCTTTCAGATTAAAAAAATATTTTTCCAAATTGGTTTACAACTGACTGAGTTATGAGGTAATAAACATAAAAGGAAAAATACATTCAAAAAGCAACAGTTTTCAAACTCAAACTTGCTTTTTGAAATCGTTAAAAAATATTCTCATAATTACAAATCTTAATAAGGTATTTGTAGACTGTTACTGTAGTAAAAAGCGCTATACTCAGATTTGGCCAAACTTATTGTCATTCGGTTTGATTTAATTTATTAAAGGTGAATTCGTTACGATGGTCTAAAGTAACCTGATTACATGCTCAACTATCATTCCTCTGGCTGGTATATCCCTCATTCCTCTGGGGTTGGTACCCCACCAGCGTATACTAGTACCGCAAGTGCGGTTACCATTTCATTATCATTGAAAAAAAAAACAATTCAATATTACCTTTAAAAAAATTGGCATCGGCCAGAATCGAACTTAAGCCCTTTGAGATCAACGAGTTGTGACAGTATTACTAGACCACGATAGGACGCTTAAAAAAAACAGCTTGTTAAACGTAATTTATTTAAAAACTGAATTCGCACCCTTGGAGATTTGTTTTAATATTCCCGCAGTCAAATGAGAGCATTATAAATCACGAGCGTTGGTTTCTTTTATATTTTACGCGCAAAAAACTTTCTACTCCAATGCTTTCCAATAATAATTGATGGATACTGCGAAGACCGTGGAAAAAAATATATTCACTGCACTCTATTTATAATATTTATTATCTTGTTATAAATTAAGTAATTATCTTGTCTTAGAATGAAAATATATTTAAAAATAATTTAGCAATGTTGACAAAATTTGTATGAGTCCAATACGGAAATATATCATCAAAATTTCATACAATTTTATTGGTTAAAACGTCGCATAACATACAAAAATAAATAAATAGGTATTTATTTTCCTGAAATTTGCATTTATCCTCCAGAAATAATAGCAAAATTGATCATGATATAATTAATATATGGACCCTAGAGATTGTGAAAAGAATTATTAAAATCGGTTGACAATATTGCATAACATTACATAAACGAATAAATATAGACAAATGGAGACTATATGGTTTATGTTTGTTGTTTTATATATATATATCTTTTTCTTTTTTGAAGTCAATATAAAATACAATTAAATTGAAAACTCATTCTGTCGAAATCGATTAAAAATATTTATTTTGTTATTGTTTACTTGTTAATTAACCTAATAGTTAAATAGTTTAGAAAGTAAAAGCTGTCATCCAAAATCCATTTGTGAGGATGTCCTTAGGAAGATTGCTGATAAACATTAGTCTAATAAATAGATAACGTAATAAAATATAGTCTGACAGTAAATGACAAAAACAAAATAAATAATAATAATGAATCTACGCAACACATTTGTTCTACAATCCAAGTAAACCACTATCTACTTATTTGTTGTTGATGGTCATACGTTTTAGTACTTACAATTTATTCCTAAAGAAATATCACTCAATTGGTAGTTTGACCAACGTAAGAATAATAGTCATATTAGATTTTCGCCTTGGCAAAACTTTTTATATCATATTATATTTGGGCAATAATCGATCGACCACTCTTCTCGATTTTTCCGTACCAACTGTAGTAGCCGCATTACGACAATAGTATTATTCGTACCATGACAGTATACATAGGTATATAAAGCTATATGTTACTGTAACTATAGCTTACAAAAGGGCAAATGTAAATGTGTATCGGCTTTGTGGCTTTGTTCTGGTTCTATGGTTAGATTTTCTATTTTGAGGCCGATTGTAGTATTTGTAGGTTCCACTCAGTAATATAAAATGTATATTCACTCCTTTCTCACACATATCAACACTCACAATATCCATCTATTTATTCTTTGGTATCCTAAAGGAAGGCTTCTTAACTCGTTTGTCACCTTATAAGATTCGATTTTTAAAACGCATCAGAATTGATGCATGGTTTAATTTTTGATCGAAAATCTCATCAATGATTACAGTTGTGTGTGTATAAGTAACATATATTAGTATGTAGATGTAGGATTATTTACTTGTTTAGGGGAAATATATAAACAAAATACAAATTGCGTTCTTTAATTTTGTTGTTGGAGATTAAATTTTAGAGTGATCTAATATTTATTTAATTAAACGTAATTACATTTCTCTCAATGAAAAAGTTGCTTCCATTTTATATTTATATATTTAGTCTATATATTTATTTCGAGTTAACAGCTATTTAAATATCTAAAAAAAATCTGAATGTAAAGAATTCTACACTATATATAATCAGTCACTTTACTTACAATTACATCCTCTTTCGGGTAGGATAAAGGGCACAAAGAACAGTTTATATTTAGGTATTCTTCATTATTTACGTATCGCGGATGTTACAGAAATAAATTGGGTATAAATTTATCTAATAGAACCTTTTATAGATGCTGTTAACAGCCTTACAAAGTTAGGTACTCGGAATAGTCTTGCAGGCATTCTCATATATTAGATAGGATTCTCGTGGATTATGGAAGAAGGAACGAAATCGCTGAATTCATTTCTAAAGAATGTTTATATCTATTGAAGGAATGAGCCAACATCGCAGTGGATTGCTATCGATTTCCAATTCACATTTAGTGTGTGTTTCGTGTTTGATATTGTTCCTACTGCTTATAGGTTTATAGGTATCTATTAATATTAAAGAGACTTACCTACGCAGTTGCTGATTCAATTTTTTCATACAATTTACAATTAAGCAACATTTAATTTGAATGCTCACTTTTTTATAATTTTACGTCGCTCAATTTTATTATTTCCTATTTGACTATGACGTTCAAACACGTCGTTTATGATTGATTTAAAATTGGAAACAATTTATTGCTGTTTCCTATCAAAAATGTAACTTCAGTAATGATAGATTTAGTGGTGGTAACTATGTTTCTGTTCGGTGATCAAAGTGTTTCATGATTCAGTGTTGTATATTAAAAACGTTGTTGAAGACCAATTAACATCCAATGGAATATCATGACTCTAAACATGTTCAGTCCTAGAAATGAAATGGATAATTACTTTATACGAATAACAGTAAGGCCTTTAATTTTGCTACAATTTTTATTGATGTCAAATAATGGAACACGAAATGATTATACAATGATTATAAATCTATAACTAACTAATGCAAATAAGATACACAATGATAAAATAATGAGACGTATTTCGATGAAATACTTAAGTAAAATTATCTCTTTCCCTTTTTCTTTTTCTTGTTGAAGTCCGGAGGATGGAATCCTCTGGCTTGGAGCAGTTCCTGCACATTGTGGCACGCGTAATAGACGTTGTCCATCGCCGCGTCAGTTAACATGTCCATATTACATTTCCCTTTTGACTTTCCCTTCTTTCCGCCTTTCTTGGCTTTCGGTTCACCAGCATCTGCTTTCTCTTTTTTCTCCTTTTTCTTACCTTTACTTTTGCCAGCCATTATTTTAAAGCGGTTGCTAGTTGGTATTGATTATACAGATTTCACTGTATTTGGAGTTACCATGGTGAAGTAGGCATAAAGATTATGGATTAGGCTCTGCTATAACGTAGTCTATACTATATATATATTAGGTACATAACAATTTATTCGTACCAATCATTATAAATTATATTGAGAAGGCAAATAGTGTAAATGAGACAAAAATATACGACTTTTACTCGAATAACATTTATTTACAAAAAAGTTTTTATAAATTAACAATATAATATATTATTATTTTAATTTAGGAATCGTAATATGAAATTTCAATTGAAATTTCTATAACATTGGTTGTTCTTATAAAAAATTAAAGTAAAGTAAAACCACGTTAGGGAGTGCCCTATCAAACATTTCATTAATGCAAATAGTAAATTTATAACAGTAACGAATACTTAATAAGGGGGTAATAACTTTCAAGTCAAAATTATTGAATATCGCGTGACATAACATATAAAAAATACCATGGAATCAAGGACCACTTACTTTTTGAAGATGGTTGAAAATGGTTTTTTTTTTGAGTGATTTATAGAAAAAAAAAACTCTAAAATAATTCATATTTGCAAACTCAATCATACACGTGCAGTATAACTTAAGTATCTATTTACTTAATCTAAGCATTCAGTTAATCTTTTTTATGTGAATCGACATTAGAGAGATTATTAAAAAAAAAAAACTTCTGAATATTTCCACCAGAGGTCATGTATGTAAATATCTCTACTATTACGTATTTGCAAACGTAATAGTTAATAATATGAACTTAATAATTAATACTATGAACCGATGTAAATTTTTGTTTCTTCTTATTTTAAATTTCTAGTAAGAATTAGGAATTTTGATGAGTTTCATGTGCGAGTCCTACAAAGATTTACGTAACTAACGTCTTCACGTTTGCATCTGAATGGAAATCCGATCGAAACGATCTGTTAAATAAGTATTTAATATTTTGCCACAAATTATCGCCAAAAAGTTACATTTTTGAGAAAATCAAAACTAGAGGAAAGTTACAACAGTTATTTAAATGGATATTTCTTTGACCTTCGGTATGAATAGAAGTTTAACATATTTGTTTGTCCGGAAGAAATTGCTTAGCGATAAGGCCGCCTTTTGTAACACTTCTCATTAATATTTACTATATTTGTTATTTTTCTTTTTACTTGGTGCAATAAAGTGTAAAATAAATAAATAAATATTACGTTCGTGTCAACTATTTGTTTAGGATTCTTTATACAACTCGCACTAGGGATTCAGCCGAGTTTTTGGAACGAGTTCAATTCAATTCACATTAGTCCATCCATATATTATATGTCTACGTATTTATTTATATAATTTATTTAATATTGTACAATGGTTCGCGTAGTATGTGTTCAACTTCAGGCCGGTGTAACGAGCTCGTCCCGACGGCCGGTGTGGCCGCTTCCGCTCGGCCGGCGTACACCAACTGTGAAGTACACAACGCAAAGACAATTTTATTATATTAATAATAAATTAACCGTTAATTATCCACTGTTGAACATAGGCCTCCCCAATAAGGGAGGTTTTACCAATAGTTACTACTAGTACTATGCTTGGCAGGTGGGTCGACAACCGCAGTTAGGCTTTTGGTGATGTTTTAAGAGGGACATTAATGCCCATACCTGTTACTAGGGGGAGACTTTGTACAAAAGTCGTATGCTTGGGTACCTCTGTCCTGTTCGTGTTTCAACCATAAAGCAGTTGTGTTTGCATGGCTGTTTCAGTTTGAAGGGTGGGTTATGGCGTGAATTTACAGGGTACAGAGGAATAACAACTGAGTCCTCAGAAATGGAAACGCATGGGGGGTATCATGGGCGAAACAGTATACTCTGTTATGTCCATGACACTGCTCACTGTCTATAGGTGACGGTTACCACTTTCCATCAGGTGGGCCGTCAGCTTGTTTGCCATTCTAATTTGTATAAAAAAATAAAACCTCGATTATTAAGTTCTTTTAGTCGCCTCGTACGACACCCACGGGAAAGGAAGGGGTGGCTTATTCTATGCCAGGACCATAAGCGGCGAATAATGATCAAAGTCCTCATGAATTACAACGCAGCCGTTAACTGTCCATTGTGGAATGAAGGCCTCACCTATTTATTACTTGGGTTGCCAGTTATTGTTACGCTTGGCAGGCGTGTTGTCAACCGCAGTTAGGCTTTGGTGATGTTTTAAGAAGGATGCTGCTGCGCGTCTTTCGACTATTAAATTCCCTTAGCCGCCTCTTACGACACATCTAGGGTGAAGGCCTATTCTATGCAAAGACCACACGGCTATCGCAAAAAATGAAATATTATTTGTGTAATATTATGTATGTATATAATTTTTCTTTTTTGTGACAAATTTAAATAACTTTTTTTAGGTGTCAATTTATTTAAATAAATTATATATATATATATATATATATATATATATATATATATATATATATATATATATATATATATATATATATATATATAAATGTAGGCATATTGAGTATTTATAAATATCCATGGATCATGTCTACAGGCAACCCGTTACCACTTACTCATCAATCATCGTCAGTATCATTTCAGCCATTATCTGATTACTAATAAATATAGGCCTCCGCTATAGATTGCCTTCAAAGTTATATATATATATATATATATATATATATATATATATATATATATATATATATATATATATATATAATAAAGCGGAAGAGTTGTAATTGTACGGGAAAACTACAGAAATATTATAATATACACCATCAACTGAAAGGCAATTCCTAGATAAAGGGACGAATATTATTACTTTCTCAAATATTACTAGATGCTTTTTTGCGTAGCATTTATTAATATTTCATAGAAACGCCGGAGGCAACGGTTGGTTTCATTCCATTTATTAAATCGTCTATGAGACAATTCCAATAACAATATTTGCAATAAGTTTTGTGCACTACCACGAATAATACTATTTACTAATGTGCCAGAGGGAGACTTTGTACAAATGTCGATTGCTTGGGTACCTCTGTCCCATTCGTGTTTCAACCGTGTAGCAGTTGTGTTTGCATGGCTGTGTTTCGGTTTGAAGGGTGGGATATGGCGTGAATTTACTGGGTACAGACGAATAACACCTGAGTCCTCAGGAATAGCAACGCATGGGGGGTATTATGGGTGAAACAGTATGTGTGTGTACTGTTATGTCCCTGGTACTGCTCATGTCTATAGGCGATGGTTACCACTTTCCATCAGGTGGGCCGTCAGCTTGTTTGCCATTCTAAGTTGTATAAAAAAAAATATCTTGTGTTATTTGATTAGAATGATTTTGTTTAGTTCCGCTACCATTAGTCCGCTACCTCGCCCTTGCTATCAGTATATACCGACGAGGCACCAGTGCATTTTGTTTTTGCTTTTTTTATTTTTTGTACATGTATCTTTTTTTATCTTTTTTCACTGTGCATCTATGTCTATTGCTGTTTGTGTGCTGTGAGTAATGCAAATAAATTATTTATCTATCTATCTAACTTTTTTAAACTTGATAAAACTGTAATCGTTTCAGTATATCATGCTAGATTGTTTTTTTTTTCTAAGTAAATGGAATAAACATAACAAATTTATTTAGATAGGCACCGATGTGGGATGATAGGTGAGAATGAAGTTAGATCAGATTTTTTATTTATTTTTTTTACAACACAGGGGGCAAACGAGCATGCGGCTCACCTGATGGTAAGTGACTACCGCTGCCCATGGTCACCCACAACACCTACGGCATTGCAGGTGTGCTGCCGGCCTTTTAAAAAGGAATATGCTCTTTTCTTGAAGGTTATGTTGTTGTATCGGTTATGTTACTTAGACTGGCAAACAAGCTGACGACCTATTTGATGAAAGTGATGACATCATTTATAGACATGAATCATCATATTCATCATTATGGCAGCCGTTAACTGTCCACTTCTGAACATAGCTTCCCCTTTATTGGGGGGTTTTTCCAGTTATTGCCACGCTTGACAGGCAGGTTAGCAATCGGATTTAGGCTTGGTGATGTTTATTAGACATGATTAGTACTTATTATTAATAGTATTTGGCAAGGTACCCATAGGCATAATAGAAAGCACTGTAATGGCCATGATACTCCTCATACGTTTTTCTTGACTATAGTGTTGTCTCTACTAATATCATTGACCAAAATACAGTCAAGTACAGCTGCTTCACGGCAGATACACGTGGAATAAAGATACCCAAGCAGACGACTTTTGTACAAATTATATCGGTTCTCTCTGTTTAGTCTTGATAGTATGATAGGTTATTTAAATATTACCCTTCGTCCAAGTAAATTCTCGAATCTCGCCTTGACGAAACTCCACGCGCCCATATTTCTGTGTTCCTCTTGGCTCCATATGAACTCTAGAAACAAATATTCGTAATTATTGGCATATTCCTCAAACCCATAAGGGTATAAAAGTGTTTACTGGCCTAGCATATTAAAGATTTACCTACCTTCATATTATTAACGACCTTCGAGGGAAAGTAGTAAGCAAGTACCTTTGAGTAAATCTGGTTTAAATTCGATTCTCATTCAGGTTTTTTGTTAAATTAACTTTTCTAAATTATTAAGGGCTTTTTTTAAATACAATAATTAAGATTGTGTTCCACAAAAAAGGACTTCAATTGTAGCCAAACTTGTTATTTTGATTTCAAACCTAAACCGCTGAACTGATTTTAATAAAAATTTTATGGCACCGATTTGTAAGTATATTGTTTCAGATAAAAAAAAAAAAGAATTAAAAAGTTTATAACGGACAAAGTTATGAGGTAACAAACATAAAAAAAGATTTGAATTGAGAAGCATCTTCGTTTTGAAGTTGGCTAAAAATGGAATAGTAATCCCGCCTGCGCTATCAGTATACGTTACAATAGAATGCGAGCTAACCCGACAAACGATGTTTTGCCTCTTATCGCCACTGATTGAGTATCCTCTTTTCTTATCGAGACTATCCTATCCCACAAGTAGGAGCAAACAATACATATTTAGAAAATTTCATTAAAATCGGTTTAGTTGGTTCAGTAATTAGCGTGAAGCATGACATGTGAAGTGACATGAGATTTTTTAAATAATGAGATAGCTTTAGCACTTGGCACCATAATGTGGTATTTATTATTGTGATACTTTGCCAATAGGTAAGTCTATATTGTACGTTTGAGCTATGTATATTATATTTAATTGTTGTATAAATTTTATAACTTGTAATCATCATAACTACATGGGACAGATAAAAGAAACACTAGGTGTCATGTCGTATAGGGAGGTCAAGGATATGGCCTGGGATATAACTCGCTGGAAGAAGATGCACGAATTAGTTGCACCGACAAGAGGAAACTCTTAAATGAAAAGAAGAAGTCATCGTTATTGACATGTAGTTGCCATTATATTGATATGTAGGTACTGTAATTAATTTATGATATTATTTTTATTTTATTAATCAAATGTTATTATCATTGTTATTTTTTATTTTATTACTTTAAAAATTATAATGTAAATATCGACTTGCAATCGTGTGATGAAAACTGTTACATTGGTTTATTAACCAATGTAACAGTTTTCGTCACATATATATAAATATATTATACTTTTTAATTGAGAGCTAAACATAGCAAAACTATAAAAATTGTTTTTTTTTTCCGTTGAAATCCTAATTGAAGAAAAAAGAACACTTGTTTATATTCAGAATATAACTTGTTCCATTTTATTTGTTTATACTGGTATTGCAAATGAAAGAAAACTCTAAAGTGATCTCTTATATAACATAATAAATGGTTGAAATAGTTTACAATACACGGAAATATAATATGGCTATATATAAAGCCTGGTAGTAAAATAGTGCCAAAGAGAGATTATACAATATTTGAACATTTGTGTTATTGTAGAATGGATCTTATAAGTGGGATATATTTCAGATATGAAAATGAAATTGTAACCCAGCCTACTCTATTACAATTATTAGTGAGGTATAATAGGCGAGGATGAAATCAAGTCATCAGTTGGCTCATCGTAACAAAATCACCAGAAATTAATCACGATAGTTTCCAGGGGGATCGTGTGAACGTCGACTTGAGAGGGTATATTGCTGGCAATTGGGCTTCTTATTGAATGAATGATAATGGAATGGTAGTCCCGCCTGCGCTAACGGTATACACTGGCGGGACACTAGTGAGGGTGATAGGTGAAAAATGAAAAGCAGATCAGTTAGCCTATCATAATGAAATACAGCACGATGGTTTCCAGGGGGAACCGCGTGGAGGTCGACCTGACTGGGTATATTGGTAGCACTGGAACTGGTAGCCCGCATTACTAACAAGCCCTTCCTCCCTGGCAATTGGGCTGGCAACATCTTTACAAACTTTCACATTTATAATATTAGTAGGATTAGTATAGGAGGCCTTATTCTATCTTCATTTATAAAGAAAAAACACAGATGGCATGATTTTTGATGAAATGTACATATACCAAATAAAGTGTACTGGGGGAAAGGGATTGTTAGTAATGGAGACTAAGAATCCCATTACTAGCAATATACCCAACCAGGTCGACCTCCTCGTGGTTCTACCTGGAAACTATCATGGTTAATTCCTGATGAATTCATCATGATGGGCTAACTAGCCTGTTTTAATTCTCATCACACCCTTCACTGGTGCTCCGCCAGCGTATCCCGTTAGCGCAGGCGGGGTTATCATACCATTTTCACCCATAAAAAAAAGTGTACTTTCGAAACAAATCTCCAAAACATCAAATGTTTCGAGGCAATTTTGATTATCGTAATTGACAAATCCCATGGGCGAATTATCTGTCAAGTTGTCAATCGATTGCTACAACTCCGAGGGATTATGCAATTAATCATTTACTGGAGAGTTTCAATAATCACGTTTACCGAAGTTGGCCGACCAATCAATTATTGATAGAGTTTCCAATTTTCCCTAACCGTAAAATTAAAATCACTCGATTGCAATCGACTCGATGGCAATATAAACTGTTTTCTAATCTATTCGAACGGTGTATCGAATTTACATCTCTGTTAATATGAAATTAATTAACGTATTGCTTAAATGGTCGGTATTCGTTCTAAATAAGAATCGATCGTATTAATCGTATAGCGTAATATACATATATTTAATTATTTTACATAATATTCGTAGATCACGAAAAGTCGAAAATATATGTATAAAAATGTATGTGTATATCATTATATCACCCGTTAACCGTTCACTGTTGAAAATAGGCTTCCCCTTGGGGGGTTTTGCCAGTAGTGGCCGTGTATGGTAAGAGGGTTGGTTATCCTATTTCTGAAATCGACGCGTACAAAGTAGCAGGAAAAAGCTAGTATATTACACAATAAACAATTATATATATATATATATATATATATATACATATACATATATATATATATATACATATACATATACATATACATATACATATACATATACATATACATATACATATACATATACATATACATATACATATACATACATATACATATATACATATATATATATATATATATATATATATATATATATACATATACATATATACCTTTTAATATAGTTACTTTTTATAATTTATGCGGGCAAAGTTGTGATTAATAGCTATTAAAACAATCAAATTGCGTTTCTATAACTTACTTCTAGCATTAGGATACTTGTTCAGCTCCTTCTGTAGCGCTTGCAGAGGAAACGGTGTTAGGCCCTCTACCCTAATTATGGCCACATCATCTATCTTGGCTTTCACCCTCTCTTTGTGTAACTCATAGTAGTGTTTCCCACAAACAAATATAATCCTCTTCACTTTGATAGGTTCTGCTAGATGATCCCCTGAGAAAAAGATTTTACAATACATTAAAAATGGATAGTTTGCCACTTAAATAAACTTCGTTACAAACGTTTTTAATTAATAAAATTACTATGGTTCTTGTAGCAATTTTTCTAAATTAACGTGGTTTATTTTGTTAATTTACTTAACTCTTATTGTAAAATTTCCGATAAGGCTGTTTTTAATTACTTATTCTGTATCAATATTCTAAGAATATTTTTATTGTGTGCGCAATAACGAGTTGATGTTATTATAAAGTTTTAATGAATGTTTTTTAAATAAATCTACATACCTATAGTTCTCATAAGATCAGCATTCATGTCTTAGAAATTGATATGTGGCAATATTTTAATGGGTGAAAATGGCATGGTAACCCCGCCTGCGCTATCGGTATACACTGGCGGGGTACCAGTGGAAGCTGATAGGTGAGGATGAAAACGCAAGTCAGTTAGCACATCGTGATAAATTCAACGATAAATTAGTTACGATAGTTTCCAGGGTGAACCGCGTGGAGGTCGACCTGATAGGTTATATTTATAGCAATGGGGACTAACCTCCCCATTACTAACTATCCCTTCCCCCGGATATATGGCATTAGAAATGTAGATAATGGCCCTATGGGGTCTTAGGCCTTCGATATTATTTAAAGCGTTTTAACAATTGATGGAAAGATCTGGCGGCTAGAAGATCGACCTATCTTCATTTGAATTCATTAAGGTATTGCGGCCAGCCTTCGCAAGCTTAAGGTCTCTTTTATTCGTTATACATTAAGGTTTTGGTGTACGATTTGTGTGAATATATTTGTATACCAATAAAAAGACTAAAACAACATCTCCTATAATTACGAACATATAATCGATTACGTATAAACATTTTACTGAACTAGGTATTATCTCGTGAAAAAGTCCGTATCACGGTAATTTGATTAGAATTATTTTGTTTAATTCCGCTACCATTAGTATGTCATTAGTGTTGGCAGCCACACACATATTAATCGTAGCGGAATTAAACAAAATAATTCAAATCAAATAACCTGCCACAATATTGTACACCGCTCTACTCGCTAAAATTAATGCTCCTTTCCACTTTCGGAATGCCGGTAGAGATCACTTGTAGAGTTAATTTCGCCTTTGTATGTTTGCTCTCCCGTGTCATATTTCTGTATTTCTTAATAGTGTATATGTAATAAAATATAAAATAAATAAATTAAAATTATGTTACAAATATGATAATCGATAAAAGTGAGTTTTTTTATTTTTTTTTATACAACTTAGAATGGCAAAAAAGCTGACGGCCCACCTGATGGAAAGTGGTAATCGTCGCCTATAGACATGAGCAGTACCATGGACATAACAGAGTATACTGTTTCGCCCATGATACCCCCCATGCATTGCCATTCCTGAGGACTCGGACATTATTCCTCTGTACCCAGTAAATTCACGCCATATCCCACTCTTCAAACCGAAACACAGCCATGCAAACACAACTGCTTCACGGTTGAAACACGAATGGGACAGAGGTACTCAAGCAATTGACTTTTGTACAAAGTCCTCCTTCTGGTTTTTTGTTTGGATGCCTCTTGCTACCTTAATCATATAGCATATGCTATACAGTATTAGGGACGGGAAAAATCAAAATATGTCAAGTGTAAAAAATATCAAATAGCTCGTAAAAAATGGAAAAGTGTAAAACCTGAAAAAAAGCGTGAGGAATATAAACCATAATGTATTGATAACGTAACTTTTTTAGAAAAAATCCTCTTAAAGTCATTGCTTTACAGTTCAGTTTCAGTCGTCAGTGAGTGTACGTAAAAACTTTGGGTAATAATTTTGTGTGGCGCCCTCTTTATGTTAATGTTATTTTCAAAGGAAGAACAAGTTTGAAGACTTGTGAAGCTGCACCTGCTACCGGCGGGGCACCAGTGAAGGATGATAGGTGAGTATGAAGCAGGTCAGTTAGCCCATCGTGATGAATTCAACAAGAATTGTTCACGAGTCCAGGGGGAACCACGTGGAGGTCGACCTAATAGGGCATATTGCTGGCAATGGGGCTGTCAAACTCCATTGCCAACAATCCCTTTCCCCCCTATATTATATATTAAGTATTCATAAATATATATTAATAATAAATAAGGAATTTTATTATAAAAAGTTATAAGTTTTTATTAAAAAATAATTGGATTGACTTAGTTTGTGTATTTCTGTCGAGAATGAATATACTGCAATATATACACAATTCTGTGACAATAAAATATAACACAGTGTGGTAAACCTATCTGAGTAGATAGTTTTTCGCTACCACATGCATGAGCTACATTGAGACAGCAATATCCGTTGTCTTTCCCATGTGTGCAGTAACAAAATCGTATTTATGGTTGTCAGTTAAATTTTATTAAAATCCATCAAGCTGTTTAGGGTACATGTTTAATTAAAGATTCGGAATACACATGTGTAAACGTACTAAAGAAACATTACTTTTCTTTTTTGGCATCATCATCATCAAATCAACTTTTAATTGTCCACTGTTAAACATAAGCCTCCCTCTTGTGGGGTTTTGCCAGTGGTTGCCATGTTTGGCAGGCGGATTGGCAACCTCAGGCTTCAGAGATGTTTTAAGAGGGACACTGCTGTACATCCTACACCTTCCCTTAGTCGCTTCTATCGACACCCGCGGGAAGGGGTGGCCTATTCTATTCCGACCACACAGCCAGGTTTCTTTTTGGAAGTTGGGTAAAAATCAGAAAATTTACTTCTTAACATTTCTTTTTTTTTCAAATAAACGTAAAAAAATGCAATAATTCTAATACCTTACCTATGACAGGTTTAAAATGCGTTCCTGGCGCGAATTCAGATAGCGGGGAGACTGCGTCAGCCAACCGAAGGAGTACCTTTGGTGACGCGACCACCAATGGTTTTCTGTAATTTCGTACAACCTGGAGGAACAAAATTTATCATCAGTTGTACCCTGTGAATAAATGAATAAATTCTTTCTTGTTATCTTCTAAGTAACATACTAAAAAACAGCATTACGAGTAAGATAAAGAAGGCATTATTGCTAAATAGCGATTTCTTAAGGCAATTGTGTGATGATGGTTATTTTTTTTAGTGGGATGAAAGTGGAATAGTAACTCTGCCTGTTCTGTCGGTACACGCTGGCGGGGCACCAGTGAGGGATGCAGGTGAGGATGAATTAGGTTAACTAATCTAAACTATCGTGACGAATTCAACAAAAAATCAATCACGATAGCTTCCAGGGAGAACCGTGAGGAGATTGACCTGATAGGCTATATTGCTAACAATGGGATTGCTAATTCTCTATATATTATCATCATCATCATTTCCGTCATTATTCGTCTACTGCTGGACATAGGCCTCCCCATAGACTGCCATAAGGAACGGTCTTTAGCTACCTACATCCACTGACTCCCTGCAATGCATTGGGCAACCAACGGGCAAGAACCTTTCTTCCCCATTGGTTGTCGGTTCTTCAAGCTATATGACCAGTCCATTTCCACTTTACTCCCCTATATATATATTTCCAATAAAAATCACAATAAACCAATATCAATGAATATTAAATTTCAATTAAAATTGTAAATGAGCACTGTTTATTGAGCATGAAAACGTTTGAGTCGAGTCGAAACGTCGAGTTTGCTATAATAAAAGCGAATTTATATAAATATTCGCTTTTACTCATGACTACAGAATATCATTTATAGTGTTTCTTCGGACTTGCAGAATAATTTACCAACCTGTCTCCTCAACAAATGGAAGTACTGTGCTGGTGTGGTCGGGTTAACAACATGCAGACACACATTCTCCGAGTCGGGGGCAGTTTCCTTACTGTCCGTCAATTGTAGGAACCTCTCGATCCTGCAGGACGAGTGCTCTGATGCTGCACCGTCGTATCCGTGTGGAAGCAGCATCACTAGTCCATTGCTGCGCACCCATTTCACTACAAACAATTAGAAATCCTAAATCTAGATATCCTAACAATATTATAAACTAGCTAGTTATGATAATAAAGCAATATCTGTATATAGGAGATATTTAAGTAAAATTGATATTAGGGCTCTTAATAAGAGTAATAGAAGACAAAACAATAATTTTTAGAAATTTTCTCTGTCTATGTTTTTTTATACAACTTATAACGGTAAACAAGCTGACGGCCCACCTGATGGAAAGTGGTAACCGCCGCTATTGACACGAGCAGTATCATGGACATAACAGAGTATACTGTTTCACCCATTTCTGAGGACCCAGGTGTTATTTCTCTGTACCCTGTAAATTCACTGCCATATCCCACTCTGTAAATCGAAACACAGCTTTGTAAACACATTTGCTTTACTGTAGAAATACGAATAGCACAGAGGAATCCAAGCTAACGACTTTTGTACAAAGTCTCCCTCTGGTATGTAAGTTTTTTTCGGCACCACGCCAACACTACTGCATCAAATTAGATGAGATTTTTACAGATGTGTTCTTAACGGCCTAAAACTTAAAGTCTGGTATATGTTTTGTCTGAATATGCCATTTAGCAATGGTTTATTTTATTGGTGTCTGAAATTCATTCGTACTAAGTACTGGCCTAAAGGCTTGTATTATGGTAAGTATTGTAATTATTACCTTCACCAGATGCTACGTAGGTGTCGACAATGATCTGCGCGCCAGTGTAAAAGTCCCCAAACTGTGCCTCCCACACGATCAGGTTATTAGGGCAGTCGAATGCCATGCCATATTCAAATCCCAACACTGCTTCTTCCGACAGAATTGAATTCGCCACCTGGGAAATTACGGAATATTCTAATTGAAACCGTTTTTTTTTAATTATCATATTGTATTGTATAAGCCATTAACTGTCCATTGCTGAATATAGCCTTCCCCATAAGGAGGGTTTTACCAGCAGTTGCCGCGCTTGGCAGGCGAGTTGGCAACTGCAGTTTGGCTTTTGGTGATTATTTAAAAGGGACGTTGCGACCCATCCCTCGATCCCTCGACCATAAGCTCCCTTAGACGCCTCTTACGACACCCACGGGAAAGCAATGATTTCTCTAAACCTTTTTTTTATGCAACATAGAATGGCAAAGAAGCTGACGGCACACCTGATGGAAAGTGGTAACCGTCGCCTATAGACATGAGCAGTACCATGGACATAACAGAGTATACTGTTTCGCCCATGATACCCCCCATGTGTTGCCATTCCTGAGGACTCAGATGTTAATTCTCTGTAACCTGTAATTTCACTGCCATATCCCACCCTTAAAATCGAAACATAGTCATGCAAACACAACTGCTTTAAGGTTGAAACACGGACAGAGGTGCCGGAGCAAACGACTTTAGTACAAAGTCTCCCTTTGAAATCTCTATATACCTCTTTAAAAACAAAATGTTTGCTAAATAAATACTCTTAATTGATAATATGTGTATCTAGACGCTAATTCCAACCCTCTAAGTGTTGATTAATATGAATGAGTAATAAACATATGGTACTCCCCTAATGGAGGTATGTTTTTAGCTCTCTCTTAATGATTAAATGTAACATAAATCAATAGTGTATAATATTGATTTAAAGATAGTAACGGAAATACAAAATGTATTAAATTATCATACCAAAAAAAAAAAAAAAAGAAATTACAACAAACAAAGTTATTTTCGAATACAGTATAACAGTGCAAGATTTTGCCGTCTGGTCCCGGCATAGAATTGGTCATTCTTTTGTTTTATCCATCCAACAAAATTTGATAGGCGTCAAAATTAAAAGACTATACCAATTTTGTAGGAAAAATATTTTTGAAAGAAAAACTAGTTTTTATCTTTCCGATATTTATAAGAAATATTTTTAGGCGTTTTTTTTAATATAATCATTTAGTTTTCATTTTAGGTAGGGCAGCAAACCCGTGTCAGAGATAGGGTGCTATCATAACCGAATCCATCACTGTTTCCAAATCGATAAACAATACGTCAGTATAAGTAGTTTCAAAGTTAAACAGACGAAGATTGATTGACCTCACCTCCAAGAAACCCTTCTGCTCTTCGTGTATATGATTGAGTGGTATATAGATGCTTTCTGTTACTTGGTCGACGAGCATCACGTGCCTGTGGGAGAATGTTCCTCGGCCGACGTCCTCGCCGCTTAGGCGCACGTGTCGCCCCTCCATTAGTAAAGAGCCTGCAATGTGTTTCTTATTGTAGATATTTGTTAGCGTGTTTATATAAAGAAATAGAAATATTTGTTGGTTAAAATGATATATCTAACGTAAAGCAGTTGTGTTTGCATGGCTGTGTTTCGGTTTAAAGTAAATTCACGCCATATTCCACCCTTCAAACCGAAACACAGACATGCAAATACAACTGCTTCACGGTTGAAACATGAATGGAACAGAGGTACCCAAGCAATTGACTTTTGTACAAAGTGGTGGTTTACTTTTACGCTTTTAAAAGACGTTAATGTTTTCGAATTTAATCTGTATACAGCTTTAGTAGAAAAATACAACACACTTTTTTCTAGAAAAACAAAAGATATGGTAGTTTCCCCCCTCCGTTACTAATGTATGAGCAACGTTCCTTCACCACAGCGTGATTAATGGCCAAAGAAATTATCATATTTATATATTTCACTGAACAGATATATCCTTCTGCTTATAACTAAAAAAACCAGGGAGTCTACCATGAAATTTTCGGATCTCAATTCGTGTCGGCTCAGTAAATGGAGCTTAACGTTTTGTTCTTTATAAATCCTACCGTAAAAGCGTAAAGGTACAATATTTTAACACTTTTAATATTTCTAAACGATATGTATTATGTAATTTTAATATCAAAAATGTGTTTCGTTCGATTCCGTAATTTCGGAAAACATTTTATGGTGGGCCCTCTGGATTCAATGCCGTCACGGCATTGAATCCAGAGGGCCCGCGTAACGAAGTATAATAAACAGCTGATTTGCAAAAAAAGATATCTCTCTCACCACATAATATTAAGATAAATATGCTGCCAACGAATAGATTTTTTTAATGGGTGATAATGGAACGGTAACCCCACCCGCGCTATCGGTATACACCGGCGGGACACCAGTGAGGGATGATGGATGAGGATGAAGCAGGTCAGTTAGCACATCGTGACGAATTCAACAAGAATTGTTCACGATGGTTTCCAGGGGAACCACGTGGAGGTCGACCTGATATGGCATATTGCTAGCAATGTCAATCTCCATTGCTAACAATCCCTTTTTCCCCAGCAAACCAACGAATGGATTAGTTTCGGCGTTTGGATAGAAAGTTATTCTTTTTCTAAACAAAATCATTCTAATTTATTTAAATAAATTTTCACAACTAGGTTTCGATAAAAATAAAGTATTAACTAATGTATTCTATTCTTGATTACTTAATAAGGAGTTTATTGCTTTTATTATCGCACTAGCCATTTCCCGCGGCGTTGCCTTCTTCATTCTATACAGTACCCGTATATCATTCCCATTGGAGTCCTTCATAAATCCGGTCTTATATTGTATTATATACTTAAATGATAATTACATACCTAATACCTTCATAAAGTTTCACCCAATTCTACTGATCGGTTATTTTATAGCATTTTATATGTGATTCTTTAGATTGATATATTTTTTTTTTATTTATCAATCGATTGAAATAAAACAAGCACTAAATGTTAAGTGGAGTAAACCGCAACACACTAGTGAACACCGCATTCAAATTGGTTAAACCCTTTCTGAGATTAGCATGCATAAACATACAGATAAAACAGACAAAAATTCTAAAAATTATTCCCAAACGACTACTGCGCCCAATTAATATTATAACAAATAATAAAGTCAGCTTGTTACTGTGGTACATAATTATTAATTTTATTTTATTAAGATTAATAGAATTTACCAAATGCTAGAGCCTCTGCCGTCGCCCAATCCAGTTGACTGCCCTCCGATATCTTTGCCAGACGATTTTTGACGTGAGTTCTTGCAAGATGAGTATGGATATTCTGAAAGTAATGTTAAATTGGTTTAGATTATCCACATTGTGTTATGTATTATTATATACGAAATTTGCACTGATTTTGTACAATAGTTTACTACATAGGTTCCACTTGATTTCTGCTATAAAATACCTATGCTTATACGACTGCGTTTCGGTTTAAGGAATGGTATATGGCAAAAAAATTATTAGGTACAGTCTGATGGTTGTAGCTTAAATAAAATATTACCGAAGTTGTAGCAGTGCTTAAGGGGTGGGTCAGAACCGTTTTTTAAGGTAGTCTATGGAGGAGACCTATGTTGGACAGATAACGGTTAAAATGATGATAATGATGTAGGGATATAATGGGCATCACAGTGTATATGGGGTTATTTATGATGCTGTTCATGTCTATAGGTAATCCTTTTATCTTTTTTTTAATATCTGGTTTTATTTGTGAAGGAACTGACATGGCTAACTCTATTTCAGGAATTAGTACTAGATAAAATTGTAAGCTGATTTATTTAATAAACTATTATTGTTATTATTTCTACTATACCGTCAGCTTGTTTGCTTTTTTAAAACGTTTCAAAGAAAAGAACAAGTATTGTTTGTCTGTCCGTAGTCTCATAATTGGTCATAACATATTACGTGACTATTTAAAACTGTATATACCTACTTTAAAAAAATTAATATAGTCTTAATATACTTATAGTGTGTTTCAATAGAATTTAATGAAAATATAAACAAATATAAAACCTGACCATAAGACGGATTGTCTCATATTCACTTAGTCGGCTATTGTTGTAGTTCAAATAGAAACCCGATTAATTCATTGTTTCGATTTATTACTAATTTCATTTAGAGAATCTTTCTATGATAATTTTAACAAAATTTGTTTATACTTATTTGTTTATTTGTACTTTATTGTACACACTAATAATACATAAAAATATATAGACGGGAGGTAAGCAAATGTACAAAGGCGAGCTTAACTCTAAGAGTTCCCTTCCAGCAAACCCAAAGTGGAAATGAGCATTAATGTCAGCGGGTAGAGCGGTGTACAATATTGTGACAGTTTTCAAACAAGAACTAGACAAATTTAAATTTATACATAACTGATTATATCATATTTAATCATATATATATATATATATATATATATATATATATATATATATATATATATATATATATAAGAAAAAATAATCTTATTATTTATGGAATTAAAGAGAACGAAAAAACTGTAACTGATCTCATGGATTTAATTAAACAAAAATTAGGGAATGATTTAAATATCGGCCTAGAACATAGAGATATAGATGCTATCTATCGACTTGGCAAGAAAGATATAAATAATCCGAAAACAAGACCGATATTGATTTCATTTGTCAATGGTTGGATTAAAAATGAAATAATGATGAATAAAAAGAAACTTAAAGATGCATATGTTTCTGATGACTACCCCAAGGAGGTTCTTGATACAAGGAAAGAATTACAAAAGAAACTTTCCGATGAAAGGAACAAAGGAAACTATGCAGTTATAAAATATGATAAACTGATTATTAAAGAAAAGTCATTCTCTGTAGAAAAAAGGAAAAGGGAAATATCAACTTCTCCAAAGCCCCAACAACGAAAGCAGTACGTCGCGTCCAAAACAAACAAAATAAATGCATATGACGTAATGAGAGGAAGAAGTAACTCTTTTACATCTTACAACTCTGCATTTAAAGAAAATAGCTAGGATAAAGTCATCAGTCACCGCAACAGTATACCGTATATTAATAAAACTAATACAAGCAAAACATTTCCCAAGCCGACTGGTCCTCGTGGGAAATTAGACCATCACCCTTCATCTACAAATATAAACATAAGAAATAGATTAAAAAATGATAAAAGAAGATATCTAAACATATGCACATATAATGTGAGATCATTGTCATCAATAGAAAGATACTTACAACTAACATATGCTCTCAGAAATATAAACTTTGATATAATAGGGCTATCTGAAGTTAGAAAAATGGGTTGTAATATTGAAGAATACCAAGATTATATTTTATGTTATATTGGACAATCAAAAGGTTTATATGGAGTTGGATTTTTAATAAAGAAATCATTGAAAAACAACATAGTTAGTTTTACTGGTGTCTCTGAAAGAATAGCGCTACTTCAATTAAAATTCGAAGATTGGAATATATCAATAATTCAGGTATATGCACCAACAGAGAGTAGTACAGAAATAGAAATTGAAAAATTTTATAAAGAACTTGAGAAAGCACATACTTTAACTAATAACAAACTGATTGTAATCGGAGACTTTAATGCTAAAATAGGATATCCTAAGAAAGAAGAAAACATCATTATGGGCAAATATGGATACGGAAAAAGAAATAAACAAGGCGAACGACTAATAGAATACGCTCTCGAATATAAACTATCGATAACAAATACATTTTTTAAGAAAAAACCGTCCAAAAAATGGACTTGGCAATCACCAGATGAAAAAGTAAAAAATGAAATAGATTTTATATTGACGAATATGCCAAAACTAGTAACTGATTGCGAAGTTATAAATAATATAGAATTTCCATCTGATCACAGACTTGTAAGAACAACTTTACAATTAATATTACCGAAAAAAAGCAGAATTAAATTTAATAATATACCAAGGATTCCCGAAACAGAAATGGAGATAACAAATTTCAGGAACTGTCTGAATTCTCGTATTGAAGCAAAAATAGAAGGAATCACAAATGTCCAAAATTACTATGATGTAATAGAAGAAGCAATATTATATAGTTCAACGATCAATACAAATAGTAGAGTTAAAGAGAACAGAAATAAAATATTCAGTGAAAATTCCAAGTCCCTAATAAAACGAAGAACAGAATTGGCATTTACAAAAAATAAAACAAAAGACATGAAAGTAGAATTAAGCCAACTGTATAAAGAAACAAAAAAGTCAATTAGGAAAGACTATAGTGATTATAGACAAAAAATAATTAAGAAAAATTTAAAAAAATATAAAAGCACTAAACGAGCTTTTAAAGAACTAAACCTGCATAATACATGGATACAAAGGCTAGGTAACAAATCCAATACAATAGTATCCAGAGACGATATATTAGTCCAAGCAACAAATTTTTATAAGGAACTTTATACAAAAAAGGACGAAGAATTTAAAGTAGAACAAGAAATAAAGTGCACTAGTAAAATAAAAACTATCGATGTAATACACGAAAATGAAATATATGAAAGAATAAAACAACTAAAATCTGATAAAAGCCCTGGTCCAGACAGAATAAGCAATGAAATTGTGAAAATTAGCACACCTGTTCTACTTAAATACCTTACACAGCTTTTCAACATGATATTAGATACTGAAATAGTACCAAAACAATGGTGTATGTCAGATATCGTATTATTGTATAAAAAGGGCAATCCATTAGATATAGCAAATTATAGGCCAATTAGCTTACTTGTGAGTATATACAAACTCTTCTCATCTATAATATTAAGACGAATAACAAAAGAAATTGATAAAGCACAACCGATAGAACAAGCCGGTTTTCGTTCAGGATTTAGCACAATAGACCATATACAAACATTAGAACAAGTAATAGAAAAATACAATGAATTTAATAGACCTTTATACCTAGCATTTATAGATTATAATAAAGCCTTTGATAGCATTAGCCATAATTCTTTATGGACTGCCCTGAAACAATTTAATGTAGATCAAAAATACATAAATATTTTAATATACATATACTCAAATAATTATAGTCAAGTTAAACTAGAAACTAAAGGAAGTAAAATAAAAATAGAAAGAGGAGTTAGACAGGGGGATCCTTTATCACCTAAATTATTTATTGCTGTATTAGAAAATATTTTCCAAAACCTAAACTGGAAAAATAAGGGTATAAAAATAAATAGGTGCTATTTAAGCCATCTTAGATTCGCAGATGATATTGTTGTACTGGCTGAGACAGCTAAAGAATTGGAGAATTTGATATATACTCTAGATCAGGAAAGTTTCAAAGTAGGCTTAGAAATGAATACTACAAAAACTAAAATAATGACCAACAGCTTAAAAATACCAATTAAAAGAAGGGAAAACAACATAGAATACGTAGATAAGTACATATATTTGGGTAAACAAGTATCATTTAACAAAATAAACAACGAAGAAGAAATAGGAAGAAGATGTAACATAACATGGAAAAAATTTTGGTCCCTTAAAGAAATTTTAAAAGGAGATTATTCTATAAATATGAAAAAAATTGTATTTGACACTTGTCTTTTGCCTTGCTTATTATATGCTAGCCAAACATGGATTTTTACAAAGAAAGTTAAACAAAAAATTACAACAACACAAAGAGCTATGGAAAGAAGTATATTAGGATTAAGAAAAATACATAAAATTAAAAATGAAAAAATCAGACAAAGAACTAAATTAACAGATGCAGTCACACATGCTCTACGTATAAAATGGCAATGGGCGGGTCACATCTCACGATTTACTGATAATAGATGGACGTTTCAAAGTACGAAATGGACAGGACCACGAGGTAAGAGGAACGTTGGTAGACCAATAAGACGGTGGACTGATGATATATTAGAATATACAGGAAAAGACTGGTTTATGATAGGCAGAAACAGAGAGTTGTGGAGAAAGATGGAGGAGGCCTTCACCCAAAGAGGGGTCCATATCCAAGAATCGAAGAAAAAATTACACTAACAATTAGTTATTAAGAAAAAATATAAAATAGATTAGATACTAACAATACTGTATATATATTAGGAATATGGAAATAAATAAAAGGCTTTATTATTATTATTATTATATTATTATTATATATATATATATATATATATATATATATATATATATATATATATACCTATAAATACAAATAAATAAATATATGTTCATAAGGATTGTTTTGTTCGATTGGATTGGAAGGAGAACTTTTTTATTAAGTTTTATGGAACTAGATTACCATACAAGTCACTTTCATATCATCATCATCATTATGTCGGCCTCTAACTGACCACTGCTGAACACAAGCCTCCCGCTTAGGGGTTTATACCAGTAGTGCCACGCTTTGCAGGCGGATTGGCAATAGATAGACAGATAGGTAATTTATTTGCATTACTTACAGCACACAAATTACAACATACATGTACAAAAAAAAGCGAGATAACATAAATGATAAAAAAAAATACATAAAGCTAAATAACAACTTTCGTTTGTGAGTGTGCCATACATAGCAATACAAAATGGCCACAACTCAGTTTATTGCTTCGCCCTCAAAAGAGCAAAGCACTGATATTCTGTTGCGGCCAAGTTTTAGAGATGTTTTAAGAGGGTCGCTGCTGCCCATCCCTAGCCTTCCCTTAGTCGTCTCTTACGACACTCACGGGCAAGGAAGGGGTGGCCTATTCTATGCCGGGATTACACGACCACTTTCATATAATTTGTATAAATAATGGTCGGACCAAGTAACCGCCGTTACGGAACTATCAATTGCAGCTGCCCTGCGAGAGGCTGAAGACCGTGCGAAATGGAGAAATATCATATGAGAGGCAATAGATACCTTTCAAGGACCTTCAGTAATGAAGTGGACGAAGAGAAAGTATAAATAAATTTAAAGTAAAAGTGATTTATATTTTAGTTTCAAATTATTATTAAAGATTGTACAATAACAATACAGTTTGTTTTACACGATTGCTTTGTTAAGAAACTTCGATTAATTTACTTTAATAATAATTGCGATTCGAAATCTCGTTAGCGCTCATAAACCAATTAAGTTTAAGCTTTCAAATAATCGGGTTTAGTTATTATAAAATACAAATTATCGGGTCTTAGTTTTGATGGTTAATATTCTGCTGGTTCTTTATAGTGAAAAAGCACCAGAGGGAGACTTTGTACAAAAGTCGTTTGCTTGGTCACCTCTGTCCCATTCGTGTTTCTACCGTGAAGCAGTTGTGTTTGCATGGCTGTCTTTCGGTTTGAAGGATGGGATAAGGCGTGAATTTACAGGGTACAGAGGAATAACATCTAAGTCCTCAGGAATAGCAACGTATGGGGATCATGGATGAAATAATATACTCTGTTATGTCCATGGTACTGCTTGTGTCTATAGGCGACGGTTATTACTTTCCATCAGGTGGGTCGTCAGCTTGTTTGCCATATTCAGGTTATATGAACATAGCAGAGTATACTGTTAATGTTAAAATTTGTTTAAGTTAGACCCATTTGTGTACTAAATTTTATTCAAATCCGTATAGTCATTCAAGTGTGATCGATTAACAGATATCTAAACATAATAAACAATTCCATTTATATGTATATTAGTAGGAGTGGGATAGACGAGTGGTATCGATTTTTTTCGAAAAATATTGAATATTTATTGTAGTATTCACACAACGATATGATATCCGTAAAAATAAGTTGTAAAACTAAAAGTTATTTATTACAAGCTTTCACATATAAAAATACTTCAATACAGCCAACTCACGGCCGGACGACAGGCTCTCACTTAATACCTTTAGTGAGTAGGGTCTCAAATTGCGATGGATTACCGCGAAACAAGTCAAAGCGGTTATTTTCTTTCATTTTAATGTCAAATTTTTTTTTATCACGGAGCCTCCAACCTACCAAAATGTCTAGGCAAAATTTAATATTTAGTTTCCAGAAATCAGTAACATGACAAAATTAGAAAAATATAATTTACATTAATATACTAAAACTGTTTGCTCCAACTTAAAAGATAGAATAATTTCACCCCGATAAGAAAAAAGGTCTCGGTAGGAAAAAATAATGTATGGTTGGTCAGCTAGTAAAAATTAATAAATAAATATATTTTTTATTGTAAATTAGCAAAGCAAGCAGACGGCTCACCTGATGGTAAGTAGTAACCGTCGCCTTTTGACATGAGGAGTACCATGGACATAACAGAGTATACTGTTTCGCCCATGATACTCTCAATGCGTTGCCATTCCTTAGGACTAAGTGACAGCCATGCAAACACAATCGCTTTACGGTTGAAACACGAATGGGACAGAGGTGCCCAAGCAAACGACTTTTGTGCAGTCTCTGGTATATATAATAATGTATAGGTCAATGATAGAATAATGTATATTTTTTTAGAAGTATTTCCATGACACACAAAATATACATATAAGTATTATTAATATGATAATTTGTCTGTTTGCCAACATAACATAATCATAAATCTCTTGCACAGAAATGAGGAACATATAAAATATAAAGGGGCGTGAGCACGGCCATTACGGAGCCATCTATGTTGTTTGTAAAGGCACAATTTTCGGGGTTCCCTGGCGACTCTAAAATTAGGTTACAATTTCTTTTATTCGAAATTAAACTGCTTTCAATACAGAAATAAAAATTCCATTCATTGTACAAATCATAGCAATCACAAAATAATAGATTATAGAATAACTAAATATATTTTAATATAATATCGTATGGTCCCGGCGTAGAATAGACCGCACCTTCCTTTCCCGTGAGTGTCGTATGGGGCGACTAAGGGAGGGCGAGGGATAGGAAGCAGCGTCCATCTGGAAAACATCTCTAAAGCCTAACTGCGGTTGCAAGTCTGCCTGATAAGCGTAGCAACTACTGACAATACCCCCAAGGGGAGGCTTATGTTATAAATTATTAGTTATTTGTTATTTTCTGTAGCTTTACCCGAATAAATCAATATATAAAATGTTCTATGTATTAAGTTTTGCCCATGTGCTAAATTTCATTTAAATCCAGTTGTTTAAGCATTCAGCCAGCAGCCAGGGTATTCAGACATTTAAGTAACAAACGAACATACATGCAATTACAAACTATCAGATTTATATTAGTAGGATTTATATATAAATCTCTATTTTTAAATACACGATCGGGACTTAACACAATGAAAAAACTTTTACAGGTAAATAGTACACACCTGCTTCTTTATTGCCGAAGTTTCAAAACAAAACAACAAAAGTTAACAAAAAGTATACAACGCGAAAGTTTAAATTTAACTAAATTTGTATTTGTCAAGGAAGCATGTATGGTATATGTAACCATCATTGTATGTGAGTTTGTAATTCTCTATGTATGTAATAACATTAAAATAATTATTTGGCCATATTCCAAACCGACATCGAATATCTTAGCAAATCCTAAGATATAGCCAGAAGTTCGCTTTTTGTACTACATTTTGATGATCAGCAAAGTTTAAGTCATCAACATCATCTTCTCAGCCATTATTTATCCACTGCTGTATATAGGCCTTCCCATAGACAACCATAAGGAACAGTCCTGAGTCACCAGTTTAAATAAATAAAGTAAAAAGAATCGTAACTTACAAAATCAGCGGGCGTTTGTACCGAAGCCTGTCCGACCATTTTGAGCAAACCCTCGTCAACTCCTGTGTCCCAAGTCTCCACTGCGAAGGGGGCGGCAGTCATCTGAGACCATTGGTCTTGGTAATAGGTTACCTGAAATATATCATTTATTAATTAGAATATTGTCATATTTCTTACTGCAGACTATTTTACTTATTTTTAAAACTTCTGTTAATTTATTTTGAAAACTGTACAGCGGGCATTTATTATAATTAAATTCTAAGATTTATTGTTTTTATTTTATAAAGTTATCTTTAAAACAAATTAATATTATAGCGGAATCTTTGAGGAGTAATATTAACTAAATTTGTAATCGATTTAAGTCAAAATTAAAAGATTATGATGATTCATAACACTAACTTAGCGAAACTATCAAATTAAAATATTAGGTTAAGAGATAATTTTAAAGAAATGGCGATTCCACTTGGAAACCAGAGTGGTCTTTTTGAAGATTCCCATACTGTTATGTCTAGGGAAAACTATGGTAGGTATGGGAGCTCATTCCACAGACTGAGTGTAAGCGGGAGAAAACTTCTTTGAAACGTTCGTGGTTAAATTTTGTGGATCTCGTCATGATGGGCTAATCTGTTTTCATCCTCATCTATCATCTTTCACTAGTTACTTGCTAATATATACCGACAACGAAGGCAGTGTTGCCATTCCATTTTCACCAATTAAAAAGTCACTCTTATCTACAAAACCTTAATCAGGAGAATAAGCGCGATTAATTTAATATATTTTCACAAAAAAAATTGAGTTCAAAAGTAAAAAAAAATATACTATGGACCAATTTGAAAAGGATAAGCTCTTTTGACTATAAAAAGATTATTTTATCAGATTTGTTGGGTTTCATCCCAATTGTTTGAGAAATGCAGTTGAATAAATCTCTGTTTTTGGAAGTTGAGTTAAGAAATTATACTTAGAATATTCGTCATAATACTGTTGGCATGGATTTCACTGTAGATAATTTGTTTCCGGTCTACGAATATCATTACAAACTTGTATTTATCTTGCGAAGTTTGTATATTATTCTAATTCAAAACTTAGGATTGATCTCTTCGGCCACATTCGGTTAGGATCAAGTGGTATGGGTTGTGTTTGAAGCGATTCTCAATTCCAACTTTACTTTTAGGTTCCATAAACTCTCATAATTTTGTCAAAATTAGTTTCTGGACTAAAATGTATTTCGTGTCTTTTATCATTCCAAATTTTTACTAATATTATTAATGTGAAAGTGAGTTTGTTTATTACCTCTTGTCGGTTTAACAACTAAAACACTATAAAAATAAGTATAACATGTACTTTATAGGATGGAGAAAGATATAGGCTAGTTTTTACATTACAATTTCTACGTTTCACCTTTACCTATACCTAAGTTCTTAGGAATGGCAACGCATGGGGGTATCATGGGCGAAACAGTATACTCTGTTATGTCCATGGTACTGCTCATGTCTATAGGCGACGGTTACCACTTTCCATCAGGTGGGCCGTCAGCTTGTTTGCCATTCTAAGTTGCATAAAAAAATTTTATAGTTTCATAAAACTGAATAAAGATAAAAGCGAACCCATAGTTCGTATTCATGATTTTATGGTTGATGTATATAACATATGACGTTGAACGTCATATGTTATATATACATACTATATACTCGTATATTGCTGATATTATTATATGTTCAGCATATGATTCTATACGATTCGATACGTATTGCATTTAATTAAATATTACAAGTTAATTATTTTCTTCGATATAAGCAGGCACTCATAACTATGTAAGTAACTTAACTGAGCAATTTATCATTATAGCTTGTAGAGCGTCGAGCTTTCCATTTCCAATAATTAAGTGACAGAGCACTTATATAAAAAAAATATATATAAATTATTTTTTCAAATACTGTATGTGAGATATTTTTAAAAGTATAAATTATTATATTTTTTTTACAAACTATCTGAATTTTCATCATCTTCCAGCCCTTATCTCAATTATTATTTTGGGCCAATCTTCCATTCTTCTCTATTCGCAGTTATTACCGCGTTCACTGCCATTTTTAAAAATTGAATCAGTACACAAAAAAAATCCGTTAAAATCGTTTCGTTTTTATATAAAACTAGTGATCCGCCCCGGTTTTGCACGGGTAGATAGACAGAAAGATAACCTAGTATTTTATATTATTATAACTTTCTGATACTTTTGGTTACATTAATTTTAGTAGGGATATCTAATATTATTTGTTACTCATTGATAATGTAGTTTTATAAAGGCGAAAGAATTTTTTAAATCTATTGAGTAGTTTTTAAATTTATTCATTTAAAACAAACAAAAAATGAACAAACATACAAAAAATAAAATCTGTCCTCTTTATAACATAATATTAATATAGAGAAGGAAATTGATATTTCTGATACTTGGTAGGTATAACATAAATGTTTTAAAAGAAATAACTGACACTGACTTGAACGGTTTATTGTGTAGACATGGTTCATTATCAATTCTCATTTCCATCAATGTCGTCGTCTGAACATTGCTCCACAATCTTTTTTCACTACCTATTTAATTTATTCGTGAGTGATTTCTCCAAAATTTTATAAGAAAATTATTTTTTGTTCAATGTCATATATATAGGAAGAATTTTGTTTGTTTGTTACGTCTTACTGCCTGAACGGTTAATGCAATCATTATGATATTTGGTAGTACAAAGACGTTTTTAAATTTATATTTTTGATATTATTATTTCAGCCGTTAACTGTCCACTGCTGGATATAAGCCTTCCCCATAAAGGGAGTTTTGCTAGTAGTTGCCATGCTTGGCAGACGAGTCGGCAACCGCAGTTAGGTTTTTAGAGATGTTTTAAAAGGGACGCTGCTGCTTGTCCCTTGCCCTCCTTTAGTCGTCTCTTACGACACCCACGGGAATGGAAGGGGCTGCCCATTCTATGCCAGGGCGATTTTTAATATATTAAATTAAAATTGATTTTTATTTTAATCGATAAAAAATCGGATATTCTATTAAGTTTCTGTTAAGTTGAAAACCAGCGCTGTGCAGCTGTACATATTGCACTGAGACACTCATAGTATCAGTTGAGACAGTTCCTTTTGCCTAATATGAAACACTCCTTATGTATAATATTACTGTATTTTCTGTTGTAACAATGTGTTTTTCTGGCAATAAATATTTTCTTTTCTATTCTATTTGCAATTATAGTAAACCCACCTTATTTCTCAGGAATGGTAATGCACAAAGAGTATCCTAGTCGACATAGTTTACTCTGTTATGCGCATGATACTGTTCGTGTATACAGGCGCCGGTTACCACTTTCTATCAGGTGTGCTGTTAGCTAGTTTGCCATTCTAAGTTGCATAAAAATAAAGTACACTCACCTCAGGTTTATACGATCCCACTGCCTCATAATGTTGCTGTAAATATTTAGTATATTCTTCTGTTATACTCTTAATATCTGCATCATTTAAAACGCCTTCTTTTACTAAATTATCTGCGTAAAGATCGGGAATTGTTCTGCGAATAAAAAAAAAATTATTTACTTGAAATAGGCCTTTAATTTTTATGTTTAAATTAAATTGCTTTTTTTTTTGTTTAATATTGTTGACATATTTATCTATCTATAGCAGATTAGTTTAATACTAATCTTTTTCATTGTTAATTTACAAAAAAGATAGAGTTTAAAAAAATCAGAGTCAAGAAATAATAAAAGAAAAAACAGTCAACATAATATACAAGGGATTTCATATAATACGAATGTTGTTTTTATAAACAAAGAATGGCAAACAAGCTGACGGCTCACCTGATGGAAAGTGGTAACCGTCACCTATAGACATGAGCAGTACCATGAACATAACAGAGTATACTGTTTCGTCCATGATACCCGCCATGCGTTGCCATTTCTGAGGACTCAGTTGTTATTCCTCTGTACCGTGTAAATTCACGCCATATCCCACCCTTCAAACCGAAACACAGCCATGCAAACACAACTGCTTTACGGTTGAAACACGAATGGGTAGAGGTACCCAAGCAAACGACTTTTGTGCAAAGTCTCCCTCTGGTGAGATGTGAGTCTATAATACGAATATCTGACAATATAGCCATCATCATTTAAACCGGTAATTGTCCATTGCTGAACACTAGCCTTCCCCATAAAGGGAGTTTTGCCAGTATTTGCTACGCCCGGCTGGCGGGTTGGTAACCATAGTTTCGCTTTTAGAGATGTTTTAACAGGGACGCTGCAGCCCATCTCTCTACCGTTAAGTTCCTTTAGTCGCCTCTTACGACACCCACTGAAAAGAAAGGGATGGCCTATTCTATACTGGGGCTACATAGCAAATATGTATAGCAATATGTATAGCAAATATGCATCTTCCTACACATATCCCAATTATTATTTGGGGTCGGCGTAATATGGTTTTATCCATATTACTAAAGGATTTGGCTTATAGTTTCACGATCGGCCGCCTGCCTGACGTCAACCCTCTTTGGGAACTGCAAATATGTATAGTATTGATGATATATTTAATTATAAATAAAATCATGATGGTTTGATAAAAGACGCCATTAGAAGATCAATACAAATTTATATTTCCAGAAAAGTATGAAATTTTTAATTTTAATTAAATTATATCTGTATTAGATGTAGGTATATATTTTAAGCCAGGCACGTATAATCTGCTAATGGATCCTACATTTTCTCTATTAGAAGTCTTCCTGATTTACATTTATACAAAATTTCATTAAATTCGAAGGTGCGTTAACATTTTGTAGGCTCCCAAAATTCAAATTGTTCCATTTTAATATCGAATAATACATTACTTAATTTAAATATGGCATAATTTAGGTATTCTAATTGGTATCGCAATTTGATTTTTATATTACAATAAAATATTTATTCGTTTAGATATGTATTTTTAGTATGTATATATTATATATCAATAATTACTAGTTCCGTATTCGAGTATTCTGACACTTCCCTATGGTTGACTTGGAGAGAATGCTTTTAGTATTAAGTTCGCTATGTACACATATATTAGTATATATATACTAATGAATAAACAAATAAATAAACATAGGTCTATAGAAAAGAAGTGACAGACGTTGGGAAAGAATCAAATTTAAATTATATACAGATACACTAACAATTTTCTCTATTTGCATTTGGAAAATTTATTTTGGCAAGGTTTGTTAGATAATAGAGCAGACGCCATAATTATGTGACTTCGAAACAGCAATTGTGTCTAATTTTCTTTTTAAGGTAGGACATTGTGCCTTTTAAGGTAGGGCATTGCACCTCAATGCCCTCCCCCTTCTCCGCCCCCAGCTACGGCCATGGGTGAGGATGTAAGTAGGTCAGTTAGTCCATCGTGACGAATTCTACAATAATTAACCACGACGATTTCCAGCGGGAACCCCGTGGAGAACGACGCAATAGGGTATATTGCTGGCAATGGGGTTGTTAGACCTCATTACTGACGATCCATTTCCCCCCTCAGTGAATTCGTTACGATGGATCAACTGACCTGAATTTTTCCTCTCCTAACACTCTGGTTTCCCGCTATTATACTAGTAGCACAGGAGGAAATGGTATTTCATTTTCAACCATTTATATATTAATATAAAGAGAAAGTGTTTGTTTGTTTGAACACGCTAATCTCTGGAAATATTTATTTTAAATAATTTTTTTTGAAACCGGATTTGATACAATATTTTTGCATTTGATAGTTCGTTTCTTGAGGAAGCTTATAGGCTATTCAATATCACGATGATTATAAGCATAGTCGCGGGATACAGTTAAATGAATAATAGATACTGAAGTAAAGTTGTGAATACATACTTTCTGCTATTTATAAGTTTGTACAGCAAAGGGTTGGTAAAGGTGGGATCGTCGAGCTCATTATGGCCCAGTCTTCTAAAACAATTGTAGTCTATGAACACGTCTTTGCGAAAACGCCTCTGGTACTCGAACGCTATGTTTGTCGCCTTCACCACTAGCTGTGGAGAAAAAGTTTTAATTGGAACTTAAATCTCTGAGCAATTCTATAATTAAAAAGTTCCGTTACACTCAAGAGAATTGCTTCGCTTTGTTAATTAGAATTCTTCATTATAGTAAAGATATTTTCTTACCATACCATATAGGTCATTAACCGTCCACTGCTGAACATAAGCCATACCAACGTCAGTAGACAAAACATTTTTTGTTTAGTATACTGACATATTATAAAGGAAACACTAGGCGTCATGTCGTATAGGGAGATAAAGGATATGGGATAGAGCTGGTTGGAGGAAGATGCATGAATTAGTTGCACCGACAAGAGGAAACTCTTAAACGAAAATGAACTGACATATTTATCAATAGCAGGTTAGTATTAATTCAATGTTAATTTACAAAAAAGAAAGAATCACCCACCAGTGGGTGACTTTTTAAAAAAGTCGTTTGCTTGGATACCTCTGTCTCATTCGTGTTTCAATCGTAAAGCAATTGTGTTTGCATGGCTTTGTTTCGGTTTGAAGGATGGGATATGGCGTGAATTTACAGGGTACAGAGAAATAACACCTGAGTCCTCAGGAATGGCAACGCATGGGGAGTATCATGGGCGAAACAGTATACTCTGTTATGTCCATGGTACTGCTTATATCTATAGGCGACGGTTACCACTTTCCATCAAGTGGGCTGTCAGCTTGTTTGCTTATCTAAGTTGTAAGTTGTTGTTAGTTTATCTACTTATAAAGTAAATATAGATTCTTACCTCAGGGTAGTCTGCGTTGACGTGAATTACAGGCGCTGCAATAGATTTGGCTAAATCGGTCACGTAACGGGATGAACGGCCTCGCTCTGCCGGCTGGGTGAAACCTAACTGAGAGCAAACATTCAGTAAGTATCATTATTATACATGTCAAATTATCTATGACTCCTTACAGAGAATAGGTATGGAACTTGACTATATGCTCGCAGGTAATCACGCTTGTGCTCTTGATTGCTAGCGGAGTAGAGCGAAGATAGGCGAGGATGAAGTCAATCGGCCCATTGTGACGAATTCACAAGGAATTAACCACGACGGTTTTCTAGGGGGATGGCGTTGAGGTAAATTTGATCCTGAATCTAATGGTCTCGTTACTATTTATAGGAGTATATGTAAGGTTCCGTTATTAATTTCATTAACAGTTCTCTTCCCTCACCCCAGTTTATTCGTACTACGGAGGAATACAAAACCCGTGTCATTTGTTTAATCGACCTTAATCGCTGTATGAATCGTTTGAGAAAAAAAGTGGGAAATATCATTGTTTCCTTGCCAAAGGTAGCGAATTACGGAATCACGAAACATGTGTGAATATGGGTATCGTAGAGAACTGATTGCTTTTTGTTTGTGAATAAAATGTTTCTAAGGCAACTTAAAATTTAATATGACGTCGCGCAGGTATATAAGTATGAAATAACACCGAGGAAACTAGTGACTACAGAAGCATATAATTGAAGATTGTGCCCTACAAAAAAACAGACTTCGGTTGTGACAAAACTAGGTATTTTGACCTAAAAATTAAACTACTAAATCGATTTTTAAAAACATTCTATGAGATTAATCTGTAAGCATATCTTTTCAGATAAAAAAAGAATTTTCCAAATCGGTTAAGAACTGACAGAGTTATGTGGTAACAAACATAAAAATGTATAACCGAATTGAGAACTTTTTTCTATTTGAAAATATTTAATCAGGTGTACTTTATTAAAGACGTATAAGAAAAAATATTTTTTTCAAAATTCAAAGAAAAAAAAAGGCTTCGAAGTCTATGGGAAATTCTAGCGTACCAGTATTTTAAATTAGCGTTAATAACATCTTATTACAGTTAAATATAGTGAGATCGAAAAATGTACGCAGTTTACCATTTCCCTCAAACATGTGATCAACTCCAATTTTTAGTTTATATGAAGTTTTATACACATTTATGACACAGAAAATTTAATTCATAAAACAAATGTTTATAAGTTCAGGAAAACCTGGAAACCATAAATAATATACTTGGTTATTGACGACGATGTGCAGCGAACCGCCGACGTCGAAGTGCGGTGCGCGGGACAGCATCAATGTTTCTTGGTTCACTCCTTGTCCCGAGAACGCCGCGTCTCCATGGACCTGTTTAATCACATATTTATCCTTTACCATCCGGAGCTTTTTCTTTTATCCCAAGAGTGCCGTAAGAGAATGTCATTAGTATAGATTAACTTTTGTACGTAACTTCGTACGAGTGGAGTTTGGTTTGTAACCACTTCAAAAGGGGGGGAAAGGGATTGTCAGTAATGGAGACTGAGAATCCCATTGCGAGCAATATACCTAACCAGGTCGACCTCCTCGCGGTTCCCCCTGGAAACTATCATGGTTAATTCCTGATAAATTCATCATGATGGGCTAACTGGCCTGTTTTCATTCTCATTTATTCATTCTTACTGGTGCTCCGCCAGCGCCATACCATTTTCACCCATCAAAAAAAAACCACTTCAAAAGGGGGTTAATAGAAATGGACTGATGAATTGGGGGTTGTTGGTAAGGGTGAGGTGTAGCTATCGATTTACCCTAACAGATCGACCTCCACGCAGTTCCCCCTGGAAACCATCGTGACTAATTTATCGTTGAATTCGTCACGATAGACTAATTGAACTGTCTTTTCATCTTCACTAATCATCCCTTACTGGCACACTGCCAGTGTATACCGACAGCGCGGGCGGGGTACTATTCCATATTTATCCATTAAACAAAAACTTCTAGATGGACTGAAAAAACGTGCACTGAAAAACCGCTTTCAATTTGGTGCAGTAGTTTTTGGGTGATTCTGCAATAAACATACAGACAGCCAAAATTCAAATGTCAAAATCGCCAGATACGGCTAGTAATATTAATATAAAATTAAATGTGATTGTATTGGTTACTTCCTCTATATAATATAATCTCATTCAGATCAATTTAACATTGTCTGCAAAAACAAACATAAAAAAAAACTTTAAAAAACTAAGTTTACTTCTTCTAATCACTTTTAAATTTAGTATACACATACTAAATGGGATGGGTTACTTTTTATCCCGGTCTCGTGGTTAAAGTCCCCAGTAAAATTTAGTTAGTAATTGTAAAGAAAAAAAAATATTTAAACTTTATTGATTAATAAAATGCGGTACAAAAAAGGCGGACATAATGCTATAGGCATTCTGTACCAGTCAACCTTTAGGATATGCAGTGCTACTCGATACCGCTTTAAAAAATAAAATTATCACCTGGACATTCAGAAACTTGTCGCCCATGCTCGATGATGCATCTTCTGAGTAGTCGCTTTCTCTGTATTGCAGTTGCTTGGATCTGGTCTTGCCCATCGATACTGGGTTCGCGCACTGTAAATGTTTATATATTTACTTATTACGTTCTATTATCGTCGGCATGATCATGATATCAGCTTTTAACTGTCTACTGCTAAACATAAACTGCAAAAGGCCAACAGTTGCCACGCTTTGCAGGCGAATTGGCAACCACAGTTGCCACTGCTGCCCATTCCTCTACCTTTAAGTTCTTTTAGTTGCCTCTTACGACATTTACAGGAAAGAAAGGGATAGCTTATTCTATCCTGGGACTATATGACCATACATAATATTAAGATATATACCATTAATCAATAACAAAAATATTTTTTTTTATTGTATTAAATTTTTGCACCATAGACATTACGAATACACTGTGATGCATATTATACCTCGTATGCGTTGCCGTTGATGAGAATTAAGGTTTTTTTTTGATGGGTGAAAATGGTATGGTAACGGGCTACGCTACCCTGCGCTAACGGGATACACTGGCGGAGCACCAGTGAAGGGTGATAGATGAGAATGAAAACAGGCCAGTTAGCCCATCATGATGAATTCATCAGGAATTAACCATGATAGTTTTTAGGGGGAACCGCGAGGAGGTCGACCTGGTTGGGTATATTGCTAGCAATGGGATTCTCAGTCTCCATTACTAACAATCCATTTCTCCCCAAATTAAGGTATTTATCATAGACTTAGTAAGTATAATATACTAACTGAGAAATAGCAGCTTGACTAATATTTTGTTGCCATTTGTAAATATTTGCTCAATTTGCATATTCAAATAAAAGCAATACTCACTTCTAAGTGTGATGGATTATTAATTAAAGAGACGCGAACTGTCTTGCCATTGACAGCGATATCTGATGATACACCTGAAAATATTAAAAAAATAATAAAATTATTCTAAATATAATAAATACAATACGTATAATAAATACGTATAAATAAATATAATACAATTACAAATATAATACGAGGATTTCACAGTTTGTTATAATAAAAAAAACATGATAAAAATAAGGATAGCTACCTAATGAATTACAAATGTTCAACTATATAAAGTATGCATTCAATTAATATTTATTATTTATTTATTTATTACCAAAACATGAAATAAGTTGTTTTGGATAGGTATATGATACAATATTAAGAATTAAAATTATATTAGATACAATCAATTTAATGCTAAGTACAAATCAATACATATTTTTATATTCAATCTACTTAATAATTTATATAAAAATACAGATATAAAAAATGATTAATTATTTCATTATCTGCTATATATATATATATATATATATATATATATATATATATATATATATATATATATATATATATATATATATAGGATGGGTATGGTTGCTTTGACTGACCAATATATAAAATAGTACATTAATCTATATCAAATAATTTATGTTGATTGAACTCTCAGCAGTCGGTCGTCAAAAGTCTTAAATAATATAAAAATGGAAAATATTACTTATTTTACTCACCGAGATGTGTAGCGATGTCGCACACTGATCTCGAATCATCAGGAAACTCGGGTTGTCCGTTGAATTTACGAAATATCTTCACGGGCGGGCACTGTAGCAGACCGCTGAGTGCGTTTAATTTGCCTCTGTGTGCCATAGCTAAAATAATTTGCTGGACGCCCTCTAAAATATTTTGATTAGCGTATAACATTTACAACAGGGATGTAGGATATGTTTTTTTAATGCATGATAATGGTATGGTAACTCCGTCCACGCTACCGGTATACACTGGCGGGCCACCAGTGATAGATGACATGAGGAAGAAAGCAAGTCAGTTAGCCTATCCTGACGAAATCAACAAGAATTAGCCACGATGGTTTCCAGGGGGAACCACGTGGAGAACGATCTGACAGGGTATATTGCTAGTAATGGGGCTATTTAACCTTATTACTAACAATCGCCTCTCTCCCCCTGGTAGAGTATGTTAGTAATGGGGATTACCAGCCCCATTACTAGCTATGTACTCTGTCAGGTCAACCTTCCCACTTTTCCCTCTGGAAACCATCGCGTTGAATTCCAGATGTGTTTATTACGATGAAGTAGTTAACCTGCCTTTTCATTCTCATCTATCATCCCAAACTGGTACCCCGCTAGCGTACACCGTTAGCATAGGCGGGGTTGCCATTCCATTATCACCTATTAAAAAAAAACATTTATAACCTATTAATGTCCTCTTGTCGCACATTTATACACATACATATACATCACGTAACATGTTACACGTTCGTTACAAATAACATAGTTTTTCTTTTGTTCTACTACGAGTAGTTTCTTATTTATTCGTCATTTCATGGTACTGTAATTTGCATTTTTATGGATACGAAGGAACGTGACGTTTTGATATGAGTAATATTACTTACTAGAAGGTCACAACAACGATTTTTGTAATGTACCAATATCGTAATCGAAATAAATGTCTTTAATGTTTGTTAAGTTTAAATTTGTTTTAAATTTAAGTAAGGGAAATAATGATTAAATAAATAAAAAAAAAACAAAGTAATTCTCACCAAAAATATAAGAAATGAGAGCCAAGTTTAATATTATGAACATGTGTCGTTTTGACTTCTTCGAAAAAAGAATTGAGATCTATTTAGGTGCCAAGTTCTGTGTAGAAAATCTTAAAATTTACAAATTACCAGAACATGTAACATTATAAAATGAATTTCTATAATTATTTCTTGTTTTTTGCCACTACTATCATGTTTACTATTTAATAGGTCAATTTTTAAATTATAACTGACAATTATTTCAAATATAAGTTCAAGTTCAAAGGCTTGGCTATTTACTCAAAATTTTATGAATGAAAAAAATTAAATATACTATCATAATATTTTAAGTCTAAGAACGACTATTAAGAGATAAATTTAAAGCAACGCTTCAGAATCAATATTGTTTACCTGATGTTGTAAGCCGGAAAAGCGTGGAGAAGAACGTTAGAAGGGACTCGGCGCCTTCACCGCAGTACCGTTTGACAGCAGGAAATTTTACGCTTACAAACTTGTCCCATGTTTGCGAATGTAGCATCTCTTTAGCAATTTCGATCCTTCTGTCTTTGTCTATTGCATCTGATCCGCTTTCTATTCGTTGCATGAACCATTCCCTTTCTGCATCTGTCTGGTTATAAATACAAGGTGAAACTAAAATTTACTATTAACCTTATAAGGGAAACGGGCGGAGGGGTGAGGGAAGCGATTGTTAGTAATGAGGTCTAGCAGACCCATTGTTAGCAATATATTTTTTTAGGTCGACCTCCACGCGGTCCCTCCTGGAAACCATTGTAGTTAAGTCTTATTATATAAGTTACAATAGGCCAAATAATCTGCCTTCATCTTCACTTGTCATCTCTCGCTGTTGCCCCACCAGTATATACCGATAGCGCAGGCGGGGTTACCATTCTATTTTTACCAATTATAAAAGCCTTATAAGGGAGTATTCTACCAGTGTGATAAATACTTATAATGTAAATATGTTATATTTATAATGTAAATAATAATAATGTTATAATAATGTAAATATTTTTTGCGAAAAGATATTTGTTGAAAAACGGAAAAACCATTTTGAGCCTTCTGTACTAACTGTAAAAAGTACATAACAGTATATTTTGGTAATCAGTGTAAAAGAAAATGTCACCAAATCGTGGTACATATATTTTAATGGATTTTATCTGTATCTTTGAAGTTACTCTTGTAAAATCTAAGAACAAGAAATTACATAAAAGGAATGATAAACTGTAAATCATATGGTTGCCTCTTTTCTTCTTGTGCAAATATAATTAGTAAAAAGAAGACGACAGATACACCATCAGTTGCTGTTTTTGTATCACAGTTGCTTCTCATTTATAATTTGTATATAGGTATACCATACCATGTTAACTGTCCACTGCTCAACATAGGCTTTCCCCAGGTATATTTACCTTATTTAGATATCTATATTTACCTCCAAATAGGAAAATTCATAGGAAATTGGTCCGCAATATATTTTCTCCAGTTTCTCAACCAAATTTTCAAGGGGCTGCCTTCCATTGTGTCCGTACAGTAAGGCCAAGTCCACGGGATCACTTGCTGTCAAACCATATCTCGATATACTAAGCTCTTTAATATCTCTGGAATGTAAAATATTTAATTAGAACTGTAATATTAAATTTTAATAACTTTAGTAGTCTAGCGGTTGTACGTATTTTTGTGTGTATGTTCCGTCATATATTTACCAATTTTTAACTGATATTATCATCTTTTATAATGTATAAAGTTTACGTGCTGGTTTTATATTAAAATAATATATAAATATTTTTATTTATTTATTTAAATTATATTTTACATATTATTATAAATTAATTTAGCTTAATTTATTGTTCTTATAATTTTCGGTGTTGATTATATTATTAGTTTTATCATACTTAAAGTTACTGTATTGTAGAGTAAAACATTAAGTTATTAAAGGACTAAAGATGAAAAAGATACTGCCAATGTGCCAAATAAAAGAAAAGGAAGCTTATTATTTATTTTATTTATTTAATCTTTATTGACCACATTACAAAAAAAGAAATGTCTAGCACAAAAGGCGGACTTAGTACTATATAGTATTCTCTTCCAGTCAACCATTGGCAAAACAGAATATTATAATGCTCATTGAGTTACCAGTGTACTTACTTAATATTGTTTTTATAGTCTACATTGTCTATTGTGGCTTTCAAGTGACCGTGAGTACGATATGCATTGACTAGCTGTTGCGCGCGGCAGTTTTCATATCTCCTTACTAGAACATCTTCAGGTATATCTGTAACAATATAACAAGATAGACATATAATTAAAAATCAATTTTATATAATAAACGCTTGACCAAAATATGATTAAAGTTAAGCTAATTTTTCTAAGAAATAGGTAGAGTATATATATGTAAAGATTAAGCGATTTAAATTAAATTAAAATACTTGTAAAATCTAATAATTTAAAATTTTGTACTTTAAGATTTTTTCCGTGAGGTTTACGAAGGAAAAAGTATAAATAAATAATTAAGCTAAAGAATCCAATCCAAATCTGAGATTATAAAAATGTATGTAACGTCTGTCAGTTGGTACCAGAAAATGGCTGAACGAATATTATCAAAAATTATCGTCGACTATATGAGTATAATTGAATATACAGATCTTTTTTCGACAATTTTTATATCTACATATTCTGCAAGAGTGCTTATAACAGAAAAGCTATTTTGATGTAAATAATACAACGCAACATTGTTTCAGAATTGAAATATAGTGTAAAATATAATAAATATTTCATTATAGTAAAATCGTAGATAAACGTAGAAAAAAATAATAATTGTGCAGTGCCAACACAAAACGGTTCATCGGACATGAAGAGAATTAATTTCTTTAATTTCTGTAATTTATATTTGTTGAAGAATAAATTAAAAGTAAGACTTGGCTAGAAAGAAGCCCATACAGGCTACGTTCTTTTGCCCATCCTTTTTTAAAAAGAAGGGATAAATAAGAAACAAAAAACTTTCGAATCGATTCTAAGAAAATGTCACTAATAGGATTTTACGTTATTACTAAGTAATAAAGATTATATTATTTTTTTCCATACACATTTCTACGAGCATCAATACATAATTTACCATAGAGAGTGGTAGAAGTTCAAGAAAAAAATAAGTTACACATATATTCACTTGCATAAAATTTCAAATAATGTGTTAACGTCAGTATGTTCTTTTTATTGAACAGCAACCAATCGATCGTCCCATAAACTTTATTGAAGCGGGACCCGAATTCCGTTGCGTGTAGCAATTGCAAATTGCGTAAATTTCAACAGAAGAGAACTTTAACACAAAGACTTAAGGTTTACTTTGGTCAAGTTTTATTGCCGTCGTAATACGTATCAGAATTTGGGCAGAGATTTACTATAATGATTTTTCTCGTCTCTATAGGCTGACATTTTAAAATGTTGTTGCATACGCCTTTGTTGGCAGTTCATTTAACAAATATAAATATTTATTAACTACTAGCTGTATCACGCGGCTTTACCCGCGTGAATTAAAAAGTATATAAATTATTGTATGTGCTACGTTAGTGTATAACCTACACATGTATTAAATTTCATTCAAATCTGTTCATTTGTTTTTGTATGAAAGAGTAACTAATATTATCCATCGTTACAAATTTTTGCATTTATTATATTAATAGGATTTGTTACTAATTTTTAGCCGTGACTTTATTCGCGTAATAGAGGTATGTTCACGACCCGGGATAAGAAGTGATCTATGTGGAGGACATAGGTCACTTCTTATCCCGGTTTATTTATCTCGCATACTTAAACATTAACTTTAACCAGAGTGAGACTGTACAAAAGTAATTTGCTTGGGCAACTCCGTCTTATTCGTGTTTCTACCGTGGATCAGTTATGTTTGCATAGCTGTGTTTCGGTTTGAAGGGTGGGATATGGCAGTGAATTTACAGGGTACAGAGGAATAACACCTGAGTCCTCAGGAATGGCAACGCATGGGGGGTATCACGGGCGAAAGAGTATACTCTGTTATGCCCATGGCACTGCTCATGTCTATAGGCGACGGTTACCATTTTCCATCAGGTGGACCGTCAGCTTGTTTACCATTCTAAGTTACATAAAAAAAATTCATAACCAACATATGCTGACAAGATCAGCTTTTTTTTTAGGGTAAGGAGGATGCTAAGGAGCATATATTTATATATAAATAAATGTATATTAAATTTTATTCAACAAGCTTACATATTTACGAGTAGGTACAATACTAGTAAGAACTCTTAATCACGACAGTTGGTTGCGTCATTAAAGCGCTAAAGGGTAACAGACAAACTCATTTTCAAATTTATAATATCTGTAAAGTTGCATTTAATACTATAGAATGAAATAATTTCGATTTTATTCTAAAAATCTTTGGTATCCTTTTAGTAGAAGCAAAGTCACGTTACCAACCACACACACAGGGTTATATTATACATTGCATTGAAACTACTCAATGATATTTTGAGCCAGTATCCGCAATTGGATGTATTTGTCTCCAACTTGCTGGAGTTTCGTCGAGTGACCACAGAGTATTTGTGTTCAGACGTTTTTTGTTTGAGTTAAATCTTTTTATATTATTTTTGTTATTTTTGTGTATTATTCCTTTTTATATATTATTGTACTCATGCTTTCCTGGGTGAGCGTATTGGAAGACTGTAAGGCTAACCCAGTGGATATAATAAACACACGACAATACCACAGGGTTAAGGAAATGAAGCTTCCCAAGCTGACTTCATAGTAGAATATGCCTTGGAGATTACTTTTACGAACTATTTTTTCTTGGAAAAATATTTAATTTCTCTGTTAGAATATTTCTTTGAAATAGTGCTGATGATTTCCATTTTACATTGTATCTTAAATACATATGTAGATAGAGGCTATTTGCAGACGTTATGTTTAGTGATTAAACAAAATGAGAGTGTTTGTTTTATAGACGAAATAATAATTTGTGTAAATGTTATAATCTTAAATAATGTAAGTCACCAGTTCCGTATCGTAATAAATACCATAAATAGGCACTTAACTAAAGCTAATAAAGCATTTAAAATTTCAATAATCTGGCAACATTTTGTAAAGAAAACGTAGAGTTTAAAATCATCTCTCTAATGTTTGAAATTATCTTTGAATGGCATATCAAATAACAGACCGTCCATCTCAGTAAGTTAAGTGTTTTCAACTTTGATATGATCATATTTGTATCTTATGTTTTTGTAATGTAGGTCAACGTGATAATAGAGGAGGGGGAGGGATTGTTAGTAATGCGGACTATCAGTCCCATTGCTAGCAAAATACCCCGTCAGGTCGACCTCCACGTGATCCACGTTTCCAGGGGGAACCGCGTGGAGGTCGACCTGACAGGGTATATTGCTAGCAATGGGACTGGTAGCCCGCATTACTAACGATCTCTTCCCCCCGATAATGTAGTACTATCATCATCATGATAGTACTACATTGTCCACTGTTGAACGTAGGTCTGTCCCAACAGAGGTTTTACTAGTAGTTGACACGCTTAACAAGTGAGCTGGCAATTACAGTTAGGCTTTGATGATCTGTGTGGTTCCGACACAGTATGGGTTACCCTTATATATATATACCCTTACATACCCTTATATACCCTTATATATTATATATATATATATATATATATATATATATATATATATATATATATATATATATATATATATATATATATATATATATATATATATATATATATTATATATGTATGCCCTAAGACAACTGGGTTAATGGTAACAGTGTAATCTTACCAGTTTCATTCACTACTCTAGGTCGATGTCCGAACACTCCTGCGCCGGAGTTGTACATCACACGATTGTAAACACGAAGCTCCTTCCATTTTATCAGCTGTCTCGTTCCCACTTTACCTAACGCAAACATTGTCTCTCACTTTAAATAAGAAAGCACTATTCCATAATAAACAACGTATTAATTACAATTTGAATTTAGAATTGAATGTCAAGGTCATCTAAACTGAGATGCGCGGGAGTGAACAGAAGCGCGTCTCGCATACGACTGCTCGTGTTTATGAAAGAGATGGAGAATGTGTGATATTATCCCTGTTATTATAGGGAGTGACAGTAGATAATTATTCAAGTCGTAACTACATCGTGATAAACATATTTGATAACGATTTGTTTTGTAATTAAGTAATTGTTCAGTTCAGTTAAGACAATCATGTTTAATTAAATAATAATGGTTTAACACAAATTATAGATAATCATACAATTGATTGAATACTCGTTCACTTGCATTCACAATTTGAATGCACGGGTGGAGCTAGAAATCCAGAGATGATTTTTTTCTCTAACACGAATCCACCCATAATTTTTTATTGCATTGAATTAAATATAAATATGGATTAACCAGAACAAAAAATAAGTTCTTTCCCAAAAAGTTTCTTCCAAAACATTAAAAAATGACGATGCCTAGTTGCGATAATGGGTATTTTACCTTCGACTAATGAAGGCGGTCTAAAACTCTTGATATCAGAGGGCAGCACCTACATACGAGTAGATTAGATCTTGGCCATATTTAATGTGTATGAAATTTTAGTCAAATTCTATTGTCCTTTGTATTTATAATTACCTAATTATTATAACGGAGGAGAAAGGATTGTAATAATAAACCTTGTCAGGTCGACCTCCACGCGGTCTCTCCTGAAAACCATTGTAGTTAATTCTTGTAAAATTCATCACAATGGGCTAACTGACCTACATTCATTTTCACCTATCATCTCTCACTGGTGCCCCGTCAGCGTATACCGATAGCACAGGCGGGGTTACCATTCCATTATCGTCCATTATAAAAACTATTTCAACATTCTAATGATGCAAGAGAGCAAGATAAAGATAAAGATTCTTACCTGCCTATCTGTTTACCTTATTTGGCTACTCAATGCGCCTCTCTCGAGTTGATTTCACTTCCTCTCCGTATCAGAAATGTGATCAGTCATAAATAAACAAATAATTTAATTATAATATTATCTTCGATGTAATAATTTACTAGAGGGAAATTTTGAACAAAAGTCGTTTGCTTGGACACCTCTGTCTCATTCGTGTTTCAACCGTGAAGCAGTTTGCATGGCTGTGTTTCGGTTTGAAGGGTGGGGTATGACAGTGAATTTGTTGAGTTTAATTGTTTGGTATCTCCAGCCTCCACAATTATTATTTTAACAATTGCAACATTACACATAGACAACGGAAGAGAAGTTACGGGAGAGTAAGCGAGAGGGCGCTGCAGAATGATTCTCTCTGGGGTGTTTGTAACAAGTAATATATATGGCTGAGGAAATTGTAATAGATAAATATAATAAAAGTATAAGTGTATTTCAATACGTGTTTTTTATTGCTTGGCGCAAGTGCTCATGCTTCATTATATCAAACATAAATAAAATTATCAATAGAATTTACACGGTACAGAGGAATAACACCTGAGTCCTCAGGAATGGCAACGCATGGGGAAACCCCCATGTCCATGGATATCCATCCATGGATGTCCATAGTACTGTTCATGTCTATAGGCAACGGTTACCACTTTCCATCAGGTTGGCCGTCAGCTTGTTTGCCATTCTAAGTTGCATAAAAAAAATAGTAACTGCGGTCCTCTACAATTAATTATAAAAAAAAAAAAAACTTTTATTTTTTTACTAGTGTTTTTATTCTTTTTCAATATTTTAAACATGAATATGTTAAGATATAATACACTTAGAGGACACCACATAATTACATGTGTATATTTATGTTTGTTATTTAATCACGATAAATCGACTGAATGAATTTATATGAAATTGGATAGACTATGTACTGGATCAATAAATGGAAGATTTTCATTCTAATTCCACATACTCAATATTTACTTAAGAGAGAAAAGATAAAAATATCAAGTAAGTATACCAATTTTAATGATATAATTAGATACCGAGTATGTGATGTTGTTTGTTTGGGAGTTTTTTTAGATAACCTTATCATAATTATGTCATATGTAATAATCATAAAGAATGGCATAGTAACAGATAAACTGTGGATGAATAATGTTAAACAATTTGTTAACTAATTTACGATACTCTTTTTTTTTTGATGGGTGAAAATGGTATGGTAACTCCGCTTGCGCTAACGAGATACGCTGACGGAGCACCAGTGAAGGGTGATGGATGAGTATGAAAACAGGCCTGTTGCTAGCAATGGGATTCTCATCCCATTGCTAGCAACAGGCTAGCTTCCCCCCGTTCTATGAAATTTGGTATGTACATATTGTAGGTGATGGAAAAGGACATAAGCTACTTTTCAACCTGTTCAGTGAAAATATCTCGGTCACGTGGACGAAGTCGCGGGTAGTAACTAGTTATCAATAATTCATTTTGTCTGAAAGAGTCAGTTAATATTCGCTTCACGGGAACGATCCAATAATATTATACCTACTTGCTTATTGTAGCATCTACAAGCTTTTATCTAACTTACTTTGTTCATATATCCGTCCATCATCCGGACCCTCCTTTCCGGTTCATTTGTAGTCCACTTTTCGAGCACTTCCTGGTATCCGATTTTGCTGGAATTTGCTATACATATTTATTTAAGAGTACTAACCGGAATAAAAAGTAGCCTATGTCATTGTGATTGATTAAGTCGTTAACGTACTGAGAGGTGGCACAAACAAACTCACGTACGTCTTATTAATATAACAAATTTGTAAATAGAAAACATCTGTACAAGGGATATATTAAAAAAAATATCTTCTCTCTTCGGTCTTAATAAGATCAATAGATGCTAAAACATTTTGTCTCATTACTTGTGTGTCTGACTATCTATCTGTTTGTATATTCGTGCCAGTATCACGTAAGAATTATTGCACCATATTGGATGCAATTTACAATTGTTACTTTTATCTTTGATTTAATTAATTAAATTTTTCTTTCATTATTTCGTTGGTTTTTGGATGTATTCCTGAAGATCGAACTTAAAATCTGGCTTTAAGTTTTCTTTGATTTAATTAATTTCTTTTTTTTAATAATTCCTTTACTTTTATTCAACGAAATACTATTTACCTGCTTTTAAAATTTATATATATAAAGTCGCGGGAAAAAGCTAGTCATCATTATTTCTGAATGATGTATTCAAAACATGTTCTGATAGCCAACTAAAAATATCTAATAACTGTTAATTTGGTGTTAATTGATTATGGAAACTAGACGCCATCACGAGATTTATCTATGGAAACTTGTTTTAAAATGGAAATTTTATTGCATTGTAATGGATGTGAAGTTAACGTAGTTATATTACAAATAAAATGCATTAGCAAATATCACGCACATGCATGATGTTAGACTTACAACGTTAATTAACGTAACGCCACTAGTAATACATATAGACGTTAGGACAGTAGTTGCTTTAATGTAAACGTAAATACCTACATAAAAGGTTTTATAAAGAATAAAAATAAATTAAACTCTAACTTTTGAGATATTTAGGATTTTCTTCCATAAAAAACTTTCATAATAAAATTAGTATAGAATCAGCAAAGGAGTAAATTCTAGAGAATGAAAGAAAATCAATAAAATTGGAGGTGAATTGGCAAAGACAAAGTAACATAAATAAATGTTGTCAATTCTTCAAATACGGCTTTTTTTTTTTTTCAAGGAAAACTTCGCCAATAAAATTGTAACAATTTTCCTATTAATTCCATAATAATTTTAACAGTAATTAAAGTATTTTTTTAGTAGAATTTATTACTAAATTCAATATTCACATTTTATAGAACAATACATTAAATATAGAATTAACGTAAAGTTGCTAAGATGAACATAAATAACATTTTTTGTGGGTCAATATTTAGTAGAATTAGTAAGAAAATACGTTATTTCGGTGACGAGAGTAACCTGCACGGAATAGGGCATATGCTGTCCATGTCTTATATACCGATGTATAAAAGGTAAGGTTTATAATTAATCTTCACCCGCGACTTTGTTCGCATTGTCCAAGGTTTTCCCTAGAGACTACAATATGGGGTTCCCCAAAAAGGGCGTATTAAGATCCCTCAGTGTAAACAACCTTGGTGTAGCAGGTGCCCATACGCTACAGTGACTGTTTACCATACCTGCATGCTTTTTTGCCAGATTTGTTTTATAAAGATATATATCTTTTTCAACTATTTGCTCTACTTGTATTGGAGCCGTTGAGGCATCAAAAGTATTCTTTGTATTGGTGCTTTTTATGTCTATAGGCGACCATTACCGTTTCTATCAGGTAGGTCGTCAGATTGTTAGTTCTAATTATATAAAAAATCGTGCATTTTTAAACTTAATAGCTTTTAAATAAGTACCTGATTTATTTGACTTGAAACACTTATCTAAACTGGATATGCAAATTCCAAGTAATATATTAAACTGAGAGTAATCTATTAAATTGAAAGACGAAATCAAGTGTGAAGAGATTATTCATGAAAAATGGGGGAGAAATGTAAAAGAAATTCCCGACATTTGTATTCGATTTTTGTTGGCATTCTAAGAATCCGTATGATTATTTTTCTTTATGCATCTGGGAATAGGAAATAAGTAGTAACTGAGGCAATGTAAACAGGATCATGTGTATTACAGCATACTCGTAACATTGTGACGCAAATCCTCTTATGTTACCATTCCTGTATTCTTTGTATTCTAGAATAGGTGGTTTTGAAAATGTTAACACAAAAGGGAGAATGATCCTCGTACGAGGGTTATTCATGTAGTACTCTGTTATTTCTCTACTATATCTTTCTTCAACTGAAACACAGCCATGCAAGCATAACTGTTTGGCGCAAGAAACATGAGGGTGATAAAGGTACTCATGCAGGCGAATTTTATATTAAACTAGTGACTTGTACGTGACTAGGCTTTGTGTCGTGTTTCTACTTTAAGTTGTCTATCTATCTATCCTATTTAAGAGCTGCGCTCTTTTCTGTGGAGCTCTTGCCACTCACTACGATTTCCTGCGAGTCTCTTCACCTCTTTAAGTTGTAATTATTAAAAATTCTTTCTTAACGAATAATTACAATAACTCGTAAAATAGATATATGTTCCAAATTTGAACTTTCTAGATTTAGTAGTTGTGGCTGTGTATTGATAAGCTAATCAAGACAAACGATTTTACAAGTCTAAATTTATCCTCTGCTATTTTAGGATATTTTGGCTACTAGTAATGTCAGCGAGTGGATTTACTGCATCAAGAATATTACAACCAATATTTAGTATATACTCTGGAGACGCTGTGTCTTATTTGGTTGACACGAATTACATACATTTCGATACTCCATTCCCGGCTGTAACAGTGTGCCAGTATGCTGATACGGGGAACATAAAAAAGTATTTAAGCGAGTAAGTATATCATTATTATCATCGTTATAATTATCAGGGAAAGGGATTGTTAGAATTGGGGATCTAAGAAGTCTATATACCCTATCAGGTCGATCTTCAGTCTCTTCTGGAAACCATCTAGATTAATTCGTAATTAATCGTTAAATTCTCAAATAGCTTATCCTGTGTTTTGAAATCAGAAAGTCAATATAGAAAATTATTTTGTAAATTCGTCCAACCTGGAATAGAATCCGGGACTTTATAAATTCCTCGGATGTTTTCTCCCACGAACACTTAAGTCATGAAATGAGCTCCCTGCCGAGGTTTTCCTAAGAGACTATGGCATGGGGTTCTTCAAAAGGGGGGTAAAGAGGTTTCTTCAGGGTTGACAAAGCGCGCCTGATATCTCTGGTTTTGCAGGCGTTCATAGGCTACGGTAACCGCTTACCATCAGGTGGGCCAAATGTTTGTTTGCTACCACAGTGGTATATAAAAAAACAACTGTAAAACAAATTTTAGCTACTATTTTGATTATATTTTAATTATTTCTATTAAATTTTACAATATTCTTATTTTAAAATACACTTTTATTTTAAATGTTTAAGCTTATTTTCGTACCAAAGGTCCCGTATAGAACAAGAAAGTTTCGAATCTATATCGCAACTCGTCCCTTGGGTGCACTATTGATTCTGCAAATGGTTTTCGTTTTGCAGTTTCATAATGTAGAATATGAAAAAGAACATTGTTCCTTCAGAGATGTGAAGATAAATTTTTCTCAGCTAAAATTTCTATCAAATTTCTGACACAAATAATATCATAAATCAAAATGATTGACAGATAATCAATGAATTATTATTTTAAATGCTGACAATTATTAATATTAATAATTATTTTATTATTTCTAATTATTTTTTAAGTGACTTCAAAAAGAAAAGTTCTTACTTCACCCGTATTTTTTGGATGTATAATACGCATTCTTTATAATTCTGAAATATATTTAATCCTAAAAATATACATTAGTTAACACAAAAAATATTCGTTAATAAGTTTTATAATATGTTACACGTATGATTGTATACAGTTTACGTTGTATCTGTATTTTCATCATTTTGTTACCCTTTTCCCAATTACCAGAGGGAGACTTTGTACAAAAGTCGATTGCTTGGGTACCTCTGTCCCATTCGTGTTTTAACAGTAAAGCAGTTGTGTCTGCATGGCTGTGTTTCGGTTTGAATAGATATGGCGTGAATTTACAGGGTACAGAGGAATAACACCTGAGTCCCCAGGAATGGCAACGCATGGGGGGTATCATGGGCGAAACAGTATATTCTGTTATGTCCATGGTACTGCTCATGTCTATAGGCGACGGTTAGCACTTTACATCAGGTGGGCCGTCAGCTTGTTTGCCATTCTAAGTAGTATAAATAAAAAAAATATTTATTTGGGGTCGGTGTAATACGTTTTTCTGTTTTGATTCTTCATTATTCACAGTCATTTCGGTATTCACTCCAATTCTGAATATATCATCTTTCATTCACACAGTCCATTCAGATCTTTTTAGGTCTTCTTCTGCTCTTATCCACATACATATTTAACACCTTTTTTTAAACACATTTCTCTTCCATGCGTATCAAGTGTCCATATTAAGACAGTAGAAGCAAAATAAATTAAAAACATATAGTGAAAAGGCTAAAAAGACACGTTATTATTATTTTTATTTTAGCTGTTAACTATCTACTGCTGAACATAAGCCTTTCCCAAAAGGAGAGTATTGTTAGTAGCTGCCACGCTTGGCAGGCGGGTTGGAAACCGCAGTTAGGAAAGAGACACATATCAGTTTAAAAATGTATAATTTACTTCCAACTTAAAAAATAAAAATGTAAGCTTACTGAGAATGGCAAAGAAGCTGATGTTCCAATTAATAGTAAACCACACGCATTGATTGTAACCGTCGCTGGTTTTCACTTTCCATAATGACACTTTGTTTACCATTCTAAATTGTATATTATAGACTACCTCCATGGCTTGCTTTCAAGTATCATGACTGTTACAGATCATAATCACTTATAACTTATTCCAGACATCACCTCCCGAAAGCAATGGTGGACTTCTTCAAGGAAGTGAGCATTTGGAACGTGAGGTACTGTCGAACATGCGCATCTTGCAAAATCAATTCCACCTGCTTAGAAGACTTTGTCGACGTGGTTAACACAGTGAGATCGAAATGTCCTGATATTCTGTCTAATTGCTGGTGGGACAGAAAGCTATTTGACTGCTGTGATCAGTTTAGTATTATTTATTTATTTATTCTCTAATCAAGCTAAGTTAATTGGGGAATAGAAATACATAATCGAATCGCCCTTCTTTTCCCGTGGATGTATCATAAGAGGTGACTAAGAGAGGGCGAAGGATGGCCTGCAGTGTCTCTCTTAAAACATCCTCAAAGGTCTAACTGCAGTTACCGGGAGGATAGGGATTGTTAGTAATGAGGTATAATAGCCCTATTGCTAGCAATATACTCTCAGGTCGACCTCCATGCGTCCAATTTATTATGGTGGGTTAACTGACCTGCAATCATTCTCACCTATCACCTTTCACTAGTGCCTCGTCTGTGTATACCGATAGCGCGGGCGGGGTCACCATTCCCTTTTCACCCATAAAAAAAAAAACTGCGGTTACTAACCCGCCTGCCAAGCGTAACAACTATTGGCAAAACTCACTTTATGAGGAAGGTTTATGTCCAGCAGTGGACAATTAATTGCTGAAATAATAGTAAATAATAAATCGAATACCAAAGGCCTCTTGTAAATATCCTACTTTATTTAATTTGTAACTTATCAAACATATGTTGGTTCTGGGAACTCTTTACTCTATCAGATGACACACAGTCTATCTGACCGCTGTTTTTTTATTATCTAACATTCCTTCTTTTAACTACATATATAAATTAGTATTACATATATATATAATTGAATTAAGGAAAAACGATTACAGAATTTCGTGAGCACACAGAGAATTATTGTAAGCCCCTCGTCTTGTTTTGTTTTATACTAGTACATCTTACAATTTATTAAGTGTATTTCTTTTTGTTCTGTTGTATACGAGTCTCTAGGGTGATTTATGTCATCACTGAGATAGTATAACATCATATTGTATTATATTAAAACTCAGTTACGGGATAGTTTTGTAAAATAATATTCCCATGTGTAATTTATTATCAGTAACAATTTTCAATTTTTTCACCGCATTTCTGTTTTGCCAAAGGTTGACTGGGAGAGAATGCTATATAGTATTAAGTTCACCTTTTGTACCGGACATTTTTTTTGTAATGTGGTCAATAAAGAATAAATAAATAAATAAAAATAAATATATCTTTTACCCGCGACTTTGTCTGAGCGACTGGGATTTGTTTATTGACCGGGATAAAAAGTAGTGTAGGTATATCCTTCTGTATCGCATATAGTACTTGTATATTAAACTTTATAATGAATGGTAAAGTCCTTAAGATACTATGAGGTACATAGTAAATAAACAAATTCATTGCTATATTTATAAAATTGGTAATGATTAACGTAAACGTGTACACAAATGTACCGTAAATCTTTAAACAACTCACACTATAAACGTAAATGGAATTACACGTATTTTTGATTATTAGAGAGGCACTTTTTACAAATTTGCCTGCAATTGTCCTAATATCTTTGAGGACAAATAGCTTAATTGCATGGTGTGTTATAGTTTAAACAGTGACTATTAGAGAGAGAGTATTATGTCAGTGAAATAGTATGACTCGATAACTTCGTTTGAGACGTATGCTTTATTTCCACATTAAGATGCAAAATAACTAAAAATATTTGAATACTGAATCGTGTATTTACAATTTCATTCTCTATATTTGCGCAAATTACGTTTCGCACAAAATTGTTTATCTATTGCGTGAGTAATTTTTTGCTGAACAAAGAAAAACAGGAGCTTCAATTATCAGCAAATAATATGCGAATGAACTTTATTGATTGCAAAAAAGTATTTATTATTGACAACGGTTGGCGACGAATGGTGATGTAATTTTGTAACATTTTCCCAAACAGACAAATTTAGAATGCTTAATATAAATTTAGAAAAATAAGAATTTTAAATTGTGAATAAATTGTATTTCTTAAGAAATTATGATCTAGGAAGAAGCTCTAAATTTACTAGATTTTTTTGTATGTTATACTATAATATAAAGAGATATACTAATATTATAAAGAGAAAGGATTTGATTGTTTGAAATAGATAAATTCAAAAACTAAACTGATATTAAAAATTGTTTCGCATATAGAAAGCTATATTAATAGCAAGTATCATAGGCAACCAATGGAGAAGATAGCTTTTTATAGCTCGAAGATAGCCTTTTGTACTCCAGCCTAGTAACTCATACAGGTAACTACACGTACAAGCAACCGCAGTGTAGACCTTCTACTAAATGGAGTGATAACCACAAATGTATTGCAGGGAGTCAGTAGATGAAGATGGCTCAGGACCTTTTCCTAAGCAGTCTACGCAGAAGGCCTGTATTCAGCAGTGGAATTATTACGGCTCTTATAATGATGTATGTAGGCAGCATTCTATTTTTGAATTTTTATTCTACCCGTGCGCAGATGGGCCACATCGCTAGTGTGATTTACGAGTAGGATAGTGGTACCATGCAGATGATGCACAGTCTTTATTATACATAAATATTGGGGTCGATCATAAACTGGCATTCCTCTAAACCGATCTTTAAAATTAAAATTTCAATTTGATATCAAGGAGGAATCTTTATTGTAAGGACCAATATGAACTAAGTTTCTAATAGATTTAAGTCTAAATTGTTGTAAATTTAGTTTATGGCAATCCATAAAGCAGTAATTTCGAAAAATTATTAAATTAAAGGATAAGGTATAGAAAAAAATTTGATAAATGACGTTTCGTCGTCGAAATTGACCGAAAGGTTTGTCATTCCCAATATCAAAATAGTATCTTTCATTCTGCATTCCACAGGTTTCGTCCAATCATGACGGAGTACGGGGAATGTTATGTGTTCAACTCTCGTCTCACGGGAAACGACTCTGTGCTAACAGTGAACAGGCGTCGGCAGCCCTCTCTGCTTCTTTCGGTCAAACAGAAAATTGGGGTGAGTTTGCATAAGCAAAGATTCACGCAAGATTAACTTGTACGAACATTCCCATAACTTTTACTCGTGTTTCTACCAAACAAACTTCGTGTATTATGCATGTGTGGAGCGCTAACACAAAGTTTTATTATTCTGTTGAATAATGTACTTGTATGTACATTTTGTCACAGAAAAAAGCATCTTTAATCATGTATATAGAAGAGACAGAGGGAGACTTTGTACAAAAGTCGATTGCTTGGGTACCTCTGTCCCATTCATGTTTCTGCCGTGAAGCGGTTGTGTTTGCATGGCTGTGTTTCGGTTTGAAGGGTGGGATATGGCGTGAATTTACAGGGTACAGAGGACTAACACCTGAGTCCCCAGGAGTGGCAACGTATGGGGGGTACCATGGGCGAAACAGTACACTCTGTTATGTCCATGGTACTGCTCATGTCTATAGGCGACGGTTACCACTTTCCATCAGGTGGGCCGTCAGCTTGTTTGCCATTCTAAGTTGCATAAAAAAAAAACATCGATAAATAATAAGATACTTCGTAGATAGGTGGCCCTTATTAATAGTAAATGTTTGAATTCGAAATTCGAAATTGGGATTTAAGTATATGACCATAGTTTGCTAATTCATGAACATAGTATATGTAGGTTATAGTTCTGTGCTTAATGTCTTCTAATTAATGTTTAACCCATTAGGTAATTAATGGAAAATCAATATAAACCATAAAGTTTGCAAGATCCCCTTTAAGTTTATACGTATAAGGATCTAAATTACATGACAACTTTTTGTACTGAGATATCAAAAAGGAATGTTCTGACAAATGATGCGTGAATGATTGTTTTTAGATAAGGGTCCACTCACCTGACGACATGGTGTTTGCTGGTATGGAAAATGTGCTGGGTCAGCCCGTAGCTATCCCTTTTGTATCCGACTACGAAATTATATTGAAGGTAATACCGTTGTAAATATTTATGAGGTTAAGCAACGTTGAGAGACATCGTCTTTTGGATGGGTGATCATGTAGTAGAATATTAACTTGAGGGCTTTTGTATACCTGCTTCTTCTTAATTCATAAATTTTAAAACATGTTCACTATTTGTTGCAGATTATTTTATAAACGCATGCAAGGTTATGCTATGCATGCTCAAACCATTACTATGCGTTGAATCTGTAAAATTAAATATTTTTATATATACTATAAAAAATATATTACTAGCTTTTACCCGCGACTTCGTCCGCGTGATCACGATGTGCTCAATAACTAGCAAAAGGACTAGCCAATAATCGTCTCGAAGGCCCCGTCTATCTCTTATACCAAAATTTATCATAAGCGACTCAGCGGTTTAGACGTGAAAGTGTGACAAACAAACATTTTCGCATTTATAATATTAGTTAAGGATTATTATATGATATTGAATGTTAAATAAAAACTTGTAAAATATCTTTCTAGGCAGAAGAGACGTTAAGCGATCAATCCGTCAGCTCTATGTCGCGGCCGCCGCGCACTTGTCTTTACGAACACGAGCGACCATCTTTTGCCCATCACTGGACTTTTATGAAGTACACATATGATAATTGCAGGTTTTATTGTAGGGCTCTAGCCCAAGTTGAATTTTGTAATTGTACGCATCACTTCATGCCGAGACTGGGTGAGACTTTTATTTAAAATTGTGTGTACGAGAGAGATTTTTTTTTATAATGGATGCTAATGGAATGTAACAATTCCTTCCCCCCGGCCCGGAAGGGAAGGGTTACTAACAGGAACTAGATAGGGGGGAAAGGGATTGTTAGTAATGAGATTTAACAGCCCCATTGCTAGCAATACACCCTATCAGGTCGTTCTCCCTGGAAATCATAGTGGTTAATTTTTGTTCAATTGGTTACTGTGCGCCAACTGACTTGCCTTTATCCTCACCTGTCACCCTTCACTGGTACCCCGCCAGCGTATACCGATAGCGCAGGCAGGGATATCATTCCATCTTTACTCATTAAAAAAAAAACAGAAATTAGGTAGCAGATCTTCTTGCAGTACTACCTAAAAATCATCGTTGTTTAATCCTGATTTCATCCTCACCTCATCATCCTTAACGTAGGTGGACTTACAAATCCATGTTCACCCACTTAAAAAGAACTGTTTTTATCTTCAAGGTCATTCAAATCTTTCATACAAATTGTTGATTGATATGAAAATTTTTAGTCGCCGTGTGATCCCGACAAAGCATTGGCTCCTCTTTCTTTTTTTTTTTAAACAACTTAGAATGGCAAACAAGCTAACGGCCCACCTGATGGAAAGTGGTAACCGTCGCCTATAGACATAAGCAGTACCATGGACATAACAGAGTATACTGTTTCGCCCATGATATCCCCCATGCGTTCCCATTCCTGAGAATTTAATGGGCGAGGGGTGATGATGATACGAATTTTTGATAAACAATGTTTTTTTTAACAGCTTACATAGGATAGATCTATAAAAGGTTGTAAGCATTAACAATAAGCTTTCTGAATAAGATATCATAGGTTGTGTTAATCTGATATTCTTTTGCAGGTAATTATCCAATGTGTGACATTCAAGGGCTTACATGTCTCGGTAAACATAGAGGTATGATTTAAATAAGAGAAAATAAATTTTCCTCAATCCATGTACATATCTGTATATCTACTTTACTTTTTATACCTGTATATGTATATCCCAATCCTCACTTTATTTTGAAAAACTCCACTCACTTATTCAAATTTAGATTCGATTCCAAAGAGATGAAGAGGAAATGAAACGTGATCTCTCATAAATTTAAATAAAATATTCCGTTTTAAGCGACTTCCGAAAGGAGCAGGTTTTCAATACGTTTGTATATTTTTTGTGTAACGCAATTATGTGGCCAGTGCTGAACTGATTTCGATGAGTGTTTTTACTTCGACAAGTTTTGTTGCAATTTAAAATTTACGTGCACTATTTTTCTGTGTTTTAACTTGCGTAAAATTTTACATGTTTAGACCTAACACATTAAACTTGTTAAAAGTATTGTATTGTAAAATCTTTATAGTACATAATTTATACAGAATACATTAAAATATTTAATATACAATGGCGGACTTATCCCATAAAGCTATATCTTACAGTCAACCTTTGAGAAGCTGAAGGAAAACTGTAGAATGTGCAAGGGTATAGCTATAGATGAACTAAATAATACCCAGTAAAAAATTGAATATATAATACAATAAAAATAACTGTATACACCTACATATGTAAATAATGAAAGTACATAAATAATAATATAACATTAATACATAAATTAATAATAATAAACCGACACACATAAATACATACATACATACATACCTACACACATAAAAGTCTGTAAATTACACACAAGTACATTTACGAGTTCTACAGAGTTTGCAAAACAAAAATTGTAGAGAGCAGTGAAAGTTTTAATATACGGAAGAAACAAAATTACAGTTTCATATATTTCTAATTATGGAGAAAATAAACATTAATTTCAATTACTTTTTTATTTCTATTTAAGAGAGGAGTTTTCGTAATCTAACTAAATAACATATATGAGACGAAATAGTGCATGAAGCTACTCGTAGAGCATATAGGAATCGTTTCTGAAACTTAGTTCACTCTACTTACTGATAGATTTGGTGTTATGATAAACGAAAATAGTTCTTTTTTTGTGGTCTAATGAAACTCATATTTGAAAATTTTTCTTATAGATTTATTTAGCGCAACAAATTGCGATTGCCCGATGAAATGTGAAGAGGTACTCTATAAGCTTGTCCATATATTTGAAACGTAAGTCAAAATCACTTATACATAAGCTAGATATATAATTATTTATTACTACTTTTGAAGGTGAAAATTAATGTATCTATTTCCACTGATTGCAGTGAACAGAAGAACACAGAAGAAATGGTGGCGCGTGGAAGTCAAGTTCGAGTGAAACTTGTACAACTGCCGTCTTTGCGAGTCCGACGAGTTGCTATCAGAGAAACACTTGGATTAGTTGGTAATGCTGCATAATTATCATCTTCGATAGAGCTAATAATTTTCGAAGACTAAAAGTCTTTATTTCCCGTGGGTATCGTAAGAGGTGCCTAAAGGAACTTAAATTTTCTAGAGATGGACAGCAGCGTCACTTTTTAAACATCACCAATGCCTAACTGCGGTTGCCAAGCATTGCAACTACTTGCAGAATAAGGGAGGCCTATGTTTAGCAGTGGTTGTTCAGTAGATTTCCTGGGGGGTACGTGTAGGTTAATATTTGATTACAGCTCTTGACCTACATTAGATTGTAGACAGCGTACATTGCTAGCAATGGTACTGGTGGTCTGCATTACTAACAATCTATAACAACAACAACTAATATAATTATATTGTTACACTATAAATTTATCAATCTATGAACCTTTTATGACCTTTTCTAACCTATTTTGTTTTTGTTTTTCAGTGGATATAGGAGGTGTAATTGGGGTATTTTTCGGTGCATCTCTTCTCAGTATTATAGAAATTATATATATATTATGCATAAGACGAGCACCTTAATTATAAATTTTTGCCTTGCAAATATACATAAAATTCGTTATCTAGTACTGAGTTTTAATTAAAAATTAGTTTGAGAGACCACGTTAAATGAGATATTGTTAAATGAAAATTGTGTACACATTTTGTACTAAGTTGATTGTTTTCTGTAACACTATATTTCAATTAAAATTAAATTAAGACAGGATTGAATTATCTGCTTAGTATCTAAGTATAAGTGCCTATATTTAAATGTAAATATAAAAATTAAATAAATTTAAATGTAAGTATAAATACAATTTATTGTGAGTATAAATATAATTCGTTTTTATTTTAACCAACTAATTATGTTTTTATCTTTTTAGATCCATGTTTAGCAATCGATAGTTATTGGCTGATATGATGACGATATATACAATTTTTTTTAAATATTTCTTATAATTTTAGTGTCAGCGGTGTTCTTCTCTAGTGATCTGTCCGGTTCTAGAGTAAGGGCAGATGAGTATGCAACCTTGGCCTTTTGAGCCATTGCAGTTGACTAGTATCTCCTCCGCAACTAGAGTATCTCTCTTTTTCCATATACACACTTTATTCAATCAATTTCTCCTTTTTCCTCAGTCCTTTCCTTCGTACCATAGGTGGTGAATACACCAACAGATGCGTTCCTTAGGTTGGTTTTCCCTTTATATTTTCATAATGTCTCTATGTCGGGCCATGCTCTTTCTGTGTATAGGTCTAAATCGTCGATACGCCCTTTGAAATATTTATGAATGAAGGATGTTTCTAGTGCGCATACTTTTTAAAACATATATTCAAAAGCTATATGTAATACTTTTTTGTCTCTTACTTATAAATATAATAAAATTATTATTATTAATATGAAATTTTTTAAATATTTAAATCTTAGATTATCTAGATAGATTATCGAGCCTCAAAGATCAACCTTTTGTTAGCTAATTGTCAAATTAGCCGACTTGTTTTTTATAAGTATTATTTAATAAATAAAATGAGTGGTTAGGCACTAAAAATGTAGAAATAATTATTTTTTCTTATGAAACTGAGAATGGCAAACAAGCGGACGGCCCACCTTATGGGAAATGGTAATCGTCACCTATAGACATGAGCTGTACCATGGACATAACAGAATACACTGTTTCGTCCATGATATAAGTCAAAATAAATATAGGAACACTTATAAATATTTATCACGCAAAATTATATGAAAATGTCGACCCGTTTTTCTCGAAGCATTTGTATAGAAACACTATCACTACCAGAGGGAGACTCTGTACAAAAGTCGATTGCTTGGGTACCTCTGTCCCATTCGTGTTTCAACCGTGAAGCAGTTGTGTTTGCATAACTGTGTTTCGGTTTGAAGGGTGGGATATAGCGTGAATTTACGGGGTACAGAGGAATAACACCTTAGTCCTCAGGAATGGCAAAGCATGGGGGGGGGGGGTATCATGGGCGAAACAGTATACTCTATTATGTTCATGGTACTGCTCATGTCGATAGGCGACGGTTACCACTTTCCATCAGGTGGGCCGTTAGCTTGTTTGCCATTCTAAGTTGTATAAAAAAAAAAAAAACTATCTCTATAATCTAAGATTTAAATGCATTTTATTTAATTATGCTTAAACGGCTGGGCTAATGGAACGAGAAAGGATAAAAGTATTCTATTATTTTTATCCTATTCAATCTACGCAGATAAAGCTACGAATTTGAGTTTATAATATTATAAACATGAAAGTAAGTTTGTTTGTTTAATACCTCTCAATGTCTTAAAATGTCGCCAAATCGTTATTAATTTAGACATATACAGTGTTTGGATTGGATAAGGGTTTTTTATTCCGGTCTATCCATTTGTCCCGGTCACGTGATAAAGCTGTGGGCACAGCTAGTTCAAGTTACATTGAACCTTGTTTAATTTTTATTAGATAAGTTCAAGGTTGAGGGAGAAGTGCAGTGTGTGATTTCGTAGGCCGTAAAATCTGCGACGATAATCTTACGTGTCGTGTGGCAAGGCCTTAGTTATTTTATGGGACAGAGTTTTTTTTTTCAATAATATAATAATAATATAAATTTTATTACTACACTAAAAATAATAGAAGTAAAACGTTGTAAAAGATGTGCGCTTTACTTCTTATTTTGTGTGATTACGGATTCTTCAACAAAATAAACTGCGAATCATTGTTGTAATATACGCTTGTTCGACACATTTAACAAAATCCAACATAACTTTAATTTTTTCTACTGTTATGGTGGCAAATAAGTATACGTCACGTCTGATGGTAAATGGGGTTACCGTAACCTGTGGATGCCTGTAAATAAGTATACGGCCGGTTTGAAGGTAAATAAGGTTAGCGCAGCCAAAGGACGTGTGACACCCCTGGTGTTAGGGATGTCACGCGCACATTCCTGACCCTTAAAAAACCTTAATATGCCCTTTTTGAAGAACTTCGAAAAGAAAGAAAAAGTACGGCGAATAATATGATACGCAATAATAGTTCGATATTTCGTATAATTCGATATACGATAATGTGACTATACAAGTGGCAAATTAATTTGTCGATGCGAATTTTCTAAAGCATGTAGAAAGAAATAGCAATCCTCTATTAAGTAAAGTTATTAATTTAAAAGAGAATAATAATTAAAAAAAGTTCATATAATAATATCACATACCTAATATGTAAACAAGGGGGGAAGGGATTGTTAGTAATAAACTAACTAACCTGCCTTTTCATCCTCACCTATCACTCCTCACTGGTATTTCGTCAGTGTATATCGATAGCGCGGGCGGGATTGCCATTTCATTATCATCCATTAAATAAAAAAAAAAAATATGCAAACAAAAAATAAACATTCGAGTTGGAAATCCATTACTATTTTGAATTAATTGTAAACTTATCTCAGAGAATAAGACATTTGGAAAATTTCATATTAGAAATAAATATGCTCACGATTGTAATCCAAAGCAGAGTAATCAGAGTATTTCTATTGTTACTGCTATGATAAATGTTATATTTTCAAACATTTTGGAATCCGATGCGGCAGGGGTGATTTTTGAAGATTTTCTGGAACACTGGAACATTCTAGACACGTTGCTTAAATTAGTGAATATGGTAACAACAGCCATGGCTTATGGCCCTCGCATCTTAACTATTTCACGCTTGAAGCAAGCCTCCAGTGGAGTTTTATTACCATTTTATGAGCTCTCTGAAGCTAATGTTGCGACAAGTGGTGCCAGTCCTTGTAGCGAAGTATCGATTAACTTAGCTTTACGCACAAAATTCGTGTTTACCGCCAAATATAGGCTGTATATATTTTATTATATCACATCTCCCATATTTAGAACTAACAAAAATTTTCATCGTGCCTCCCACCAAATTGTTTCCTTCCAAAGTCCTCTCCATCCAAAGGTTGCCTGGAAGAGATCGCTCTTAGCGATAAGGCCGCCCATTGTTTTTTCATTGTGATTATTTCTTGTAATTATTTATATTTATAATAAGTTTACTATTGTAATCTTTTGGAGGAAACAATAAAGAGTATCTATTTATCTATCTATTATATATTGGTTCTGGACTGCCAGGTCCTGTTCTTAATCTATGAACCGAAGGCACTTTGATTTTAGCTCTAGTTTTTTTTATATGCATGTCTAAAGTCAATATAAAAAAATCACATTGACTGATGTCACAGGTACATAAAATATTTTTTAACTAAGTACGCGATTCAAAAGACGGATGTATTCAAAATTCTTTGTTGTTGTATTCACTTTAGTAGTGACTATCTTGGGCTACGGATGTGGCCAGATTTGGGATAACGAATTTATCTATGATGAAAATAGAGGTTAGTTAAAAGATATCTATTCAATTCAGAGAGTACTAGAGGCAAACTTTGTACAAAAGTCATGTTACTTTGGGTACCTCTGTCCTATTCGTGTTTCTACCGTGAAGCAATTGTGTTTCGGTTTGAAGGGTGGGATATGGCAGTTAATTTACAGGGTACAGAGGAATAACACCTGAGTCCTCAGGAATAGTAACAAGGGGGTTATCATGTGTGAAACAGTATACTCTGTTATGTCCATGGTATTGCTCATGTCTATAGATGACGGTTATCACTTTCCATCAGGTGGGTCGTCAGCTTGTTTGCCATTCCAGGATGCATACAAAAAAAGTATAAATAGAATGTATGATCGTTCGCTTTCATCACTTCAATGTCATATGAGGTGAATAGTGAAAAAAATATAATAATACACCAGTGCAAATAGTACATCAGTGCAAGAGAAGGTAAACTGGAAGTAAGAAAGGATAGTTAGTAATGGGGATCTAACAGCTCCATTACTAGCAATATGCCTTATGAGATCGAACATCACGTTGTTCCTTTTGGAACCAATCGTGGACAATTCTTACGGAATTCGTCACGTTGATGGTAAGCTGCTTTCATCGTCACCTATCATCTCTCACTGGTGTCCGGTTAGCATATACCGATAGCGCCGGCGAGTATACCCTATAAGGTCGACATCTATGCAGTTTTCCCCTGAAAACCGCTATGGTTTATTCTTGTGGAATTCGTCACGATAGGCTAAGGGACTTACGTTTATTCTCATCTATCGTTCCTCACTGGTGCTCCACCAGCGTATACCGATTATACAGACGGGTTTACTATTCCACTGTCACTCGCTTAAAAATACTATATCAAGCAATGACATAATAAATTGATACAGAGTCATCTGGTTAGCGTAATAATAGTAGGCAATTACGAGTACATTTATTACTTTCAAGCAACTTGAGTCATTAAACAGTCTATGTTGAGAATCAAATAGATAGTAGTTAGTAGTAACAATGAACGAATAGATCTAAACACAAATTAAGTGATGACTATTTTATTAAAGAGTCATCATTATGAAAATGAATCTATGCAACAAACTAGATATATCAGACAATAAAATAGCCGTAAGTTTTTTTAAATATAGTTTATGGCTTGGGATGTTTCGTTTTAGCCTATCTTTAATATCTATTATTGTTATTGTAGTGAATATTCTTCTTGAAAATTTTGTATATTTAAATTTATATCTTGATGAAATTATAGTGTTTTAATACAGTAGAGGATAAATTCATAATTAATTGGATAAGTAAGGGTGTTCTGAACTTCTGAATGAGACAACTCCTAAGTTAAAATTCATAGTGTTTTACAACTTTCCATCAGGTGGGCCATCAGCTTGTTTACCATTCTAAG